TTTAAACTCTATTTCTTTTATTTTTAAGTTTTGGTTTTTGAAGACAGGGTTTATCTGTGTATCTCTGGCTGTCCTGGAACTCACTCTGTAGACCAGGCTGTTCTTGAACTCACAGACATCTTCCTGCCTCTGTCTCCCAAGTGCCGGGATTAAAGGTGTGTGCTATCACACCCAGGTACTCTCTTTTTAAAAGGACTTCATCCTTTTTCTTTTCTCTCCCAAGCATGCATATATATATATACATATCTATACGTATATATATACATATATATAATTTTTAATTGTAAACCATTTAGAGTTTTTTTTAAATCTAAATTTATCTTTACTTTATATCTCTCTTTTTTTTGACCACATGAGTCTTTAATTTGCTAAGTGATAAGACTAGGATTAAAGCCATGGCTTTGATGACTGGCTCTACCCCATTCCTTAGCTTTCTGAGAGTCTAGCTTCAAGGCAGAAGTACTGGCGGGAGCCATGCTTATTGCCACAACTCTACATAGTTTTAACGTCACTGCCACCAAGAAGCATGCTGTTAAGTGTATGGTAGTGGGGCCTCTTAAAAGAGATGCAAGGTTTGCTACTTTTTTTCCCCAACTGCTCAGACTCAAAATAATTACTCAGAAACTATACCATTTGCAATACTGTTTGGCCAATAGCTTAAGAGTATTTCTGGCTTACTCTTATATCTTAAATTAACCCATTTCTATTAATCTGTGCATCACCACAAGGTCATGGCCTACCAGCAAAGTTTTGGCAGGCTCCAGCACAGGTGTCTGTCCCTGGCGGAGGCTACGTGCCTTCTCCCTGTTTCTGCTTTCCTCCTTCCAGCATTCAATTTAGTTTTCTATGCCTACCTCTATTCTGCCCTACCACAGGTCAAAGAAGCTTCTTTATTTACTAATCAATAAAAGCAACACATAAACAGAAGGACTTCCCACACCACTTCTGCCTCTACTTCCCAAGTACTGGGACTAGAGACATCATTCCCAGTTTTTCTTAAAACTAAAATTATCTATTGAAACCCTCCAGTAGAACATTGACTAAAAGTCCTTAAAATGGACTCTGCCATTTACACCTGTCTACCTTCGCTGTCTGGTTTTACATTTGCTACAGCCACAGGGTTATAGCTTGATAGGACACAATTTATCCTCTCACCTTTTTCATCTCAGTGTTTTGTTTCTCACGAGTCCAGGTATTTGTATTAGTCTAATCCATTCACCAGCTCAGAATAGACACTTCAAATGGGCATTTCCACCACCAGTAGTCTACTTGGGGCTCTTCATTACTGAAAAGTCTGGAAGTTGTGTGTGTCTGTGTGTGGGGGTTGAGTGTGGGGGAACAGACCAGAGCCCTGACAGAGACCAGACCTTAGTTTCACTAGAATGGGACAGAGCTGAGCAAGCAGGTATCATGAAAACCACAACTTATGGTGACCATCAGCGAGCACCCCCACAAGCCCCTCAGCAGATGCCACCCAGACTTCTGCAGGCATAAGACAGTTTTCCCTACCCTGCTGCTGGAAGGTCCCTAACCACTAGGACTTTCCACCAATCAGCCCCCATATTAATCTTTCTTCCACTAATCAACCCCAGGTTAATTCCTCCTCTCTGGAATTTCCCTGAGCTTAAAAAGAGCTGGTGACTGGTAGGCCCAGTCCTCTCTATTTAGCCTGTCATGGCTGGGTCCTATAAGGATCTTCTTTAGGGGTTTTCAAGTGCCACCCCAACACTAGAATTAACAAAGCGCTCTTGTTATTTCTTCTCTCATACCCTGATAAATACCTTTCCACTTTTCCATAAATCCACCAAACTTTGTATAGTTTTGCTTTTTTTTGTTTTGTTTTTTTTGTTTTTCTCGAGACAGGGTTTGATGTAGTCCAGGGTGGGTTCTGAGCTCCCATCCTCCTGCTGCCACCTCCCCAGTGCTGGGATTTCAGGTATTTCGGAGCCTATTAATATGTTTTAAGGACGATTCCTTAACCACTAACTCAGGACTTTAAGAGCTTCCCCTCTGAAAAGGACAGGTGGACAATATTTGGGAAACGGGGTAGGAGGTGAGGGGTGGGTGTCTATGGCGCTCGCTAGGGCGAGCATCGTAGCGAGCTCGGTTTCGCCCATTACAACGGCGCAGGGACAGACACAGGCTGCTAGGGAAAGATGGAAGGAGTTTTTCCACCGATACAGTAGCCAACGGAACTGTGGTTTGAGGACGTAAATACCGCAAAACCCACCCCAAATAATTCAACGCGGCCTCAGAAGACAGTTGCACAGAATGAAACTCGCTGGAACCTCCCAGGACAACCAGAGCACGATTCCTGGTGTTGTGCAGGATGGGCGGGTCTGTTCACGCTCCTGGGAGGAGCCATGTGACTCTCCCTCCCTCGCGTCCCCTCCCAGGCGGGCTGCCCTGCGCAGGCGCACCCCCGAGTTACCATCGGAGGTTACCAGGTAGAGGTACAGCACCATTTCCAGCAGCGCCAGCAGAATGGTGATGGCAAAGTCTAGCATGCTTCCGCTTGCGTAGGGTTCCAGGCCGGGGTCGCCCCGCCCCGCCCGCACTGGGCATCACCCCTGTACTGGCTACACCAGTAGGCTATAGCACAAAGCCTTCTCAGGGATAGTCATGCTTCATTGGAGTGAGACAAATGACCCAAGCTGGACACTTTGATGGCTTAAGAGTTAAGCACCATTAAATGCTCCTTGTTTCTCAAAAAAGCTTCTACTAAATGTCTTTGCTTTGGGGCAAGGTGTCACAATTGTAACCCTGGCTAGTTTGAAACTGTGTAGACGAGATTACCCTCGAACTGACAGAGATCTTCCAGCTTCTGCTTTCCTAGTGATGGAATTAAAGGCATGCGCCACGGTGGTAGATAGCGGGTAGGTAGACCTCTGGCTGTTAATTCTGATTTGCAGTAAATTGCCCTGGATGTTTTAAGGGTTGGTTTTTAAAATAAAATTTAAAAGGGCTTCCCATCAAAATGATGGTCCGGATCAACAACAGTGAAATGCACAATGCAGGATATAGCAACAATTTTAGGCAAAAATCTCCCAAGGCAACTGGATCTCATCCTTTCTGGTGTCAGGGATCAAACCACACCTGTACCTGCTAGGTATTTGAGCCCTTCTGTTTTTCTTTCTTTTCTTCCCTTTCCTTCCTTCCCTTTTTCCTTTTCCTTTTCCTTTCCTTTCCCCTCCCTCCCTCCCTCCCTCCCTCCCTCCCTCCCTCCCAAACTAGCTCCTAGCCTAATACCCTTTGAACTGTATTCACAGAGGCAGGGCAGTGTTTTAGAGGATGAATAGCCATCAGTAGTGATGCATTTTGCATCATACGGTTCTGGGTGTGTACCAGCACCACATAACGCCAGAGACAAGTAGACATCTACCTCTTCTTTTCCTGCTGTTTTTTTTTTTTAATTTTTAAATTATTTTTTAATTTTTCCCTAGAGACAGGGTTTCTATGTACAGCTTTGGAGCCGGTCCTGGATCTTGCTCTGTATTCCAGGCTGGCCTCAAACCAGAGAGACCCACCTGTTTCTGCATCCCTAGTGTTGGGATTAAAGGCGTCCGTCACCACCGCCTGGCAAGAGACCATTTTTTTGTTATATATATAAAAAGTGTATTTTATCATTTTATGTGAACGAGTGCATGTGCATGCTTGGAAGAGGGTATTGGACCTCCTGGAATTGGAGTTACTGATGGTTGAGTCACTATATGGATGTAAAGAACTGAATTTGAATGCTGTGTAAGAGCAAGTGTTCTTAACTGCTGAGCTCCAGCTCCTTTTTTAAAATTAGGAAGATGGGGCATTGTTATAGCAACAGCATCACTTGGGTGCTTTTGGAATCTTTTTGAGAAATAGTCCCCAAAGCACAGAATTATGACTTTTTTTAAACTGATATGATATTGTAAGTTTTATTATAATTTTAAAACATTTATCTGATGCTGGATATGGTTTTATGGATTTAACAAAAGACAGTTTTGACTAATCTTGTCACTAGCCTGGCTTTGACTGTGCACTGATTTAGGAATCTTGAGGAATTCATGTAGAAAGTTTCTAGTTCTTGTGAAGAATGTTCACTAAAATGGAGTACTGTGACCAGCTCATGGTACAAAGTTCATTTCTGTTGTGGTTCTGGATACAGAGACAAAATACCAGCAAGAAGCTGGGGCATCTGTTTTTCACACTACCTTAGCAAAAAAGGAAGGTTGAGGCAAGTGCAGAAAACTGATGCATCAAGGCTGGGCATGTAAGCTCAATTTCAGAATATCTATCAGGTTTAAAGTTCAGGATTTAACAGTTAGGTGGATACAAATGAAAAAGATGCTGCATAATAAAAACAAAAGTCAAATTTCATAATAAAAATATTATGGTTAACAAAACATGAAAACTAAAGGTGATTGCTTATTGAGAAAACTTTATAAATAAAGCCTGATGAAATAATACCAATACTCACTTGTGCAGATCATAGGGGATTATCATATAAGAAACAAATACTTCTTGGTTTTCTGTTTACTAACTACTGCATTCAATTCTTTGTCTACTCAAAGAATTGAGTAGAACAACACATTCTAGTCAAATTCCATAAACTAAGAATTACAAGTCAAATGACCAAAGTAATGTCTGCAATGGTCTGTCCTATCCCTTTAAGAGACAAGCCCTCCCCACTCTCTCCCCCATCCACGATCCATCTAGGCAAGCGGATCTTCCTACTACTTCATCTGTGAGCTTTTTCCCTCTCTCTGTAACTTCTCCACTCACCTCCTCCCTTTTCTTTCTCCTCATCCTCTTCTCCGTCCCTCTCCCCTTCCTTTCCACAACCCACCAAATGAATATCCAATCTCACTCTGCATGGCATGCCTATCTGTCTGTCTCTCACCCGACGTGGCTCTTCGTGGGACTGCCAACCACCTCTTGTGGCCCTGGCCCGCTGTCCCTCGGGGAATGGTGCTGTTTTATTTTTACCATTACAATGTCATTTTTTTATTAGATTCAAACCATTGTCATATACAAAGCTAGTTTATTACGTACAAAATAAATGTATATCCTTAAAAATATCAGAATGTAAATTTCCAAGGGATTAACCAAGTGCAAAATTTTCAACTATTTTTGATCATACTATACAGAACAAATCAAACGTTAACTAATATACATTCGTTGAAGTTCTTAAAAATATACGACAAAACAAAATACATCTTGTATACAGATTCAGAAGGATGAAAGCAGAATGAATTGTACCAGTGATTTGGTTATCAGAATGCTAATTACAGTTATTTACATCCTTAAAAAGTCTAAAACTCGCTCAACTTTGAACCACCCTTTTTGCATATAAGTACCCAATGAGTGACAGTTTGCAAGTCAATAATCCAACATAAAAAGAGGCTTATTACTATTCCTTTTGTTCATTTAATCAGTTCCAGTGAACAAATGAAAAGGGACATTTTAAGATAAATGCACGACTCCTTAAATAGTACCCAGCAGCACAATTTCTAAGGTGGTTGTGGTGGTCAGACAGACAGACAGACAGACAGACAGACACACACACACACACATACACACACACACACGAAGTGGGGGGAGATTTCATTCTATAGTCAGGGTAGCTCACAAACTTGAAGCAATCCTCCTGCTGTAGCCTATGTCAGGATTAGAGGTGCACTACCATACTCAGGTAAGAAGTATAAAAACTTGTTTTTAAACAAGTCATTTTGGATGTTCAGCTAAGCCTCCTGAACTAGTTAGTGTATATTCATGTATTCAAAAGACTGTCATCCTGTTAAAGCAGAAACGCTTCTAATTAATCTGTCCCAGAAAAACCGTCAAATTAATCAAATATCTTTTTTAATTTTGTCTTAATTTAACAATGAATTTGATAGAGAATGGCTATCTAGAGATCTGATTACTTTTTGCTATTTTTTTTTTGTCTCCAACTATACAAAAGCAATCTGATAGAGAAAGGTAAGTTTATCCTGTAAAAGAATTTAGCAGAAAGTCACATGGCTTCCTAGAAAGTTTTCTTATGTAAATTTGACTATAAGTAACAGCAACTACATATAAAATGCTTTTGGTAGTATCTATGAAGCACAGTCTTTGAGAAGTAAAAGGCAGAATAGGAAAAAGAAATGTTCAAAATGTAAAAGGTCTTCAGCAGTAAGAGTCGTTGTAAGGTGCTGGTGGCGGCTCATGCTTTTAGTTACAGTACTTGGGGGGCAGAGGCAGGTGGATCTCTGTGAGTTCAAGGCCAGGCTGGTCTACAAAGTGAGTTCCAGGAGAGTCAGACCTACACAGAGAAACCCTGTCTTGAAAAAAATATAGAGCTACTGTAATATACCATAATCTTGGAATGAGTGTAAAACTATATGCAAGTCATTAGGGATTACCTAACAAAACATTTAAACTTCCAAAATCTTTTTTCTTTAATTCCAATATAATACAAATTTATTTTCAATTAAATTTAACTACTGTTATCTTTCTGACAGAATTACTTCTGTTGAGCAAAATAATTATGTATATTCTTGAAAATCTCAGCACTTGAGAGGCAGAGGTAGATGGATCTCTGAGTTTGTGACCAACTTCGTTGACAAGGATACATCCAGGCCCGCCAAGACTACAACAGTAAGAATCTGCCCCCCCCCCCCCAAAAAAAAACAAACCGAAAAGAAAAAAAGGAACATTAAAGCGTAATTCTCAATTTGACTACACTATAAGAAAGCATGTAATTTTAATATGTCAACAGAATATATTACTTAAATAATCTTAAATAAAGTAAAGACTTACAGAGAACACCTACCTCTGCTTCCCGAGTGCTGGGATTAAAGGTGTGTACCACCAGTGCTCTGTAAGACTTCTTTTAAAAATAGTTAGTACTTTAATCAGTAAAACTTCTCAGTCTCATCTAAATCCTAACTGTCCTTAGTCTCACGTTAGATTGCTCATTTACAATAGCACTATAAAGCAGTGAAACACTTTGTAACTATTATAATTATGAATAAGTATAAATTACTAAAAAACTCACTATAAAAGCAAATACACAGCAGCAGCACTTCTTTAACAGTCACCTTTGTAACATTAATTAAATTATTTACTTTCTTTTAAAATGAAGGCTTTCTACATTGTCCAGGCTGATCTTGAACTTCCCAGCTCAGGTGATCCTTCCATCTCATCCAAGTAATTGGAACCATGTGTATGTACCACTTTGCCTAATTTTTCAAATGATGAAATTTGGCTATTCTTATGTTAATTTATGCAAGATATGTATTTTCAAGGTTAACAAGGTTTCATAGACAAAAGAATATCGAATCAGTGACTTTCAACTTGCTCTGTGCATTAGGGAAAGATATATGCCTCTGAATTTGTGTCTTTTTTGACACTAAAAGAATTATATTCATGTGTCCAAATCTTGCAATGTGTTTAAAAACCACTTCTGTGTTGTTTCAGTAAAGGTACTAGTCTAAAAAATGTGTCTAATGAATAACTATTGCCAAAAAAACTTAAGTTGATAATGTGGCTATTTTTATATAAGGTTTTTATAATAAATAAAACCACATAATTTTCATATAACCAAAAAGCAGAGATATAAATCCTATATTCTATGATGGTCACATGATTTTCAAGAGATAAAAATGTATCTACAATTTAGGCACAAATTCATTTATATACATTATATGTACATACATATATTTATAATTTTTTTTTATTTTTGAGACAGGGTTGTTCTGTAGTTTTTCTATATTTATAATTTTTGAGAGCTGGGATTGATTGAACCCGTGAAAGTCCCACATATTACTGAGGCATAGCCTACTGATGAATCCTACAGGTAGGTCTGATCTGCACCCTCAAACTAGGAACTACTCTGTGAGCTGAGGTGCTGAGTTCAGTGGTAGAACTCTATGTGTGAGGCTCTACACTGTCTCAGTGTTGGAGTAAAGAATCCCATGCCAAACCCAGGACTTCATATGAAAGTGTTCCATCACTAAGATATATCCCTAGCCTAAATCTCTCAGATGTTTATGCTCTATTAGTTCTAACTTCTAAAACCTATGAAAAAATTAAAGAATATTTCATACAGAGGCATACCTGCAAACATCACCAAAAGTATTTAGGAGGATTTACTCAATGCTTTCATAGTGGGAGAACTCTACTCATTATAACTTCAATGCTATAAGACATCTGATTCTGTTTTTCTTTTAGCACTGATTACTAATGCTTTTTATTCTTGCCTAACATGCGTGAGGCCCTGAGTTCACTCCCGAATACTGAAAAAAAAAATTTACACTTTTTGTTGAAATATTGGTGTGGAAAATATTGAGTTAGGAAATACTAATAGCAAGCAGACAATATTATTGAGGTAAATGTAAATTGTGATTTTAAATATGAAAGTCTAAGAGCTCATGATAAAATCAATGAACTTTTCAGTAATGAAAAGGAAATAGAGTGGTTCTGTCCATATGAAACAAAGACACTGCCTGGTGTTGGGAATAATCAGTGGCACAGAAAATGCTGTATTTAAATTATGTAAGTAATAAGTAATATTAAAGCCTGATAGCATTGTATTGTTGCCTAATGTCATTAGAAAAGGCACGTTGAGGAAAATTTTCAGAACAATGTTTATATGGGATCATCTAAAACAAACAAAATGCTACGTACATGACATGCACACAAATTAGGAAAAAGTACTAAGAAAGAGTATTTGCTGCCAGTGGGAAAAGAAGTTTCTGTTAGAGACAGAACACTTATATCAGGGTTTGGGTCTAGATGAAAAATGTACATATCACTCAAAAAGTGTAAAGATAGGGTTAAGAAAATAGGTTTAGCAATGTGAGAACACCTTCAGACACACATCCTAGATATAGGTATTACACATTTAATACCTTGTTCATATCCAATACAGTAAAAGTCTCATGTTTTTATTGAAAAGGAGGCAAAGATGACGTTACTTACTTCATAAACATATTTTAAAAAGAATTGACAGCTCAAAATTCAATTAAAGCTTTCCTTAGAGATATCTTTAGTAAGAATAATGTTATATTTACAGGTAAATGTCATGCCTCTATCAACACTAAGCAAAAACTGGCACTCAGTTTCACTTTCTTAGGATATTTGAAAAGAAATATAATGAAGCTAAGACTACGAGTCAATCCTCAAGTCTAAATTCTAATTTTGTGGGCACACTTACTCTTTAGTAGTATGTAGCACTCCAGTGTCAGCGCTGTGAAGAACAGTGCCATGTGTATCACAAGGAAAAAGAGAAACTTCTCCTCACACACGAGGATGTACTGTGACTAAGGGAAATTAACAGAAACTTCTTTCACAGGCAACACTGGCTAGAAAGTTAATGCTAATCTTTATTTTTGCAGTTCCTTGACTTTCATGTTCTGATTTGTTCTTTTTCTTCAATTTTACAATAACAGAATACTGACTGGGGGGAGTTATATATTACAGTGTTTTATTCTCTAAGTACATACAGCAAATTGTATAAATATGCACACACTGCCACCAACAATAGCAAAACAACTTCTGACCTCACTTTCCAAAAGAAAGAACATTATCTTAGCATAAATCTCTTATTACCTGAGATTTTAATATTCATCATTATTACTATCAAGAAACAAAAGCAGATGAAAAGTCCTGAAAAGATGAACTGACACCAACAGCAGCCAAGATGAGATACTATACTCATTAACTAAAATATCCAGCTATCAATCTATTCTAATAATTTTCCAATATACATTATGAAAGTTTCTATGGATAACAGCTACACTCCACTGTAAAAGTGCATCTTCCTAGTGATATTATCTAGTGACTTTTAATTTCATGGCTATAATGTTTACGTGAGGAATATACTAACTCAGGTAACAGCTCCACTAATTTGCTTATTTAATTAACACAAAAGTTCATATTGGCTGGGTGGTGGTAGTCACACCTTTAATCAAGAGGAAGAATCAGGCAGATCTCTGAGATCTAATACAGCCTGGTCTACAGAGTGAGTTTCAGGGCGATACAGAGAAACCCTGTATTGAAATACAAACAACGACAACAAAACAAAAAGTTCATTATTCAAGAATAGAGCTAGCATTTTCTAAACCTCAAAATAATTAAAAGGAATAATTCTCCTTTAACATCTAACATTGATTGTACATGGGTCAGACCTATATAAAACTGAGCATAGCTTCTTGTTTATGAGCCATGAAAGAGCAGCATGCGTGGATAAACTGCCAAAAGAAACCCTTACCAAGTCTTGATTTGGAGTCAGTTAGTACCTGTCTTTGTTTCTTCTGTCTCTTTCATACATGCTAGGGAGTAAACCCAGGATCTTGAACAATATAGGCAAGCATTCTACTACGGACTGATAACCAATCATTGCCTGGCAGTGGTGGCACACGCCTTTAATCCCAGTATTTGGGAGGCAGAGAGGCAGGTGGGTCTTTTTGAGTTTAAGGCCAATCTGATCTACAGAGTGAGTTCCAGGACAGTCAAAACTATACAGAGAAACCCTGTCTTGAAGAAAACGAAACAAAACAAAACAAAAACCCAAAAATAAAATATATAAATAAAAAATAAGCCCAACAATAAGAAAAAATCACCCAATCATGTTGGTTCTGACATGAACTCCCGGTCCAGTATGTGGAAACTGGGGGAGCAAAAATGAAAAGAACTGTTTCATGTACCATAATCATCTCTATTGACTCCTGACACTTCCAACAAATTCCTGAAGTCTTTCAAAAAGGAAATCATCACATTTACACAAATTCTACTTTTCTACCAGTTGATATCAATGCCATTTGAAGCTATTTTTTCCCCAATCAGACAATTATAACTTATTAAACAGTGATTTTACAGTGTTTTACTAATCCTGACCAACAACAAATCAAAATATTGTAAAATTTTCCTAAACATAGTCTTTTACACCTATATTTTTAAAAACTTATTTATGGGATTATAAAGAAAAGACCATAGGATACTGTGGTCAATAGGAGAGGGAAAATGAAAAATCAAAATTTCTTCAGGATTCAACTGAAAAGACAATCAGGTATAAGGAAATGTATGGTCAGCAGAATAAAAGAGAATATAATTTTGAAAGGCTACCATTGTAAAATCATCTGTTGTTGCCCATAAATCATTTTAAGAAAATCATGTAATAATTCTTTCCTGAAAATAGGCTCAATATATAAATTTCCATACAACTTCAGAGATTCACCAATCTTCCCAAAGTCTGTGGAATCTCAGATTGCCAATACTTGTAGTTGTAAAACTTCTCTAACCTAATAACTCAAAAGTCAATTTCACAAAAAATAAATAACAATTACTTTGAATTCCAAATTAAATCAATCAACATTTTTACTTAAAAAATTAGACATAATGTAATATTTAACAAACTGTAACAAAATAGCTATCATCCAAACAGTTGTATATAACATGCAATAAAAGATATTACTTTATCTAAATGGCTACTCTGAATTATGCAGTGTTACTCCATCTTTCACGACCTCTTAGAACATCACTGACAACTCATGATCACCAGGATAGAAAGGATTAACCACAAAGAGAGTACAGTTTTTGCTTAATAAAGACAAATTCACAAAATTTTGAATTTCACACATGTAAATTGTGCTGCAAATGTTACTAAAGGACCAGCTGACCAGGGCCACAGTCAGCATTTTTGTTTAAATATACTGTTAATGAAGTACACTCGTCAAAATTATCTCTAGTTTTTCTTTTTCCTATTCAACTTTTGTTACTTAAGAATAATAATACAATTTAGTAAATTTTTATTACTAATATATTAAAGGTAGGGAAATAAACCAATGTTTATTTCAGTATTTGTATTTAATCCAATTATATAGGCCTGCAATTTTTGAAAACTCAATTGTACAACAAATGCCTAAAAGGTTATGCTTTTAATGAAATGGTGAGTAAAAAGAAAAATGATTATCTGAAGAATACATGAAAAGCCACATCTCAACTCTCCATCATCTATGCTACTTTATCAGAAATGTCTTAAATTTTGCTACTTAGATTAAGGGAATTCAATCTAAGTATATAATATTAGAAGTTTGTTTTTTTTAAAAATTGGATTTAATGATTTAGGAATGGATTACCAAATTGAATCAAATATATTTTCTCAATTCAACTTTAGTACTGGTTAACAAAACTAGACTCACTGCTGATGAAACTTTTAAAATTGATTTAATAGAACCTACAACTTTATTTTTATTCTTTATTTACTTAATTTTTGTGGCAAGGTCTTGCTATGTAGCCCAGGCTGACCTTGAACTTAAGATCCACCTGCCTCAGCCTCTACAACTCAACCTACATCTTCACAAATATCAAACCGCCGTAATCTTTAAACGTTTTTAAAGATAAAACCCTTGACGACTTCCAGCGAGTAGAGCACAGCCAAAGTGACAGAGCAATAACTGGAGTTTGGTTTCCATCACAGGACGTGGGAATAACAATCATTTGAAATCTTGAGTATTATATTCAGTTTCTCCAGCTGAAATCTGGCTGAGTCGCTTGCTAGATCCCCACAATTTTCGAGAAAGCTGACCCGAACGCATCTGTTTAAGGTAATCCAGAGAAATGAAGATGTTAAGAAAAATGAAGATACATAAAATCAATATATGTGACACTGAATTTGTAAAGTGCAGAACAGGTTTTGTTAGCAAAATTGCTAACATTTTAAAAGATTCTTGATTAATAACTGCAGTACAAGAGACTGAACTCAAGGCCTCCTCTTGTTAGGCAAATACTCTAGAGCATGGAGCTATATCCCTTTTTTAGAAAAAGACTCACTAGGGGGCTGGAGAGATGGCTCAAGTGGTTAAGAGCATTGCCTGCTCTTCCAAAGGTCCTGAGCAACCACATGGTGGCTCATAACCATCTGTAATGAGGTCTGGTGCCCTCTTCTGGCCTGCAGATATACACACAGACAGAATAATAAATAAATTTATTAAAAAAAAAAAAAAAAAAGAAAAAGTCTCACTAGTTGCTTGGTCTGACCCCGAACTCACCCAGTAGGCAGGCAGATCTTTGCTTATGATTCTTTTACCTTAGCCTCCCAACTAGCAAGGATTACAGATGTGTACTCAGAGTTCTACGTAATCATCACACTAGCAGGGGAAAGATGGGGGCAATTCAGGAAACTATCAAGAACCTCAATGTTAAATGGAAACATGTTTAAAATGTTTTTAACTCTCTTTTTACATATTTATTTATTTTATGCAAATGGGCGTTTGGTCTACATGTGCCTGGTGCCTGTGAAGGTAAAAAGGGGTGTGAGTTTTCTTAGACCTGGAATGACAGACAGTCGTGAGGTTCTGCTGTGTGAGTGCTTGGAACTGAGCCCCAGATGCAGAGTAACAAAAGTTCTGGCCTGCTGTGACGTCTCTCTAGCCTTTTTCTGTGGTTGTTTTGACAGCAGATCTTGGTACATAGGCCTAGTTTGCCTAGAATTTACTATGTACACCAAGCTGGCCCCTAAATTGTGGTGATTCTCCTGCCTCTGTCTCCCAAGCACTGGGATTATAGGTATGTACTACTACTCAACTAAATATCTTCTCTTGAAGAAACACCTGTAGATACAATATTACATTTCTCAGGAAAAGCTAAGAGTGTCACAAAAAATGCAATGACTAGTTTAATTCTATATAATAAGTTTTCTGGGGGAATCATTAAGTTACCTGGTGTGGAGTCATTACGTTTTCTGAGGAACAAATGTCAGATCCATGAAAGACTATTAGGCAAGTAAATTTTTTGTTACAGTAAACTCACTGTGAATAAGGATATGGATATAAGATATTTGTAGTTCCCAATTTAAAAACAATGCCTTTATATAATAAATAACTCATGCTTTGTAATTATGAAATCAAATTAGTTTTACTGTTGGAACCTATATTTTATTTTTATAAGAACTTTTATGCCTCCAATCTGCATAGTCCTCTTGAGTCTTGATTTGGAGTAAAATATTTTTCTCATTCACGTAGTGATACAAAGACCAATCCATGAGCATGCTTTTAATTTTATCATAGGATAAATATACCACTTAACAACTTTATACTTTGGCTTTTTCTGAAACATCAAATTTATGTTTCAGTTTATTCATAATGGAGACTTCTGAATCAGCTAGAATGAAGGACCGAAGGAACCCACAATAGTAAGGAACCCACAATAGTAAGGGAGAATCCATGATGCTGAATTTTACCTCGGCTGGCTTGCCAACACCTACTACAATCAATTTGCCATCTTCCAAGCCTACAAGAATGTGGCTGCACTCTTTGGTTACGGAAACACAGTGGACAGGTAATCGCATGGCTAATGGAGTGATGCTCAGATTCAAACTAAAAGATAAAAACAGAAATAGTTACATGCACAGAGGATGGATACACAGAAGGGTATACACGAAGGCAACTTCGTCATCTACCTCTGCACTTCAACTTTACAGATGTACCACATCCCCAAATGTAGTTCATTTTCTCATAATTTCCCTAAGTTCATCTCCATTTCAAATCCTATTAATTCTTAAACAATACTCTTCTGATTATTCAGATCCTAGAAATTCTTAAACTCTTCTGCAAACACAACTTCTCTTTTTGCTGTTGTCTGAGATAGGGTCTTGCTATGAGGCTAGGATGACTTTGAACTCACAGTCCTCCTGAACGTGCTACCTTAACTGGCAACTTCTAAAGAGTCTTAAACCCTTCAAGGTCAATTATTATAAACACCACAATACCAAGAATTTAAGTTCTTTCATTAAATGCTTTTATCTGTAATTAGAAGGTGAATAAAAAGTCCCAAAGAAAGTACATGTGTGTGATATTTGAGGTTAATAAAACAGGTCTTTTTTGCTTTGTCTAATATTCCATTACAATAAATGCCTTCAGTTATTTAAAGATTAGAAAGTGGAGAACCCAATGACTTAGGTATATTTATATATGCGTGTGTGTGTTGTGTGTGTGTATGTGTGTAATTAAAACTAAAGGAGTCCATTGGTTTTTCTAATTTGCAAATCTTCTTGTTAGAAGACTCTTAAAATCAGGATGAGAGAGAGAGAAAAAAAGCAAAGCTATCATTGGAAAAGGGACTGAGTCCCAAATGCTGATATTGTAAGTATATTCCAGCATGCTCAGAACACTTGATGCAAATGTGTGCAAGGCTGGTACACATATGAAGCTCAGAGGACAACCTCAGGTGTCTGTTCTCACCTTCTATCTTTTATGAGACAAGGTCACTGTGCTAATTTCAATGTAACTGACCCCCATAAGGGCGTGGCACTATTAGGAGGTGTGGCGTTGTTGAAGTGGGTATGACCTTATTGGAGGAGTGTGTGTCACTGTGGGGGTGGGCTTTGAGGTTTCCTATGCTCAGGAACCACCCAGTGTCTCAGCTGAATCCCTGTTGCCTACAAGATGTAGGACTCTCAGCTACTTTTCCAGCACATCTGCCTGCATACCACCATGCTCCCTACTGAACCTCTGAACTGTAAGTTGCTACCTCTTCTTCAGACAGTTTGAACATTTTAATTTAATTTACTTACCTGTGAAGCTCTCTTATAGACAAGAGCCCTTGTACGCTGCCAGTGATTACATGCTCCCCAATGATGCACATGTCTGATATTTGTTCATTCAGGACTTGAGACCCCAGATACTTTCCATTTACAGAAAACACATGTAACATGTTCTTATCCTATAAAGAAACAGGAAAGTTTAGGGAACTTGCATAAAAGTTGAGTTTTCATATTGTCAATTAAAATATAACAAATCAGAAAGATTTCTGGAATAAAAACATGACTGTATTCAAAGAAAAAGTATACAGAAAATTATCAGATTGACTTTAAATCATTATTGCCATGGAAACAACTATGCGTTAAATCGAAGAGTTAAAATATTCCAGTTCAAAAATATTTCACATTCCTAAAAAGATGTTCCTTATATTTAAAAGCTTTACTATTAGAAGGAAATGAATATATGGAGATCCAGTTTATTTCTACACTGTCTTACCTACAAAAGAAATGTTGGCTATCACTGCTACTTGAAGTTCATGATATACCTAATACTACCACTGGCACTGGTGGCACACATCTTTAATCCCAGCACTCAGGAAGCAGAGGCAGGTGGATCTCTTAGTTTGAGCTAGCCTGGTCTAGAGAGTGAGTTTCAGGACAGCCAGTGTGAAACAAAGAAACTCTTGTCTTTTTTTATTTTTAATTGCTTTTTGTGTATGTGGGGTTAGGTAGTTAATCTAGGGTTCCAATGCTTGCAAGACAAGCACTCTACCAACCAAGTTACATCCTTAGCTAAAAGAAATTACGTTTGAGGGGGCTGGAGAGATGGCTCAGAGGTTTAGAGCACTGACTGCTCTTCCAGAGGTCCTGAGTTCAATTTCCAACAACCACATGGTGGCTCACAACCATCTATAATGAGATCTCGTACCCTCTTCTGGCATGTAGACAGACAGACATGAAGACAGAACACTGAATACATAATAAGTAAATCTTAAAAAAAAGGAATTACATTCGAAACCTTGTATAATATTAGGTCAAAAGAAATATCTGAAGTAAAATATAAATATCAGGACCATAATGTGGTAGAAGTCTATCTAACAATGAGAAAGAACAACTGAACCATAGAAAAGCTGCCCTTGCAGTGAGGAGAGAAAACATTAGTGATGGTCTACATCTGCTGCACAGAAGCAAATACCTTGAGAGCGGGCTTCTCCGCCAAGCTGGAATAGATGACAATGTGTCCTTCCCAAGAGACAGCCAAACTGGGAATGGTCAGGAACAGGGAACTCTCACAAGGTGGCCGTAAAGTCCTCATGTATTGACCTTTCTGAATGGTATGTATAATCACAGTACCATCCTATACACAGAAGATTCCAGAGAATGAAAAACACAAAACAACAAAAAGGAGAAGGCGAAGCGGCTGAATAAAGAGATGTGGGAAAGACACTGAGGAAATAATTACCCCATAGATGAGTTATATGCTTTAGGTAAAACCCTAATCTTAGGAAATAATCATCCCATAGATGAGCTATATGCTTTAGGTGAAATCCTAATCTTAGGAAATAGTTATCCCATGGATGAGTTATATGCTTTAGGTAAAACCCTAATCTTAGAATTTTAAGTAGCATATCATCTTATAGAGTGTCATCTTCCTGAACTAGCAAGGCCAATAAGATCCCCAAATACAACATAGCCTCTTTTAAGTTTATTCTCTCTGTATTACTCTACGTTAACAATGCTCAAAATAAATATTAAAAATATTCTATTTCCATAAAAACTTTTCAAATATAAACATTGTTACACAATTTATAGAAAAAGTATTATTTCTTAGAGGTGAGATCTTACCCTTGACCCTGATACTGCCATGTCAAGTTCAGTGCTGATGCCCACACTCAATATCTCATCAGTGTGTCCATAAAGAATCTGAAAAGGTTTAGATGCTAAGCCCACAGCAGTGCCTCCCTAAAATTAAAAAAGAAAAGCAAACGTGAAATGGTGTCTTGTTGTTTTTTCCCTCCACTCACAAGCCTCTTGTTTTTGTGTTTTGTAACAAAGTTTATACTATATTCAAACATTCTCTTAACAAAGTAATGAGATAGGTAGTTAGAACCACTGAGTCACTCACAGTAACACTCAGTCCAAACCTTACACAGAAAGTATTAATGATGACTTCTTATATTAGTTTTCCCAAGTTATTTGCTCTTTTAACCTACAAATGAATTCTTCCTTAATTTAAACTAATATTATATAAATGAATACTTACTAGAGCAGTAGTTCTCAATCTGCGGGTTGCAACTCCGCTGGGGGGTTGCATATCAGATATTTACATTACAATTCACAACTGTAGCAAAGTTAGTTATGAAGTAGCAATAATTTTAGAGTTGGTGATCACAACAAGAGGAACTGTATTAAAGGGTTTTAGAATTAGGTAGGTTGAGAACCACTGTCCTGGAGCCTGTACTTTAGGGACATCAATTATATTTATTCTGATTGCCTTTAATTCATATGTATGTGTCTGTGTGAATGTATGCCTCTTGTGTGAATGCCTGTGGAGGTTAGAGATGGCATTAGATCCCCCAGAGCTAGAGTCACAGGCAGTTGTGAGCAGTCTGATATGCGTGCTGGGAATCAAAACTGGGTCCTCTGGAAAAGCAGCAGCGTTAATCTCAGAGCCATATCTCTAGCTCCTGTCTTTAATTTCTATAGCGATCATTCTTTTTCTTAACTGTCTATGCACAGTACCCTGCTCTGTTGTTCTTGGCCTTATTCCCTTGAGACATGGAAAGCAATGAATCTAGAGCTGTTTTTTGCATAACCTGGCTGGCAATAAGTACCAACAATCCTCTTCCTAGAAATCTAATTATGCGTCATCACCAATGATGCTTTAAACACTTATTAGGACTTCATGCATGCTATGCAGATGTTCTACCACTGAGACATGTCCCCAGTGTTTTAAAAAATAATTTTTGAAACCCGAGTGTTGTGACTTTAAACTATCACTTTGTAGCCAGGCAAGCCTTAACTTTGTGATGCATCTGCCTCAGCTTCCACACAGGCTGAAACTGCTCAAGAAAATTTCTCATTTTCATTAAATGAGAAATTTTGTCATTAAACCTGCCTTGTTTACATTTACTTTATATTTGAAGAAATATCAGTTGTGTGTCATATTGTTTTATTCTTATTTATTCTAGATAAGTCTGTCTAGACCCTCTGTTTTTATATTACACATAAATATACCTGTAAACTCTACTCTTTGGGATACATGTAATTTATCCTATATATTTCACTTAATATTTACAAAACACATCATTCTTGTATCAAGTAATTAAAGTAACAGAAAACTTTACAATTCAAGTGAAAGAAGAAACACTTATTAAATTCATCCAATAAAGGTTGCATATCCAAATATTAAACATCATAATGACAAAACAAAATTGATCTTTTACTTAAGAATAGAGAAAAAAGTGAGGCCGTATTTTTAAAAAAAGAGAAAAAAATTATAGTATTAGCAAGTAAAATACAACAGCAAAATGTGGTAGCAATGAAAATGAATAATGTTAATTTGCTATATGATTCATAGCAGTTCAAATCTAAGAAATTTCTTGATTTACTCATTTAGAAAAAAGAAAAGGAAACTCTAAAAGGAATTACAGAGGACACTGTTGTTAATACTCAGAAAATGAGATCAGATAATGGCACTGTACAAATGTTAAACATTCTCATTTTAGCAACTGCACTATGGTGGTAAGAATGACTTTTTATCAAGATGGACCTGTATGCAAAGGTACTTGCTAGCAAGCATGATATCCAAAGTTTGGTCCCCAGAACCACCCATGGTGGAAGAAAAGAACTGATCCACAAAAGTTGTATTCTGACCTTCACACATGCACCATGGCATGTATGCATTACCCCCATACACGTAAATAAACAACCATAATAAAAATTTAAAAAGAAAATCTTTGTTCTTGGAAGACATACATAGATGTTATCAATGGAATAGGAAGTACTGCCAACATTTAAATCAGTGAGAAAAATAAACATGCTGAAAGGGGAAAGATATTGAGAATGTTAAGACAAAGGTACGAATGTATTGTTTTTGCAACTTTTCTATAAGTTTGAAATTTCATTAAATTAAAAAGAAACTAACTAAATATAAAACACAATACTGATAAAAACTGACAGCAAACACTATCAAGCGGCAAAACTGTACTGTCATTTTTCAATCAAAATCAGACGTAAGTCAGGATGTTCACTATCATATTCTAACTCTACTGCAATGTAATAGGATAATAAAATAAAACAATATATTGGAAAATTGGGAGAGTGACCATTATTTCTAGATCACATGATGGTATAGCTACTTTAGGGTCAGAAAATCCAAGAATGTTATAATTATAAATTTAAAAATGTGGTAAAGTTAGTGAAAATAAGATAAACATACATCGCTGATGGTGGTAGTGCACGCTTTTAATCCCAGTACTTAGGAGGCAGAGGCAGGTGGATCTCTGTGAGTTAGAGGCCGGTCTGGTCTACAGAGGGAGTTCCAGGACAGCCAGGATAATACAAAGAAATCCTGTCTCAAAAAACAAAAAAAGGATAACCATACAACAATCGATCATGTTACTGCACAACTTTCCTTCATAGTAGTGAAAATAAGTAAGAAATGAACATCCTTCTAAAAGTGATGGAGGAAGGTCATTGGCTAATAAAGGAACTGCCTTGGCCCATTTTATTGGTTAGAAGATAGGTGGGAGGAGTAAACAGAACAGAATGCTGGGAGGAAGAGGAAGTGAGCTCAGACTCCACAGCTCTCCTCTCGGGAGCAGACGCCTCAGAGAGGGACACCATGCTCCCGGCTCCTGGGCAGACACATGTGATGAAGCTCCGACCCAGGCCCGGTAAGCGCACCTAGTTGTGCTACATAGAATATTAGAAATGGGCTAGTCCAGGTGAAGAGGCTAGATAGAAACGGACCAAGCAGTGATTAAAAGAATACAGTGTCCGTGTAATTATTTCGGGGCATAAGCTAGCCGAGCAGGCGGCCGGGGTGCTGGGAACGCAGCCCTGCCGCTCATAATACTACATAAAAGTACCAAAATAGTAGTAAAATTGTGCCATTCAGAAGTAAATATAGCATAGTATAGAACACAAATGGAAATAAAGTGATTAAGGGATTATCCAAAGAAATTAAAAGGGTATGAGACAAATAATGAAAAGATATTTTGTATTTTTGTATAAAAATAATTATTATAATGTCAATACACAGAAATAAAATTTCTTTATGTTTTTCTTTTTTTGAGACAGGATTTTCTTTGTGTCATATTTTAGAGTATTGTTGTGCAAACCAGACTAGCTTTGCGGTTACTAGCTTCATGGTTACTGGAGGAGAATCTACAATCCCTAACTTACTAAACCAGCAGAATCCCTAACAACAATCTATAAACATTTGTCCTTGTACTCACAAGTAAGTCTTCACCCCTCATCAGGGAAATTTTTCTTTGTGACAGAAGGAGACTGTCACAGAAAAACCACAAACATCTATAAAACAACTCCCGCACATAAGGCTCAGGGATCATTGCAAAGGATGAGGTAGAAAGTACAAAAGCAACAGAATCAGACAGTTGGCTGTGGGACTATGTCTCCTAGTAACACCACAAGCTACACCCATTAAGTTTCATCAGTACAACTGCTCAAAAGGAGGCTGAACATAGAGTGACAACAATGAACACGCCAAACTGGATGGGAAAAACATGGAGTCTCAACCCTACACAAAGAATAACAGGTAACTGAGTAAAACAGAGAGAGGTCCTTCCCAGGAATAGCACAACCAACTGGTTGTCCAGAGTCAAACAGTTAATTCTTAAAAAATGCATACAAGTAATGTCATATGGACTCAACAAGTTATATTTAGGAATATATGTATGTATAAGTACACATACAGATGTATTAACGATTAATGAAAAAATAGGTCAAGAAATTTGAAGGAGAGTAGGAAAGGGTATATGGGAAAGTTTGGATGGAGGAAAAGGAAGGAAGAAATGGTATAATTAAGTTATAATCTCAAAAATGAACAATAAAAAGCTCAGGCCCCGAGTCTGTAATCATTCACATCACGTCCAGTTAAGAACAATTTTCAGTAAGACTACCACAGAATTTTAAAGAGGGTTTTGTATGAGACAGTGTGTCGTGACATGTGTGACAGGGGCTGCATTTGCCCATGCATGCATGTATGGGACCAGGGGCTGATGACACCCATGATATCTTCCTCAATTTTTAAGACAACCTCTCACTGAGCGCAAAATGTCATTTACTACCAGAGAAAAACTTGTTATCCCAGTCCAAGAACATAACATGTGTTATTTATTATTACCTGTTGTGTTATCTGCCATATCATACATGTAGTGTCCTTGGAACCAGAAATCAAGTGTATTCCACAGTAATCTGTAGCTAAGCAAGTCACAATATCTGTTTGAAGAAAAAATAAAATAAAATGGATATGTTTTGACAGAACAGAACTTTGAGGGCAGTTTCAGTTAATGTTCAAATAATTACTAAGCCAGGGCTGGCTCAGCAAGAAAAGGAACCTTCTGCCAAGACTGGTGATCTGCACTTAGTCCCTTTGGATACACATAGGAGGAGAGTTCTGACTCCTGCAAGCAGTCATGTAACTTCCAAGTGCACATATATGTGCTATCCCCCACCCTCCCCACAAAATACCCCTCCAAAAATAATTAAATGTAACAAAAACCATCAGGTCAGAGTAACAGAGGACACCTGCAGGATCAAAGTCATCCCGAGAGCCTTCATTGAGACCGTTCATGTGCTAAGTGCTGACATCGTATCTAGCATCGTAGGCTGTCAGAGAACTGAGAACGGAGTCATAGGTAATTCTGCTATGTGTTCTGCTCTCTCACCCTATTCACATTCTCTTCCTATTGAAAAAGTGCTGTCGTATGGAATGTGTCCTTAGAAAACAGTAGAGGGAATTGACAGATGGCTCAGCAGTTAATAATTTATGGGATTATCTTCCAGAGAATTTAAGTTTGAGTCCTAGCCCTATTTAAAGGCTGACGACTATCTGTAGCTTCAGTACCAGGGATCTGTTGACCTCTTTAGACTCAGTAGGCACCACATACACATGGTATACAGATAAGCATGCAGACAAAACACTCATACACATACAACAAACACACAAACAAATAAAAAGATAGTACATATTATGGTGCAAATCATAAATTAAAAACAATTTTCCAGAATAGTCCCTTAACAGCTACACAAAGTGATACCTTAGAATACCAGTAGATAAAATCAGATTGATGATGAGTAACTATTACTAGTAACTAGTAACAGTTCTACCTAGTAATTGATAACAGATGCAGAGACCCACAATCAGTACTAGCCTGAGCTCTGCAGTCTTGATGAAGAAAGGGAGGAGGAATTTTAGGAGCTGGGGCGGGGGAGCTCATGATGTAAGGGGGTAAAGACTCACAGAGACAGCTGACCTGAGCTCGTGGGAGCCCATGGACTCTGGACCAACAGTTAGGGAACCTGTATGGAACTGATCTAGAGCCCTCTGTATGTGTGTGGTAGCTGTGTTGCTTGATCTGTTTATAAGGCTCTTAGCATCCATCCCCGTGTTGTACTGCTTCACTCAACCTTGAAACAAGGGAAGGAGCTTGGTCCTGCCTCAACTTGATGTGCCATGCTTTGTTCAAGCTCATGAGAGGCCTGCCCCTTTCTGAATGGAGACAAAGGGTATGTGTGTGTGTGTGTGGGGGGGGGGATGGGAGGTTAGGAGGAGAAGAGGGAGGGAAAACTGTGGTCAGAATGTAAGATAAAAGAAAAAAATGTCACTCCCCAGTGATGTTTCTCCTGGTGTCCAGATCGGATCTCCTTGCTGCTTGGCTAGCTCGCGAATTTTGCATGCAAATGGATGGAAATAGAAAACACTATCCTGAGTAAGGTGTCCCAGACCCAAAAAGATGAACATGGGATGTACTCGCTCATAATTGGTTTCTAGCCTTAAATAAGGGTCACGGAGTCTACAATAGGTGAACCTAAAGAAGCTAAGTAAGAAGGTGAACCCAAGGAAAAACATATAGTTATCCTCTTGGCTAAGGGAAGTAGACAAAATTGCCGGGGAGAAAATTGAGATCTTGGGGGTGGGGTGGGATGGGGGTAAGGGGGATGGGGAGAGAAAAGGTAGAAGGGAAGGAGGGGGGGACTTGGGGAAACAGGAGGATTGGGATAAAGGAAGGGTGGATAGGGGAGCACGGAACCACAATTCTTAGTTAAGGGAGCCACTTTAGGGTGGGCAAGAGACTTGACCCTAGAGGGGCTCCCAGGTGCCCAAGATGAGGTTCCCAGTTAGTTCCTTGGGCAGCTGAGGATAGGGAACCTGAAATGACCCTATCCTAGAGCAATACTGACGAATATCTTGCATATCATCATAGAACCTTCATCTGGTGATGGATGGAGATAGAGACAGAGACCCACACTGGAGCACTGGACTGAGCTCCCAAGGTCCCAATGAGGAGCAGAAGGAGGGAGAACATGAGCAAAGAAGTCGGGACCACGAGGGGTGCACCCACCCACTGAGACAGTGGAGCTGATCTACTGGGAGCTCACCAAGGCCAGCTGGACTGTGACTGAAAAAGCATGGGATAAAACCGGACTCTCTGAACATGGCGAACAATGAGGGCTGATGAGAAGCCAAGGACAATGGCACGGGGTTTTGATCCTACTTAATGCGCTGGCTTTGTGGGAGCCTAGCCAGTTTGGATGTTCACCTTCCTAGATATGGACGGAGGGGGAAGGACCTGGGACTCACCACAGGGCAGGGAACCCTGACTGCTCTTTGGACTGGAGAGGGAGGGGGAGAGGAGTGGGGGGAGGGGGAGAAGGGTGAAAGGAGGGGGAGAAGGGTGGGAGGAGGGGGAGGGAATGGGAGGCTGGGAGGAGGTGGAAACTTGTTTTTTGTTTATGTTTTTTTCTCCTTTTCTCAATAAAAAAATTAAAAAAAAAAGAAAAAAATGTTATTTAACAAAATTAAAAGAAAAATTAGCAGTAGAGAGCAACAGATTCCATTACCCTCATTTAACAAGTTTTTTGAGAAAAAAGCTTTTATTCTTATACCGACGCCTGAAATAATAAGATGTTAATATATATTCAACAATTAACTCATACTTTACTGTTAATAATGTCTTTATGTAATGATGACAAATTTTTATTATGTGGCAACAAAATCATTGTTTAACATCTAAATAAAACTTGATTTAATACCTTCTAGTGTAATATGAAAATATATTTAATTTATATGATGTTTGAATGCACCCCCAACATAATAAGCTATCAGGAGCATGTACCACTTTTATACAGTTGAAAAAAAACAGGGGTTGGACCACTGACTGCTCTTCCAGAGGACCCGAGTACAACTCCCAGCACCTATATGGCAGCTCACAACTATCTGTAACTCTAGTTCCAGGGGATCTGACACCTCACATAGACATACATGCAGGCAGAACACTCAATATACACAAAAGAAAACTTGAATAATTAAAACTAAAAAACCCCAGAAGAACAAGTTTTGTGGAAAAGTTAATTCTTACCTATATGTCGGATGTTATGTGAGACAATTTTGCCTTTGGTAAGTGATGTTACTTGGATACTATTATCCCAGTGTCCAGCACTGAAGAGCAACTTTGCATCATGTGACACTACAAACAGCTTGGAAGTGATTTCCAGCCCTGGAGCAAAAGGACCATTCACAGTTCGCTGAGCTCTGTAAACATAATTGGATTTTAGACTTTTCCTTAACTTTGAATATTACTAACAATAAAATATTTCTCAGACAGGAGGATAGTGCACTGTTTAATCCTAGCACTCGAGAGGCATAAAAGTTGCTGTTAGTTTGAGGCCAGTCTAGTCTCTACAGAGAGTTCCAGGCCAGTTAGAGTTACATAATGAGACCCTGTCTGAAAGCAACAACAATTAAAAATCCAAATAAAGCAATGCCGATCAAAATCCCAAACAAAATTCTTGATAGACCTCGAAAAAATGGTAAACAACTTTATATGGAAAAGCAAAAAACTTAGAAAAGCCAAAACAATCCTGTACAATAAAGGAACTTCTGGAGACGTCACAATCCCTGATTTCAAATGACTACAGAGCTATGGTACTGAAAACAGCCTGGGATGGGCATAACAACAGACAGGAGGACCAATGGAATCGAATCAAAGATTCAGATATTAATCCACACACCTACGAACACCTGATTTTTGATAAAGAAGCAAAAAAATATCAAATGGAAAAAAGGATATTTAATAAATGGTGCTTGTATAACTGGATATCGACACGTAGAAGAGTGAAAATAGAACCATATCTATCACTACGCACAAAACTCAAGTCCAAATGGATCAAAGACCGCAACATAAAGCCAGCCACACTGACCCTCAAAGAAGAGAAAGTGGGAAGTAAACTTGAACTCATTGGCACAGGAGACCACTTCCTAAATATAACCCCAGCAGCACAGACACTGAGAGAAACAATTAATAAATGGGACCTCCTGAAACTGAAAAGCTGAAAAGCTTCTGTAAAGCAAAGGACACAGTCAACAAGACAAAATGACAGCCTATAAAATGGGAAAAGATCTTCACTAAGTCCACTTCAGACAGAGGTCTGATCTCCAAAATATGCAAAGAACTCAAGAAATTGGTCCTCAAAAGAACAAATAATTCAATAAAAAAGTAGAGTACAGACCTAAACAGAGAACTCTCAACAGAGGAATCTAAAATGGCTGAAAGACACTTAGGAAATGTTCAACATCCTTAATTATCAGAGATATGCAAATCAAAACAACACTGAGATTCCATCTTAAACTGAGGATAACTTATGCTGGAGAGGTTATGGGGTAAAGGGAACACTCCTCCATTGCTGGTGGGAGTACAAGCTGGTACAGTCCCTTGGGATATCAGTATGGCGATTTCTCAGAAAATTAGGAAACAACCTTCAGCAAGACCCAGTAATACCACTTCTGGGTATATGTCCAAAGGATGCTCAACCGTGCCACAAGGACATGTGCTCAACTATGTTCACAGGAGCATTGTTTGTCATAGCCAGAACCTGGAAATAGCCTAAATGCCCCTCAACTGAAGAATGGATAAGGAAAATGTGGTACATTTACACAATGGAGTATTACACAACAGAAAAAAATGACATCTTGAAATTTGCAGGCAAATGGATGGAACTTATAAAACATCATTTTAAGTGAGGTAACCCAGACTCAGAAAGACAAATATCATATGTACTCACTCTTAAGTGGCTTTTAGACATAAAGAAAACCAGCCTACAAATCACAATCTCAGAGAACCTAGGCAACAATGAGGACCCTAAGAGAGACTTACATAGATCTAATCTACATGGGAAGTAGAAAAAGACAAGATCTCCTGAGTAAATTGAAAGCATTGGGACCTTGGGAGAAGGCTGAAGGGGAGGGGAGAAGCAGAGAGGGGAGCAGAGAAAAATGTAGAGCTCAATAAAAATCAATAGAAAACCCAAATGAAGACTATTTTTAAGTAGTAAAGAAGAATAATATGACAATTTACCATTCCCAATATAATATTTTATTCTATATTTGTTATGACAGAAATTCAGCCATGTCTGAATGCCAAATATTGTCAGGTTATAACTTAAAAACAGAGAAGGGGAAGAAAAGTGAAAAAGAAGAGAAAATCGTTTTCTCAAAGCATTACTTTAAAAATTACAGGAATCGCTGGGCAGTGGTGGTGCACACCTTTAATCCCAGCAGATGCAGGTGGGTCTATGTGAGTTCAAGGTCAGCCTGGTCTACAGAGTAAGACAGCTAAGGCTACACAGAGAAAACTGGTCTAGGGGGAAAAACAAAACAAAAGAAAAAAAATAAATTAAAAAAAAAACCCAACCATAAAACAACAAAAACCCATTTGTCGTCTGCTTACTTTGGGTTAGTTACAGTTTGATCCTTGATGAATGTGAAGTAGTTAGAAATATTTCTGTCATAAGGTAGCCATCCATGGGTTCCAATAACATAATTAACGCTTACTGTTATCTGAAAAAGAATATATGAAAACTCAAGTAAAATATATTCAAGAATGTGGCTAAAAATAGCCAGATGCTCACAGATTTTTGACATTATTATTAGGCGAACACTGTAAGATACATGAAGCCAAATCTAAATAATTTAAGTGGAAATAACTATCTATTTACAGCTTACTGTAAGAATAGTTATTTTTTAGCTATCATATTAAATTCTCAGGTTATTAGCATTAATGCTAACATTCAAAGATGGCTCAGCGGTTAAGAGCATTGCCTGCTCTTCCAAAGGTCCTGAGTTCAATTCCCAGCAAGCACATGGTGGCTCACAACCATCTGTAATGAGGTCTGGTGCCCTCTCCTGGCCTGCAGGAACACATACAGACAGAATATTGTATACATAATAAATAAATAAATAAATATTTTTTTAAAAAAGAAGAAATTAAAGGTTAACTTTGCCATGACAAATATGATATAATTATCACTTAGTCCAAATCAGGAGAGTTTATAGTTACAATGTCCCTGAAGCAATAGTCTTAGTATGTACTTGCTTTTAAAAGTGTAAATATTTTTACTCTTTCAATTATAAAACAACACTTGTCCTTTTGGCTATGGGAAGTAGATAAAATTGCCGGGGAGAAAATTGAGATCTTGGGGGTGGGGTGGGATGGTGGTAAGGGGAGATGGGGAGAGTAAAGGGAGAAGGGGAGAATGGGGGGAACTTGGGGAAAAAGGAGGATTGGGATAAAGGAAGGGTGGATAGGGGAGCACGGAACCACAATTCTTAGTTAAGGGAGCCACCTTAGAGTTGGCAAGAGACTTGAACCTAGAGTGGCTCCCAGATGCCCAAGCCAAGGCCCCCAGTTAGTTCCTTGGGCAGCTGAGGATAGGGAACCTGAAATGATCCTATCCTATAGCAATACTGACGAATATCTTGCATATCATCATAGAACCTTCATCTGGTGATGGATGGAGATAGAGTCAGAGACCCACACTGGAGCACTGGACTGAGCTCCCAAGGTCCCAATGAGGAGCAGAAGGAGGGAGAACATGAGCAAAGAAGTCGGGACCACGAGGGGTGCACCCACCCACTGAGACAGTGGAGCTGATCTATTGGGAGCTCACCAAGGCCAGCTGGACTGTGACTGAAAAAGCATGGGATAAAACTGGACTCTCTGAGCATGGTGAACAATGAGGGCTGATGAGAAGCCAAGGACAATGGCACGGGGTTTTGAACCTACGTAATGTGCTGGCTTTGTGGGAGCCTAGCCAGTTTGGATGTTCACCTTCCTAGAAATGGATGGAGAGGGGAGGACCTAGGACTTACCACAGGGCAGGGAACCCTGACTGCTCTTTGGACTGGAGAGGGATGGGGAGAGGAGTGGGGGGAGGGGGAGAAGGGTGGGAGGAGGGGGAGAAGGGTGGGAGGAGGGGGAGGGAAATGGGAGGCTGGGAGGAGGTGGGAACTTGTTTTTTTTTTCTCCTTTTCTCAATAAAAAAATGGAAAAAAAAATAAAACAACACAATACCCATGCCCCAACTCAGGTAACTTAAAAAAAATTGTTTTTAGCAGCAGTTGGGAGGCAGAGGCAGGCAGATCTCTCTAGGCAGATCTGAGTTCAAGGCCAGGCTGGTCTACAGAGCAAGTTCCAGGACAGCCATGGCTACATAGAGAAACCCTGCCTTAAATCTGACACCCACCCCATAAAAACACATAGATTTTAAAGATGAAAACTACAGAGTCTTACCACTGAAAACTACTATCAATATTATTGTATATATTTCTAGAATAGTTTTCTAATCAAGCACAATATATACCATTATAAAAAGCGATTTAATTCTGAAGTCTCTCCTGTTAACTGTGCTACAGCACATTTCTATCACACCCAAGTCACAGGATTAGAATAAGACGAACCTAGGATTAGTTCATATGCCAAGGTCTCAGATCTCTACTTGCTAGCTCTGTGATTTCAGGCATGGAACTTCTGAGATTTAATTTTTTATCCATAAAAGGAACATACTAGTGCCTACTACACAAAGCTGTTGGGTAGGCTAAATAAAAAATTGGGTAAAACACTCACTGAAATGCCCTAGAAGAACACCTTAACAAGATCTATATCAGTTCTGATTATTGCTATTATAGCTATGGTGATAAGGTTCCTAGCTATTTTCACAGATTCATTTTTCTAGATAAATGTAATAATTATAATAACTACTTAAAGCAAAATATAAAGAAGACATTTTTATATTTAATCAAATTATTCAAATTAATCAAATGTTATGAAATTATAATTTCATAACAAACTTCTCATTTTTTGTAATGCTGAGGATCAAACCTACGGCCTCATACGTGCTAGGCCGGTGCTCTACCATAAAGCTATTCTTCTAGTTTTCTTGATTATTTTAAAAACATTCTTTTAGGAGATGAAAAGATGGCTCAGAAGAATAAAAGCACTGGCTGTTTTCCAGAGGTTTGAATTCTGGCCCCCATCTGGTGGCTCAGAACTATCTAGAACTCCAGTTCCAGAAAATCTATGCCCTCTTCTGACTTCTGCAGGAACCAGGCAAGCATGCAGTATATATCAAACAAGCAAAATATTTATACACTAAAATATACTAAATTTTTTTTTTCAAGTTTTTTATTGGGTCAGTGATATAGCTTAGAATCATAAGGTCCTGCCACCAATCCTGAGGACCCAAGCTCAATTCTTCTCACACTGAAGGAGAGAATCAACTTGCCCAAGTTGTTTTCTGACCTCCAGGTGCATGTGTATACCCTCACATATTAGAGACGCAACAGAAATATTTTTACTTTATTCCTATTTTTGGTAAACATAGTAGTAAGAAATAGGTATACATAAACTTACCAGTAACTCAGGGCTTCCTTGAGACATAAAAGAACGAGATTGATTTGGGGGGATGATGGCCTTTAATAGAGGAATACCATCACTAATTCCCTGTAAAATAAAAGATGTTTAATGGCTGGTTCTGTTCATTTATTAGGTACAAATTAAAAATTTCTAATTTTTTAAACAGGGATGATCCCTATAATACTTCATTTTATTCTACCTGATCATGTAACAATTTAATATAAAATGTGAGAAAATAATTACATGCCACGTTTGAATAGCTAGCACACCTGAATGTCTGAAACTAAACACTGTCTATGCCAATACTCTGTTGGTAAGAAGACGTAGATGCCAAAGAGCAGAAATCATTTAGAACAGCAATTTAGGGTCTTTCCTTGTCTCTGCTATACTGAAACAAACATAATGCAGATGTAATAAATTAAATGAGAAAGTTGTTTATAATTTATAGAAAAATATTTTGGCTTTACATCAAAAACATTAATATATTTTGTTAACTGAGGTTCTTTCTGAAAGTCCTATTTTATGAAAATCATACATTATGACCCAAAAATGAATATCATTCTGAGGAAACAATTGCCATCATCGTATCAAAATACAAAATAACAATAATTTGAATTATTTTTCTGATGTGTTTATAGTTAAAAAATGGCAGATAACACTTACTGTGGATAACATTATTGAATATATAAGCCATGTAACAAATATTATTCTACTCTGATTTTTTTTTTTTTAGATAAGGTCCCATGTAGCCCAGGATGACCTTGAATTCCTGAACCTTCTTTTTAAAATAAAAATATTTATTATGTATACAATGTTCTGTTTGTGTTGTGCCTGTGGGCCAGAAGAGGGCACCAGACCTCATTACAGATGGTTGTGAGCCACCATGTGCTTGCTGGGAATTGAACTCAGGACCTTTGGAAGAGCAGGCAATGCTCTTAACTGCTGAGCCACCTCTCCAGCCCCCACAAATATTATTCTAAGAGGTCTATAAGAACTAATAATGTTATAAAATCTAATAAATAATGTTATAAAATTCATTAAAACTGCTTTTCTCTTCAAATTGTGAATCAAGAGTCATTTGTGACTCCAGCCAGAGAAGCAAGAAGGCTAACTGTAGATCTCGAGCTCTCCCTCAGACCCTAAGTCACCCCCAGCTCTGTAGACTGCCTGCTGCATCCTGCCTCCACACTCTTCCCCCATCTCCAGTGGATCACACAGATCTTCCCCTCCTAACTTCCTCCCCCCCTCACTGCTGTATCCCAGCCTCCAACCCCAGTAATCATTCCCTGGGAACCATTCCTCCAATTCCTCCCTCTGCCCTAATTCCCAGATGGCTAAGCAGATCCTGGTGGAACGCCTTGCTATAGCTCCTCTGTACTCTATCCCCACACCTAAGTGTCAGTTCCCAATACCTAGAAATTCTCTGCTCCCATTGCTGGGGGATAAAGCAGGTCCTGGCTGGAATGCCTTGCTTTCCTCCCTCCTGTGGACTCCCTCAGTACCCCTGTCAGGCCATTTCCATTCCTAAGTGTCAGCTCCCAATACCTAGAAACACATTTTATCTAGAACCTCCCAGTGACTGCATCTATTAGGGTCCCAGAGGAATTCCCCACCAGGCAACACAGAGTCGCCACAAGAACCAGAGAAGGAAACAGAAACCAAGGACAAACTATCCATCCATCCACCCAACAAAGACAACACCAGGTATCAGCACCTAGAATTACCATCTTCCAAAACCCAGATACCTAGACACCAGTAAAAAACCAAAATAACAGTCAGGATAATGTCTTGACTAGAGACCAGCAACTGTATCACACCAAACTCTGAATATTGCAAAACAGTTGAAGCACAAGAAAAAAAACTTATCCTTTAAGTATATAATGAAGATCCTTAAAGAGAAAAGGAACAAATCCCTCAAAAATGGTCCTCCCTGCTAGCCACTGGGAACACACACACACACACACACACACACACACACACACACTGAGTTGGGTCTGTCAAAAGTCTGTCAAAGCAGGATCTTGTTTAATTGCATTAGGCAGGAACTTATATAGGCTGAGACAGGGGGTGGGAAGCCTGGATGGGTTGAGGCAAAGAAAGGAACAAGGGTCAATAATGTTCTGCCATGTTAGCGGTGGCTGAGCAGAGATGGGCCTAGGTTGAGTAGCCAAACAGGTCTCCAAACTTGAGCTAGGCTCAGGAAGTTACACTAGGCCTCACCAAACTCAAGTTAGGCTTAGGAAGTTACACTAGGCCTTATGCCCAAGCCTCATGAGGCCCAACAACAAGAAAATAAAAATAGAATTAATAAAGAAAACTCATACTCATGGAACTTTAAAAATGAAAAATTTAGGTACTCAAATAGGAACCTCAGAAGCAAGCCTCACAAACAGAATATGAAAGATGGAAGAGAGAATCTCAGGCACTAAAGACACAAAGAAAAAATGGATATTACGGTCAAAGAAAAAAATGTTAAATCTTAAAAAAAAAAAATCCCGACACAAAACGTTCATGAAATCTGGGACACTAAAAGACCAAACCTAAGAATAATAGGAATAGAAGATGAAAATGGAATGCAGTCAAAGGCACAGAAAATATTTCCAACAAAATCATGGACTAAAATCTCCCTAACCTAAAGAAGAAGACATCTATCAAGATACAAGAAACATCCAGAACATTAAGTAGACTGGAATTGAAAAGAAAGTCCTCTCAGTAATAATAAACTGATAAATGTAATCTACCAAATAAACAACTTGAAAGACAAAAAGCACATGATCATCTCCTTAGATCCTGAAAAGACCAATCCAACATGGTCATGAGACATCAGGGAAATGCAAATCAAAATGACTTTGAGATTTCATCCTATACATGTTAGAATGACTAAGATCAATGATTCAAGTGCCAGTTTATGCTGGGGAGGATAAGGAGCAAGGGGAATATTCCTCCATTGCTGGTGGAGTTCAGACTTGTACAGTCACTATGAAAATCAATGTGGAGTTTCTCAGGAAGATGGGACTCGATCTACCTCAAGATCCAGCTATACTCCTCTGGGGTATACAGCCAAAGAACACTTCATTCTATCACTGAGATTCATGCTCAACCATATTTATTGCTGCTCTATTCATAATAGCCAGAAACTGGAAACAACTTAGATGTTCCTCAATTGAAGAATGGATAAAGAAAATATGGTACACTTATACAAGAAAATATTACTCAGAAGCTGAAAAAAAACTTGCAAATAACAGGTAAATGGATAACTATAAAAGAAAAAAAAAATCAACCTGAAAGAGGTATCCAGAACTAGAAAGACAAATATATTGTGTATTTGCTTACATGTAGATATTAGCTGTTTAATCAATGATAACTAAACCACAATCTATAAACCACAGACATAAAGTAAAGGACTGGAATGAACAGATAGATCTCCCTAGAAAAGCAAAATAGAATAAATAGTTATAGATGGATGGGATGTGGGCACTGAAACAGAGGGATCAAATGGGGAGGTGAAAGGGAGAGATGGATGGGGAAAGGAATACATAGAGAGATAGCTAAAATTAAGGGCCATTTGAAGAGATTGAAAACCTAATACAGTAGACACTTCTTAAAATACATACATATATGAAGATAATCTTAAGTGAAATTGCCAAATAATGGGAAAGACAGAGCCCCATTTGGATATCTCTTATCACCAAATGGAGATTCCAGCATCAGGATTGGGTTACATTGTTGGTCCAGGGGAACTTTCGAAATTCCAGGCTGTTGCCAAAGTTGTACTCCATAAACTGCCAGCAAGGCTCCATTGCTGAGGACAACACCTACACAACTCTCTGAACATGGAGAAGTCAAGCTGGTGCCCAATGGAGCCTTTACCACTATATGCTAACATCTTTAGTACAGGGAGATACTCTGCACACTACCAAAAGAGAAATGTCAACACCAAACAAGTCACACACTCTCTGATCTACAATGGTGTCTTTCCTGCAAGATATATGAGTGCAATGGTGGCGCAAAGTTTGTGGGAGAAACTGTGTTATAGTTAAGAAGAGATATCCTGGCAGTTGGGAGCCAAAGAATACCATAAAATCACACTGCATAATAAAGTTCACACAAGAGATTTGTTGATAGGGAAAAACACAGGCGGGTGGTTGCCTCAGGGAAAGATACATCAGAGAATTGAGCAGGAGGCAGGATTTAAACAGTTTCTTGTATTTGGCCATGAGAATTGGGGTGGGGCTTTGTACTTAACTACAGGCCATGGCAGTCAGAAGACCAGAGAGGAAACAGAAACAAAGGAAGAAAATATCTATCCAACAAAGACAAATTTCCTAGACCTATCTATAAATCACTCCAAATCAGATGCCAAACAACCAGGTCAGTATGTCACCACCAGAGCCCAGCCAGCTCATTACTTCAAGCCCTGAATATTCCAACAGAGTTGAAGCATAAGAAAATGACCTTAAAACCAACTTTATTATGATGATAGAGGTTCTTAAATAGGAAATGAGTAAATCCCTTAAAGAAATCAAAAAGACAAAAAAAAGTTGGATGAAATCAATAATCTCTTAAAGAATGTCAAGAAAACAGTTGAAAGAAGTGAATAAAACTGTTCAAGACCTAAATATGGAAAACACAAACTGAGGGAATTCTAGAAATGGAAAACTTAGATGAGTGAACAGGAACTACAGCAAGCATATCAACAGAATACAAGAGATGGAAGAGAGAATCTCAGGAGTTGAAGATACAATAGAAGAAATAGATACATTAGTCAAAGAAAATGTTAAAGCTAAAAAATTCCTAACACAAAACATCCAGGAACCCTGGGATAGTATGAAAAGATCAAACTGAAGAATAAAAGGAATAAAGAACGAGAAGATTCCCAGTCCAAAGGCCCAGACAATATTTTTAACAAAATCACAGAAGAAAAATTTCCTAACCTAAAAAAGGACATGCCTATAAAAGTACAAGAAGTTTCCAGAACACCAAATAGATTAGGCCAGAAAAGAAAGATCACCCTCCCACATAATAATCAAAACACTAAAAACACAGAACAAAGAAAGAATATTAAAAGCGGCAAGGGAAAAAGGCCAAATAACATAAAGGCAGGCCTGTTAAAATTATACCTGATTTCTCAATGAGACTCTAAAAGCCAGAAGGGTGTGGACAGATGTCTTGCTGACTCTAAGAGACCATAGATGTCAGTCCAGACTACTATACTCAGCAAAACATTCAATCACCATAGATGGAGTAAACAAAATATTCCATGATAAAGTCAAATTTAAACAATATCCATCCACAAATTCAGTACTACAGAAGATACTAGGAGGAAAACTTAAACCCAAGGAAGTTAACTACATCTAAGAAAACACAGGTAATAAATAATCTGGCACCAGCATAACCCAAAGAAGGAAAATATGCATACTCATATGCACGCGCGCACACACACACATATACCCAACAACATACAGATACTTATGGGACACAATGAAAACAGTGCTAAGAGAAAAGTTCACAGACCTAAGAGTTCTCATGAAGAATTTGGAGAAGTCTCACACTAGTGACTTAACAGTACACTTCAAAGCTCTAGAAGAAAAAAGAAGCAAACAAACCCAAGATGAGTAAACAATAAGAAATAATCAAACAAAACTGAGATAAATAAAATAGAAACACAGAGAACAATACAAAGATTTAATAAAACAAAAAGTTGGTTCTTAAAGTCAACAAGATAGATAAATCCTTTATCTAAACTAAAAGGCAGCAAAAAGAATATTCAAATTAGTAAAGTAGAAATGAAAGTGGAACATAGCAACAGACACTGGGGAAATCCAGAGAATCATTAGGTCATACTTCAAAAACTTGTACTCTACAAAATTGGAAAAATCTGAAAGAAATGGACAAATTTATTGATAAATAACACATACAAAAGTTAAATCTAGATTAGACAATTTAAATAGACCCCCCCCCCAAAGAAGCTGTCATTAAGTCTCCCATCCAAAAAAAACCCCAAAAAAACCAAACCAAACCAAACAAACAAAAAAAGCCTACGGTCAGATGGTTTTAGCACAGAATTCTACTATACTTTCAAAGAAGACCTAATGCCAATACTCCTCAAGTCATCCCACAACTAGAAACAGAAGGAACAGTGCCAAATTCTTTTCATGAAGCCACAGTCACCCTGATATCCAAACCACACAAAGACTCAACAAAGAAAGAGAATTACAGACTAATTTCCCTCAAGAACATCGATGCAAAATACTCAATAAAATACTTGGAAACCGAATTCAAGAATACATCAAAAAGATCATCCACCATGATCAAGTAGGCTCCATCCCAGAGATGCAGGGATGGACTAACAATGAAAATCTGTCAATGTAATTCACCATATAAACAAACTGAAAAAAAAAACCCATATGATCATTTCAGTAGATGCTAAAAGTCTTGGACCAAATCCCAACACCCCCTCATGATGAAAGTCTTGGAGAGAACAGGGAAGACAAGGGACATACCTAAACATAAGAAGGGCAAAATATAGCAAGGTGATAGTCAACATCAAATTAGATGGAGAGAAATTCAAAGCAAAATTTCCACCAAAATCAGAAACAAGACAAGGCTGTCAAATTTCTCCATATCTATTTAATACAGTATTTGAAATTCTAGCTAGAACAATAAAACAATTAAAGAAGATCAAGGAAGATACAAATTGGAAAGGAAGAAGTCAAAGTATCATAATTTTCAGATGATATGATAGTCTACATAAGTGGCTACAAAAATTCTACCATGGAATTTATCATGAAGATAGAAAGATCTATGCTCATGGTTTGGTAAGATTAACATAGTAAAAATGGTCACCTTACCAAAAGTAGTATGTAGATTCAACATAATCCCCATTAAAATTCCAACACAATTGTTTATAGGCCCTGAAAGAACAATACTCAACTTCATACAGAAAAAAAAAAATCCAGGATAGCTAAAACAATCCTGTAAAATAAAGGAATGTCGAGAGGTTATCACCATTCCTGATTTCAAGCTCTACCAGAGAGCCATAGAAATAAAAACCACATGGTCTTGAAATAAAAACAGACAGGTGGATAAATGGAATTGAATCATAAATTCAGACGTAAATCCACACAACTATGGACACCTGATTTTTAATAAAGAAGCCAAAATAACACAATGGAAAAAAGAAAGCACCTTCAACAAGTGGTGCTGGTATAACAAGCTGTCAGCATGTAGGAGAATACAAATAGATCCATATCTATCACCCTGAACAAAACTCAAGTCCAAGTGGATTGAATACTTTAACATTACTTCATATACACTGAATCTGACAGAAGAGAGAGTAAGAAATAGCCCTTGGTACAGGAGACAACTTCCTGAATAGAGCACTAAGATAGTTAATAAATGGGACCTGATGAAACTAAAAAACTTCCCTAAGGCAAAGGGCACTGTCAATTGGACAAACGAATGAGAAAAGATATTCACCAACCCTACATCCGACAGAGAGCAGATTTCCAAAATATCTGTAGAACTCAAGAAACTAGATATTAAAAAAAAACAAACAACAACAACAACAACAACAAAAAAAACCCAAACAAATGATACAATTTAAAAATGGGTACAGATATAAACAGAGTTCTCAATGGCTGAGAAACTGTTTAACATCCATAGCTATCAAGGAAATGCAACTCTGAGATAACAACTTCCACCTGTCAGAATGGCTAAGATCAAAAAACACAAGTAACAGTTCATGCTGGAGAGGATGTGGAACAAAGTGAACACTCCAACCATTGATGGTAGGAGCAAACTTTGGAAATCAATATGGTGGTTTCTCAGAAAATTAGGAATTGATCTACCCCAAGACCCAGCTTTACCAATCTTGGGCATATACTCAAATGATGCTCAATCACACCACAAGGATATTTGCTCAACTGTGCTCATAGTAGCTTTATTTGTAATAGGCAAAATCTGGAAATAACCTAGATGCCCCTTAACTGACAGAATGGATAAAGAAAATGTGGTACATTTACACAATGGATATTAATCAGCAGTAAAAAACAATGACATCATGAAATTTGCAGCAAACAGATGGAACTAGAAATAATCATCCTGAGTGAGGTAACTCAGACCCAGAAAGACAAACATGGTATGCATTTACTTTAAACTTGAATATTAGCTGCAAAGTAAAGGATAACCAGACTACAATCCCCACACCCAGAGAGGCTAGATAACAAGGAGTGCTCTAGACGGTATGCATTGATCTCCCTTGGAAAGGAAATAGAATAGATTTCAAGGGTGGAATGGGGTCCAGTAGGCATGGGAAAAGGAGGAAATAGGTGGGATGAGGTGTGGGCAAAAAGAGTAGTGGGAGAGACTGAAATTGGGTGGCATTTTGGGGGTAGGGTAGTGCAAGAGAAACTCTCAGGAATCTACAAAGATGACTCTAGCTAAGACTACAAGTAATAGTGGATACATAGCCTGAACTGGCCATGATCTGTGACCAGGCAAGACATCAACCCAAAACCTTCAACCTATAGTCTGCCCTGCCTATGGGAAGTACTGGGATAAGGATGACACAGAGATTGTGGGATTGGCCAACTGAAGACTCTCAGTCTGAGACCCATGTCACAAGAGTGAGCCGCCATGACATACATTGTCTGGAATGCCAGGACCAAGAGGCTGGATGACCCAGGGACTTAGGATAGAACCAAACATGACTGGAGAAAAAAAAAAAAAAACCAAGTGTCAATGAAATAATTCCTAATGATATTCTGCTATACTCATAGACTGGTGAATACCCCAATGGTAATCAGAGAGGCTTCATCAAGAAACTGATGGAAACAGATGCACACACCCACAGCCAAACATGGGGCCGAGCTCAGGGAATCCTGCTGGACAGAGGAATGATTGTAAAAGCCAAAGGGGTCAAGGAAATCACAAGAAAACACACAGAATCAACTAACCTGGGCTGATAGGGGCTCACAGCATCTGAACGGACAACCATGGAGCCTGCGTGGGACTGACCTAGGCCTTCTGTATATATGTGACAGTTCTGTAGCTTGGTCTTCTAATGGAACTCCTAACAGTGGGAGTGGGGGAAGTCACCAACTCTTTTGCTAGCTTTTGGGACCCTACAGTTCATACTGGAATGCCTTGCTCAGTCTTAATAAAAGGGGAGGTGCTTACTGCAACTTGATATACCATGCTTTGTTGATACCCATGGGAGGCCTGCCCTTTTCTGAATAGAAATGGACAAGAAGAGGAGGGGGCAGAGGGAGTTTGGGGGATGGACTGGGAGGAGAGGAAACTGCAGTTGGGATGTAAATAAATAAATAAATAAAAGGTGGAGGAGCAACAGACGAAAGGAGCTGACCTTTGGTTTTTCACAAATGCATAGTACAACTATAGGTACAGAGAAGCACACACCACACAAGTGATACACCTATAGGCATAGATGAGCACATCTACATATACATGTACAAATAGAGAATTGGAGAAAGGTCTCTGATATTACCAAGTTGGGTATTACCTCTATAAAAAATGACTTCAATTCAGGGAGATGCTGAAAGAGGTTGAGGGTTGAGTTTTCTGTTTTGGTTTGCTTTTGTATGGCTTCTTCTGCTGATAATCTTGGAGGGTGTGGTTCCTTCAAAATAATTTTAAGGAAAAATGACAGAGTTACATGAAAACCTGCTCAACTCAGTGGACTATGCTATAATAGAATGCATATTAGGCACTGTTAACTCCAGGCCATGGCTTAGCCTATACCCCAGCAAATTTGCCATCCATCCTCTTCTACAGACATCTCATTTCTACTTTAAATTTTTCTTACTGATATCACTCCTGCATTTCTAGATCAGAATGATTTTTTCATATTCTCTTTCATCAATTATTTAAGATTTCTTGTTTCTTTTTTTCTATTAAGTATTCATTGGTTGTTTATGATCAGTCTTTCCCATTCAGCCTATAGGAATCTTTCTAAATTCCATTTAACTTATTTTTTGTGTATATGTGGTAATATACATGTCATTTTGCATGTGTGGAGGTCAAAGAACAACATGCAGGAGTCAATTCTCTTTCTTCTACCATGTTGATATGGGGACTGAGCTCATGTCATCAGTCTTGGCAGCAGGTATATCTCAAACTTAATGGATGTTTAATAAATTTTTGGTAAAATTAATGAAGCACTTAACATTCAAACTTTAAGATGTAGTATATAATTCCTAAAAGACTGATCAAAATGTAAAAACTATCAAAATCAAATTATAGACATGACTGCATAATTTACAGATTATTTTTTCCTACCTTTCAAGTTGCAGATACAGAATTAAGTAAATTAATGTTAGTAAAACATACTGATAAGATATTAAGTACCTTTTTCTATTCTGGGGCACAATTGATATGTATTAGAGTTGTCCTTCTAAAGAGGATTTTTGCAGATATTTTTGCCATAAATATCTGCAAACAGGTATATCTTACAGGTGAGAATTCTTACAGGTGAGAATTCTACCAGATAATCACCAATTCTGACTATCCAAGTGCTTAGAAAACTGAGGCAGGAGGAATTTGAGTTTGAGGTCAGCTAAAGTGTCAAGGCAGTACAGGCTACATAGTAACACTTTGTCTCAGAAAGAAAGAAGAACAAATCAGGGAGCTGGAGTTTGATTCTTTTGATTCTATTACAAAATCTTAGATAGTAGGAAATAGATGTCATGTAAATGTGTACCTTTTAATACTTAGGTAAAAACAACTTTATTTTAAATTACAGGCTGAGAGTCCTAACTCTGCCTGGTTTTCTCTTCTGTGTTTGTGGGGATGGGGCTGATCTTGAACACTGCGCATAATAAGCCAACATTCCTGGACTAAAATTCAACCTCAGCCCCTTTTATAATATTTTTAAATCACAATAAAAACTAGTATGAGGGAGGTGGCTTACTAAAGTACTTGCCTAGAAACAAACATGAGGACCTGAGTTCAATTTACAGAATCCTTTTTTTCTCATTTATTTATTTATTTATTATTTTTGTTTTGTTTTGCTTTTCAAGACATGGTTTCTATGTAGGACTGACTTGACTCTCCTAGACTGTCCTGACTGTTCTAGAACTCACTCTGTACACCATGCTTGACTCAACCTCTCAGAGATTACTTGGCTTTGCCTCTTAAGTTTTGGGATTAAAGACATGTGCCTCCATTGCTTGGCAAGTCGTTGTTTTTCTTAGGAAGCATACAAAGCATAGGGTATATCTTCTCCAAGACCTCCCCACCCTAGCTTTTATCTTTTTTACATTTTACATTTCCTATCTTTCTCATTCCCTGTTACCATCACCTCAGAACTCTGTCAGTGAAGAATGATCTGTTGTTTCATTCTTGTACTTAAGAAATTATTCTGAGAATCTCTTTGCTGTGAAACTTTCCCTTCTGCTTAAATGTATAGCCTGACAAGTTGTCTCTTACTATTTTAATTGTTCAAAGACTTTTTAATAGAGTTTTTGGGATCATTTATCCTGTTTTAAAAAAGGCCAGCCAAGGTGGTTAGCCAGCTAGCCTACTTGATAAATTCTAGGCCAGTAAAAGATCAGCATTTCCACAAAATGGTGGACAGTGCCAGAGAAATGACATACAAGAAATGACACTCTAACCTCCACAAACATGAACAAATAGGGCAGGATAACTGCCCTGCCAACCAGTATATCAGTACTGCTCTTGTAAAATAATAATAATTTAAAAAGTAGAGATGAAGTCTGGTGGTGGTAGCACATGTCTTTAATACCAGAACTCAGGAGGCAGAGGCAGGCAGATCTCAGTGAGTTTGAGGTCAGTCTAGTCTACAGACTGAGCTCCAGGACAGCCAGGGCTACACAGAGAAACCATGTCTAGAAAAACACAACAAAAGGTAGAGCTGGTGCAAAATTAAAGATTCTAAGTCAGAGCTCCACCTGGAGTTCTGTTTGATTCTGAATCTACCACTGCACTATATTCGCCCCCACCCTTTTTAAACTTTTCTCTTTGAGACAGGGCCTCACTAACTTGGTCAGGGTGGCCTTAAACTCACTCTATAACTTAAGCAAGCACTGAACTCATGAATCTCCTGAATGGGGAGAATTACAGGATTTTACCATTAGGCCCAGCTTATTCTGTAACTTTGCCTTTTCTTTTTCATTTAATGTTTGAGACAAGATTTCACTCTGCATCCCCAATGGCTTCAAACTCTCTATGTAGTGATCTTGAACTCAAGATTCTCCTGAGTGCTGGGACTACAGGCATATGCTAGCATGCATAGTTTACTGTAAGGAAAAGGAAAACAAAGATATAAAGGCAAATATCAGAATAAGAAATAAAAGAATAAAATCAGAAAAAAAATGTAAAAAGGGAAACAACTGAAAAGATAAGGAAGGGAAACATCAGGGTAGAAGAACTGAACAGAAGAAGACTAGAGTGGAAGAAGGACAGAAAGAATAATAAACAGAAACTTAAATCCCTCAGAAAGAAGAAGCCTGTGTGATTTTCTCACTGATTCTGCATCTCGCTCCCAGTCTCTCTGACCTGCAGAAAGCTGGTTCCTCTGCATCCCACCTATTCTGAATGTGTGTCTGTCATTTGTTCATTACCCTCTTGCCCCAGTTAAGTCAATCCTTAAAGCCATGCAAGGTCAAAGCATCAGGTCATCAGGCTTGCAGAGCAAGTACTTTAACCCTCTGAACCATCATCCTGGTCTTGATTTACGAATTTAAAAAATGAAGATTGTATCATTACTGTTACAATTACAGAAAATAATGCAGTGTCTAAGCAAGAAAGTATATACTTAATAAATGGGCTATTTTAAAAATTTAATTAATTTTTTTTTGAGACAGTTTTTCTGTGTAACAGCCCTGGCTGTCCTGGAACTCAGACCAGGCTGGTCTTGAACTCACTGAGATCCCAGAGATCTGCCTGACTCTGCCCCCTGAGTACTGGGATTAAAGATGTTTACCACCACCATCCAGTTTATTATTTATTCTTTATCCTTAAATTCATGCTAACAAAGATGACAGCTTCTGAAATACTGGACTGATTTTTATGAATTAGTGGCAGTTAGGAAGATAACAATTTATATTCACATGCCAGTATAAGGAAACATAGCAGTGTTTAATAATTTGATTATGTACTATACATATTTTATGAGTCTTAACATTGGGTTTAGGCTCTGGGTGATAAGTACTATTTATGGAATGATTTCAATAGCTTAAAATCTTACATATAGAAGGAGTGTCAACATATGGACAGTTTTAATGATATACTGTATTTGATATTCAGAAACACAAGGCTGAGGAGATAGCTCAGTTAGTAAACTGCTTATTGTTCAAGTATGAGGACCTGAACTTGACCTCAGCATCTATGAAAATAACTGAGCAGGAAAGGGTATACTTGTAATCCAGTACTGGGGAGGGAAAGACAGAAATATCTGTTGTACTCACTAGCGAACTCCAGGTCCACTGACAGATTCTGTCTCAAAAAACAAAGTGGACATCTCCAGCAAAGAACACTAGATATTTGACCTCTGGTCCCATACTATACATTAACACACATGGGGGGGGGTGTTAAAATTTAATTCTTTTGTGACTTATGAACAACTGATTATATAAATGGAGATTCCCATTCTCCTTAATGCTGGGAATCATATCCAGGGCATTGTACAAGCACAGGAAAACATTTAGCGTGAGTGAACTTTTTAAGATGTTACCTAAACTACCCTAGAATTCATAATTTCCCACCCTAGCCTCTTGAGTATCTGGAAGTACAAGTATGTACCAAGACATCTGGCTTCATAACTAGATCCTACTTCAGTTTTTTTTTCTTACTTAAACAGGAACAATCAAATTTACTTAGTTTTAAATGATAGTTTATTAATATTTTTTTCTTAATTGTGGACAATGACTCTCTAAGGTATTTTTATTTTGTAAATTTTATTTAATTTTATTTTTTTTAAAAGTATAAGTGCTCTGTCTGCATGTTTGCTTGCATGCCACAAGAGGGTATTAGATCCCATTACAGATGGCTGTGAACCACTAAGAGGTTGCTAGGAGTTGAACTCAGGACTCTGTAGAGCAGTCAGTGCTTTAACCACTGAGTCATCTCTCCAGCCCAATTCTCTAAGTTTTAAATTACTAAAATCTTTTAAAACAACAGCAGTACTATTCCTTGGAGATTCAATTATCAGTCATGTTAGCATCAGGAGTCTCAATTACATGAGTACATTACAACTTAATACAGGATAAATGCAATCTCATAAACCAAACCCTCTCACCTACAATTACTCAAGGACTACCATTCTTCAAACCTCAGAATACTTGAGACATCATTCTAAGCTAGCAGTTCTCAACCTGTGGGGTGTGAATCCTTTACTAAAGCTCTATCTCCAAAAATACCTATATTACAATTTATAACAGCAAAATTACAGTTACGAAGTAGCAATGAAAATAATTGTATAGTTGGGGTCACCATAACATGAGGAACTATATTAAAGTGTCACGGCATCAGGAAGGTTGATATGCTAATAGAGAGTGACACTATTAGGAAGTATGGTCTTGTTGGAAGAGGCTGGATGGCACACACCTATAATTCAGACCTTGGGGGTGAAGGGCACTTAATCTGGGCCACACCTTCTGTTGGAAGAATGTCACTGTTGGGGCAGGCTTTCAGGCCTTATTTTCTTAAGTTTCTCTCAGTGTGACTGTCAGTAGATTTCCTATTTCCTATAAGTGAAGATGTAGGACTCTCAGGTTCAGTACCACATCTGTCTGCATGCTGGCATGCTCACCACCACAATGGACTGAACCTCAAGCCAGCCCCTTAATTAAACGTTTCCTTTATAAGAATTGCTGTGGTCATGATGTCTCCTCACAGCAATAGTAAACCTTAACTAAGACACTGAGAACAACTGCTCTAAGCTGTTGACAGCTTACACAGTTTACCTTTAACAGCTGACAAGGTGTTTGTCCAAAATTGTTAATCATCCCTTCTAAGGCTTTTCTTTCTTTTTCATCTGTTAAGGCATCAAGATCTACAGCACCTAAAACAAGAAGTAATTACTATGGGGAAAAGCAAACTAGCATGATTCTGATAAATATATTAAAGATTGATTAACATATTTTAAACATAATATCAGTCTTCAACTTCTCACCAGAAAGTAATTTTCTAGTAACATTAGCTACTTTTATTTGTGTGTATGCATTTGTGTGTATATGCACATACGTATGTGAATACATGTGAGAGGTACTGTTTAAATAAGGGGAAGAACCAGTGTGGGAGACCACCTAAAATATCCCTTCAACCCTTGTGTACCCACACATGCATCACGTACACACAAAAAGAGGTTTAAAAAGTGAGAACATTTTCTACCCAAAGCTGTCAGAAGACAGTTTTGATACTAAGCTAATGCTATTAGAAGAATTTATATACTGGAAATGCTAAGCACTTTTTTTCAAAGTTTACTAGAAATATAACCTGCAATATTCAATGTAAGACTTGATTAAATAGGAAATTTGATTTCTCAAATAAGAGACCAAAAGATATGGTGATAATAGGCATCTATAATTAGATTTCCATATATATGTATGGAACACACACACATATATATAATATATGTATATATAATTAGATTTTATATGCATGGAATATATATACACATATATAATCATAAAATACTATTACAAAACTGAAACAGTGGCAGTTTCATAACCTTGCAACTAAGAAGCTATTTTGTTGATGTACTCTTTTTTATGTTAAGTATCTAGGCCCAAATACTATGCATAACTAATAAACCCTAAATCTCCCAAATTACTACGAAAGAAGAAGTAGTTAGGCTCACACCTTCATAACTACAGTAGTAGAAGACATTGAGTGCTTCCACTGCAGCTGGTCCTCTTTGTTTGTAGCCAAAAATCAGGTCTATCCATTCATGAAGATGAGCAGAAACATACTCAGACTCCTAGAGAGAGAACAAATTTAATAATTAACATAGGTATCTTCCAACTGTAACCTAAATTCATGCTTTTTAGAAAGGGCATGGAGTAGCAGGGAGATGGTGGTGTATGCCTTTAATCTCAGCACTTAGGAGGCATAGGCAGGCAGATATTCAAGATCAGCCTAGTGTATGAGTTCCAGGACAACTAGGGATACACAGAGAAACCTTGTCTTAGAGGGGGGAAAAAAAGAAACCAAAAACATGGTGCCAGAAAGAAGGCTCAGTAGTTAAGAACACTGGCTGCTCTTCAAGAGAAAGCATGTTCAAGCCCCACCACCCACAGGACGACTAACAATCCACAATGACTGACAAACATCTGTGGCGCCAGGTCCAGGATATCTAATTTCTTTTTGTCCTTGCTGGGCACTGAACACACACAATGTATAGACATACATGTAAGCAAAACACTTGAACACTTTTTTTTTTCTAAAGAAGAGTACTGCTCAGTAAACAGTGCTGTGAGATAGTAACACAATTATCAATGGTAAACTAACTCACAATATTCCTTCAGTTCCAATTTGGTAATTTACCTAAACACTCTTAAGACTTTTTAAGTGGCATTTTGGATAGGCTAGTTTTATTGGAACTTGGGTATCTTTCAGAAAAAAATTAAAAATGTAGACATGCTTTGACGGAGGAGGGTCATCTGTCTATTGGTTAATAAAGAAACTGCCTTTGCCCTTTAATAGGACAGAAAATTAGATAGGCGGGGAAGACAGAACAGAATGCTGGAAGAAAGAAGCCTAGTCAGGCAGTTGCCATGATTCTCCTCTCTGAGACAGACACAGGTTAAGTTCTTTCCTGGTAAGCCACTACCTCGTGGTGCTACACAGATTATTAGAAATGGGTTAATCAAGATGTGAGAGTTGGCCAATAAGAGGCTGGAACTAATGGGCCAGGCAGTGTTCAAAAGAATACAGTTTCTCTGTAATTATTTTGGGTAAAGCTAGCCGGTGGCCGGGAGCTGAGCGGCAGGAAGTGGCCCGCAGCACCTCACTATAATGCTTAACTGAAATGAAACAAAAACAGAAACTGCAAAACATTAAATTATTGCAGCTGGGTAAACAGAATAGCAATCCATACAGCACACACACAGAGAACTGGAATGTTAATTACAGCTGAATATCCCTTAGGTAAAATGATTTGGGTTACAAGTATTTGAGATTTTGCTTGTTGCTGTTTGCTTTGCTTTGATTGGAGACAAGTTCATACCACGTTGCTCAGGCTGCCCTCAAAGTCATGGACTCAGGTTTCAGCCTCCTAAGAAACTGCGACTAGGCCAAATTCAAATTGCAGATTTTCCCAGATTATAAAATATTTGCAGAGGATTTATCAGCTAATCCAAAAATCAAAATTTCCAAAATGTCCCAAAGTATAGTGGGAAAACAAAACAACACAAGAAAGCTACTAACTTTCCCCAAATCTAAGAGAGTTAAATAAGAGGTGCAGAATGCATTTTTGTGATTGTTTCTTTTGTAATACTTGTCTAAAACTTGTCAGTTCAAGAAAAAAAAAAACTAAGACTTGATCAAATAGGAAATTTGAAAAATCAAAAGCTTATGATGATACTGATAATTGGTATATATAAGTAGATTTGTATATATACCATTATAAGATATTATTAAAAACAGAAAAATTAGAAACCTATATTTTGGTACATATTCATATAGTATCACAAAATTTATATCCTAAGATTAAATTACTATATTGTACTTTTAGAACAGTAATATATATTGCAGATAACAAATTAATAGAGAAAAAAAGGACACTTTAACTTATCTTTCAAAAACACATCTATATTTTTAGACTTAGTAGAGAGACAACAAAAATCTTACCAGAGCTTTTCTGTGTTTATAAATAAAATCTTCAGCTGACTTAGCCCATCTTGGAAGAATGACATCATTTACCAATTCTTGAGAAACTTGTAGGTGACCCAGATTAAATTCTAATACACAAAAAATAAAAATACCAGAATCATTTTAGACTAATCAAGTGATGTAAAACAAATACAAAAGAGGGTCTATAACTAGAAAAATACTTTAACCTATCTATTGCAGTATACTTTATTCATCAATTAAACTACATAAAGTATTTTAAAATTCATTTTTTGAAGGTACATTTAAGTAAGAATTCTTTTTCTTAGAACTTGGGAGACAGTGGGTAAATTCCAGTGACTTAATAATAGATATCTAAATTTGGATCTCCATCTCTCATATAAGGCACATACAGTGAGTATCTCATGATAATGACTACAGAGCTGGGTGTGGAGATCAGAATCCTATGGGTTTACTGGGAAGTCCATCCAGTTTGTCTCAAAAAGTTAAGGTGAAATGGGATTAAAGACATTGACTTCTGGCTTCTGCATATAAATGCATGCACACGCACACACACACACACACACACACACACATTCCTCCACATGTAAGTACATGGGCATGGGAACAGACATACACACACAAATGAAAAAGAAAAAGAATAGTAAAGGTACTACAATCCTCACTTTAATTGGCTTAAAATAGAATATTAATAATTCTTACACTAAAAATGGAAAATGGTTTATAAAATATGTTTCTTTAAAACTTTGGTGTAACTTATACCTTAAAATCACTCACTGAGAGTTTTGTTTTATGGAAATATAACACCTTATATCCTCTATTCCACAAAGATACTTGCTATTAGAGCTGGACATGACATGTGACAGAACTTCCTCAAGTATGAGGTTTTCTTGTTCACATACTGTGAGAAGGAAAATGTTAACACAAAAGACCTTTAAAAAAAACGGTTTTAAATGTTAGTCTTCAAATAACAGTGTACTGCCTTGAAATATTACATTTCCCAAGTCTAGGTAAGATTTAAAGGTAAGAAAAAGAAAGCTTTTCCCAAGGAAGAGTTGGCCAGTGACCCTCAAGAGGTGGCTACTGGCAGCTTAAGTCTTCCCAAGAGGAAAAATTCCTCATCGAAGGAGGAAGTGGTCAGTGATCCAGAAGAGGTAGCAAGCTCCAGCATCTCCAAGAAAAGGAAATTTTCTTCTGGGGAACCTGAAGCTGTTTCTAGTGCCACAAAGAGTGCAAAGAAAAAGTTCCAGAAAGCATCCCAAGAGGATTAAAATGGATAAGCTTGGTGGGAGGGGCATAACTTGAAGGTGACAGTTCCTACCCATGATTAACTCCAATAAAAACACACAGGAAAGAAAAAGTGTGACAGGAAGTGCAGAGTGCTAGGCTTTCTGGTCAGTGGCCACCGCACAGCACAGCAGCTACAGTCCTTTGTCCACTTCACGGTCATTTTCCTTTGAATTTACTTGCAGAACTTTCGTTTCATCTGCCCTAAATGTGATACCTATTCCATGTGATTACTTTACAGGGTGGTATACAACACAGTTCTAAAGAATGACGTCATAGGGGTTATACTTAAGAGGGACACAACAGATCAACGTTCCCCATCTTTGTAAGACGCTGTTGTTTCTACCTACTATGCTTAAGCTACTTCGATTATTTGTTCCAATTAGAAGAACTAGCCATGAACAAAGGCAAAATATTCAGAATAACAGAGTGAAAATACAGGAAGAATTTTGACAAAGATGATATTATAAACCTGAAATTAAATTTTCTCTAATCTTTTATTACAGAAAACACTGAAATTTCATTGTACAATTTTGTATTGGTTTTATTGCTAGTTATTCCTAGCTATTTATTACCATTAGATTATATATTTGTTTTCTCCTGCTCAGGTTCTTATCAAGCAATTATATAATTACAGTTACACACAGGTACTACACGGTCATACAGCTGAGGGCAGCAATTCGGTCCTAAATATAATGAATTGTTGAGCAAAGAGTACCTGAAGTTTTTCATCCAAATTCACCCCAATTACTCTTCTTATCCCAGATACCCAATGGTTTTATTAAATTCCAGTCTAATAATCTACATAAATCATACCCCCAAATCATGCAAATTTATGTGCTTTAAACAAATGTAAGGTTAGGGAAGCAGTTTGGTTGTGGAGTGTGTGCCAGCCAAGATTGCAAGACTTTGTGTTCAATCTCCAGTACCTTACACACACAAAAGTAATAAAAGCCAAATGGTAGTGGTGCATGTCTTTAGTCCCAGGACTTGAATATCTGTGAATTCGAGGCCAGCCTGGTTTACAGAGCAAGGTCCAAATGCCCTCAAAAAACAAAAAACAACAAACAAACAAAATAAGGAGTAGTAATCAAGTAAAATAACACCACAGAAAAAAATTCTTGGATATTTTAAAATTTTAATTATCATCACGCATTTCTAGTCCAAAAACCCAATTTTGTAAAAAGTGCAACAACAGAGCGACCTAGACCAGAGTGGGTCTGAGAGAGCAATTCCTAAAAGAGCAGGACTAAGCCAGTGACCTGGGCCAGAGGAGACCTACAGTGAACTCCAGGAGAGCAGGAGAGATCCAGACCAGGGTCATTTGCGGGAGCAGGACTGGCACAGCGACCTGGGCCATAGCAGCGAACTCCACAGGAGCAGGTACAGGGGAGCAAACGCTGAGTGAGTGTGCCAGAGACAGAGACCTCTGCGGGTCTGGACCTGAATGTGGGACTTCAAGGGAGAAGACCTAAGGAGAACCTGTGGGTCTGGGCATGAGTCTAGGACCTCTCAGGAACTAGGCCTGAGATGTCAAAGGGAGTAGGCAGGACTAGAAACCTCTTGAGTCTGTGACATCTGAGGGAGTAAGCCTGAGCCATACTCCATGGGTCTGGGCACACTGAGTCGGGGACCTCTGAGGGAGTAGATCGGAGCCAGAGACCTTTGCAGGACTAACCCCAAGCCAGGGATGTCTGCAGGAATGGATCCAGACCAGGGACATTTACAGAAACAGGTCTGAGCCAACAACCTAGGCTAGAGCAGGCCTGAGACAGCAAACTACAAGGGAGCAGAGCAGAGCCCTGGAGTGCTGAGCCACCTTGAGGAACACGGGGAGTGATCAACGGGATAATCAGAATTGTGGCACTGACTGTACCACAAGGAACAACCATCTGAGCCTCGCATTCACTGGCACCTAGAAGACTAATCAACAGAATCGCAGACAGCCCTAACCACACCTATTAGACAAAAGAGGGTAGAAAAGGAAAGAACACACGCAACACCACGAAGAGCAACATGACACCAGTAAAACCGAAAGCCACGACAACAGCAAGACTTGCACAACCAAATACAGATGAGGCAAAAGGAAATGACTTAAAATATAACTTCAGGAGAAGGAAAAGGAAAGCAGTACTAAGACGAAAGTTCATAGCACTAAGTGCCTACATAGAAAAGCTGGAAAAATCCCACACTAGTGAATTAACAGAACATTTGAAAACTTTAGAAATAAACTCACCCAAGAGAACTAGACGACAGGAAATAATCAAATTGAGAGCTGAAATCAACAAAATAGAAACAAAGAAAACAATACAAAGAATCAATGAGACAAAAAGTTGGTTCTTTGAGAAAAATCAACAAAATGGACATTTATACAAACTAACAAAAAGGCAGAGAGAGAATATCCAAATTAACAAACTCAGAAATGAAAAGGGGGACATAAAAACAAACACGGAGGAAATACAGAGAATCATCAGGTCATATTTCGAAAACCTGTACTCTACAAAATTGGAAAACTTAAAGGAAATGAACAACTTTCTGTCTGGATAAAATCACTCACCAAAATTAAATCAAGACCAGATAAGCAAATTAAACACAATTATAACAGCTGAAGAAATAGAAACAGTCATCAAAAGTCTCCCAACCAAAAAATGCTCAGGACAAGATGGTTTCAGTTCAGAATTACACAAGAGTCTCAAAGAACTAATACCAATGCTCTTCAAATTATTCCACACAATAGAAAGAGAAGGAACACTGCCAAACCCTTTTTATGAGGCTATAATTACCCCGATACCCAAACCACACAAAGACATTATTAAAAAAGAGAATTACAGACCAATCAAACTCATGAGCATGGATGCAAAAATACTAAATAAAATACTGGCAAATCAAATCCAAGAACACTTCAGAACCATGATCTACCATGATCCAGTCGGCTTCATCCCAGAGATGCAGGGATGATGGTTCAGCACAAAAATTTGTCAATGTAATCCACCATTTTGAGATTTCAGAGAGTTGTTCACTCTTTCCTTATCTATTCAATATAGTTCTTGAGGTCCTACTTAGAGCAATAAGACAACAAAAGGAGATCAAGGGGAAACAAATCAGAAAAGAAAAACTCCGATATGATAGTTTACATAAGCGACCCCAAAATTCTATCAAGGAACTTCTACAGCTCATAAACACTTTCAGTAATGTAGAGGGATACATGCAGATGATAAATGGGCTGAAAAAAAAATCAGAGAAACATCACCCTTCACAATAGCCACAAATAGCTTAAAATATCTCAGAGTAACTCTAACCAAACAAGTGGAAGACTTGTATGACAAGAACTTTAAATCTTTGAAGAAAAAAACTGAAGAAGACACCAGACAGTGGAAAGATCTCCCATGCTCTTGGGTAGGTAGAATTAACATTGTAAAAATGGCAATCTTACCAAAAGCAATCTACAGATTCAATGCAATGTCCATCAAATTCCCAGCAAAACTCTTCACAGTCCTCGAAAGAATGGTACTCAACTTTATATGGAAAAGCAAAAAACCCAGGATAGCTTCCAACAGTCCTGTACATTAAAGAAACTTCTAGAGACACCACAGTCCCTGACTTCAAACTATTACAGAGCTACAGTGCTGAAAGCAGCCTGGGATTGGCATAAGAACAGACAGGAGGACCAATGGAACCAAACAGAAGACCCGGATATTAATCCACATACCTTTGAACACCTGATTTTTGACAAAGAAGCAAAAAATATCAAATGGAAACAAGAAAGCATATTTAACAAATGGTGCTGGCATAACTGGATAGCAACATGTAGAAGAATGAAAACAGATCCATATCTATCACCATGCACAAAACTCAAGTCCAAATGAATCAAAGACTTCAACATAAAACCAACTTCATAGAAGATAAAGTAGGAAGTACACTGGAACGTATTGGCACAGGAAACCACTTCCTAAATCTAACCTCAGTAGCACAGACACTGAGAGAAACAATTAATAAATGGGACCCCATGAAACTAAAAAGCTTCTGTAAAGCAAAGGACATGGTCAACAAGACAAAACGACAGCCTACAGAATGGGAAAAGATCTTCACTAACCCCACATCAGACAGAGGTCTGATGTCCAAAATATACAGAGAACTCAAGAAATTGGTCATCAAAAGAACACATAATCCAATAAAAAAGTGGAGTACAGACCTAAACAGAGAACTCTCAACAGAGGAATCTAAAATGGCTGAAAGACACTTAGTCATGAAAGAAATGCAAATCAACTCTGAGATTCCATCTTACACCTTTAAGAATGGCCAAGATCAAAAATACTGATGATAACTTACACTGGAGAGGTTGTGGGGAAAAGGGAACACTTCTGCATTGCTGGTGGGAATGCAAGCTGGTACAACCCCTTTGGATGTCAGTGTGGCGATTTCTCAGAAAATTAGGAAACAACCTCCCGCAAGACCCAGTAATACCACTTTTGGGTATATATCCAAAGGATGCTCAATCCTGCCTCAAGGACATGTGCTGAACTATGTTCACAGCAGCATTGTTTGTCATAGTCAGAACCTAGAAACAACTGAAATGCCCCTTGACCGAAGAATGAATAAGGAAAATGTGGTACATTTACACAATGGAGTACTACATAGCAGAAAAAAAAAAATGACATCTTGAAATTTGCAGGCAAATGCATGGATCTACAAAACATCATTTTCAGTGAGGTAATCCAGAAACAGAAAGAAAGTTATTGCATGTACTCACTCATAAGTGGTTTTTAAACATAAAGCAAAGAAAACCAGGCCAGAAATCACAATCCCAGAGAACTTAGAGTACAATGAGGACTGTAAGAGAGACATACATAGATATAATCTACATAGGAAGTAGAAAAAGACAAGATTTCCTGAGTCAATTGGGAACATGGGGACCTTGGGAGAGGGTGGAGGGGAGGAGAGCGGAGAAAAATGTAGAGCTCAATAAAAATTAATAATAAAAAAGTGCAACAACACAGCCATTATTTTAAATGTGCACCTTTTATATATTACTAATAAGGAGTCAGCTGAAGTATTTAAAAGGTAAAAGACCATTTAAATCTTTGTGAATTACTAGGTCTCTTGAAACTACTTATGCTGGTCATTAATTTCTGAAAGCAGTTATAGTTAGAAAAAGCATAAATAAACTGATAAATAAGTTACAATGATACTCTAAAAATATGAGTTTACTCATGGATTTGTCTTTATTTACCTCAAAGACTTGCAATGGCAGTGTAAAGCAGTCCACGACTCTAGTAAAGATTGTACTCTGAGATAAGCTCTCTCAGAAGTTCAAATTTGACTCATACCTTAGTTTCTTGTATCATTTCCCTGAAAAGTAAGACTTGGTCCTATATGTCATTTCTCCGGTGTCAGTTAATCCTGTCACTAATTTACACACCGAACAAAACTTAAATAAATCATACAGTACTACAGAAGATGCCCTCAAAACTTTTTTCAGGATTTTTCACTGGGACCTGTAGAATAAAATTTTAAACCCTCTATTTCTTACCATTTTGATTTTCTAAAAACTCGGGGAAATAGAAGAATTCAGGAATAAGTTCTTTTACATCATATGTATTATCCATAAGAGCTTGCCAGGTAGCAGGGATGGAATGGAACTGCCGGTCTGCACAGTCAAATCTGCACGTGAGATTGAAGGACAACAGTTTACTAAATGAAAACAAGGAAGCATAAAACGAAAACCTTTAAGCTCCCTTCAAATTTACATGTGAGTACAGCTGTTCTTTATCTTCCTTTTTAATATCTGAAAACAACTTTTTACCATCTTTATGATAATGATACTACACACATTTGTATTGTTAGACACCTATCTATTTTCTTTAGAGAAATTGCTATTCAGACCCTTTTCCATTTTTAAATTCAGTGTATTTGGTTGTAAGGGCTCTCTATATATTCTAAATACAAGTCCCTTATTGAATTTTCTTGTATGTACTTTCTTGGTGGTATTTTATAAAGCACAAACAGAAGAAATTTTAAAGCTCTGTCAAACCACATTTCTTCATAAAATTATAAAGAACCAACATAAACCTAATCATAATTTCCTGTATCTTATGAATTTTTACCTGTCAGTACAACATTTTACTGATGCTTAATAATCTTAAAGACAGAGTCTCTTGTTGAAAATCAAAGTTTATTGCAATTAAGATGTGGTAGAGAATTTAGGCTAGCTATAGATGTTATATGCAATGATAATAAAATAGGCAGAATTTGTATAATGTTGACTGAGAAGAGAAAACAAAATGGTAATGTTAAGAACTAAGGCAAAACAGGAACAAAATGCTTACAAGGAAGGTACCTGGAGAATAAAGACTGACAGTAGAAGATTTATGTAGTTTCCTTAGAATAACTAAGAAAATGTGAAATATAGGAAAGTTACAATACCCACAGATAATGTTATTATTGCAGTATCACAGATGTGTTTAAATGGCTGCTATGAATCCCCAACTGCTTCCTCTATTTAGTCTTCACAAATATTGTATAGTCATTGCTGAGAACTGACTATCTGTGGATGGCTCAGATTTAGCTCTACATCACCCTAATGCAATAACTTCAAGAGGGAGTTGTTACTTGGAATTGAACCCAGGACCTGTACATGCTAGACAAATTCTCAGCTGCTGGACAACAGCCTTGGTCTGATATCTAATTATAAATCTCTGTTTGACTTCTCAAATTTGAAGAAACTCCAAATGTATTCTACAATAACAGTGAAAAAATCATATTAAATGTCTTATATCTGAACCAATTGGAATGACTTGTTCTTAAAGTACTTTAGCTGATTTTATCTAAATTAAAACCTAGTAGAGGATTTAAAAGGCATAAATCTATCATTCAGAAAATGATATCAAGATGATTAGTTCTTCTCAACTTTATAGTCAGAGAAAAAATAGGTTTTTATTCTAAGCATACCTTCCACTCTGAAGCTGGATGTGCAGGGTAGTAAACGGTTCTACACGGATAAGATAGTGCATGACACCTGCAGAATTTGAATAGTGAGTACCATAATGAAACTTATCAATCGTTCCCATTGGATCCTCAAAAGTTTCATACCTTAAAAAAAAAAGGTGGAGTTTTACGACCATAATAACAAAATGATAAGAGTCTAAATCTATATTAGTTTGCTTAAAGCATAGTATTCTTTAAAAAGTCAATCCTTAGTCATATACTTTACTATCAAATTAAGTATCTGAATCCCCACATATAACAGGAAAAAATTAATTTCTAAGCATGTTTCCTAAACAATGAAGTATCACTAAAACAAGCTTTTAGAACATTTAAAATAATTTTATTTAAGTGTATGAGTGTTTTGCCTGCATGTGAATATGCACAAGGATAACTGAAAAAAAATTTAAGTAGCTTTGATAAAAAGTAACATGGATATGGATAAATCGTCCAGTGGTTGATAACATATGATGTCCTTTCCAGAGGACCTGGGTTTGGTTCCCAGTACTCATGTGGTGGCTCATAAACCTCTGTGACCCCAGTTCTAGAATTTCTGGCCTCTGTAGGTACCATGCATACATGCAGAAAAAACCACACACATTAAAAACAATTTTTTTTCCCAAACACTCAGGGCTGAAGAGATAGCTTAACAATTAAGAGCACTAGCTACTCTACTAGAAGACATGGGGTCAATTCCCAGCACCCAGAGCAGCTCACAGGCACTCGTAACTCCATTTCCAGATCCAACACTTTCTTCTGACCTCTGTAGGCACATGTGTGATGTACACAATATATGCAGCAAAATCCAATCATACTCAAAAAATAATAATAAAAAAGAAATCTTTTTAATTTAAAAAGGGTAATGCTTAGTTTTTTGACTGAAATTAGCACAAATTCAAACAATGGCTATCTCAAAAGATTTAAAAAGCACTTACTTTTCTTGCATAGCTTTCACATTTTTTTCATTAACTACTCCAATTGGTTTAGAAAGGTCTCGAAATACAGTGGGGTTATTAAGGTCCAACTCTTCTGAAGTATAATCTTGCAAAATCCAGGGAAACTAAGAGATAAAATTCAAAATTTAGAGATTTCTTCCTAGAGAACATAACATTCCCACATCAAATATAAAATGTTCATAAAGATAAAAACGGGTAATCACTACAAAGTTTTTTCCATTAAGAATCCTTTAAAGACATATTTTAATATTTGCTTATTTCAGTTCAATTCTTCTGGACTTTAGTTTTTAATTACTAGTCTTCATGTTTATGATACTTTAAAAATATGGATTGGACTGAAGAGATGGCTCAGTAGTTAAGAGCACAGAGTGCTCTTCCAGAGGACCTGGACTCAATTCCCAGCACTCACATAGAATAAAAAGTAATATGGGGGTGGAAAACATAAAGGCAGGGTATGTGTACTATACATGAGGGTTTCTTTTATAATGCTGGAGATTGAACCCAGAGTTTTACATATGGTACAAGAATATTCTACCACTGAGCTATACCCAAGCCTCTCCATTTTTCTAAATAAAAGCATAAATATCAAATATAGTACTGTACATTATAAAAGTATAAGTTAATTTTAGAAATTTATACAAACTTACTACAGGGTACTGTGCAAGGTCATTATAGGTTCGTCCTGCCATTGTGTTTATTTGAATGAGGTAGTCAAAGTTTGTTATCTCTCGATTCACCCATTTCTGAACAGTACAAAAAAGAACAAAAACAGAATTGTATCACGTAACCTCTTAGAATGTGACAATTATTAATAACCAACATATTTTTTGTAATCATTATCTATCTTCATGATTGATGAGATGGAGCTAAAGAAGTTTAACATAAAGATAAATAAACATCTCCATAATTTATTTCCTTTGAAAATTAGTCTCTAAGACAAAGAGCAAAAAAAATAAACAAAAGCATTATACCATACTCTGGGAAGTCTTAAATAAGAATTAAGTTCTGCCAGGTCTTGCCAGGTGTCATAGTGTGTATGCTTAATTCTAGCTACTCAAGAGTATAATTTAGGAGAATGGCAAGTTGGAGGATACCCTGGCTAATATACCAACCCATTAAAAAAAAAAACCTAGGGACATAGGTTGGTGTAGAGCACTTGCAGTGTAATACTCTGGGTTTAGTCTCATGTAACACAGAGGGGAAAGAAGAAAAATTAAGTCTTCTTCAACTAAATATTTATCTTAAAACTTTAATTTCTAAAAAGACCCCACTTTTGACACTTTTATAACTATGCATACTAGAAGGAAGTACTTTAACATCTAAAGCTTAACATCCTATGTGCTAAGCTAAGGTTATTGGATTTTAGAATGATTAACTATCTGAAAAAGAAAAAACACCTTTACAGAGTAAAATGAGGTGGGACTAGATAGGAAAAAAACATTCCTTGGTCCTCCCCCCTCCGTCCATATCTAGGAAGGTGAACATCCAAACTGGCTAGGCTTCCACAAAGCCAGCACATTAACTAGGACTTACCACAGGGCAGGGAACCCGGTCTGCTCTGTGGACTGGAGAGGGAGGGGGAGAGGAGTGGGGGGAGGGGTAGAAGCGTGGGAGGAGGGGGAGAAGGGTGGGAGGAGGGGGAGGGAAATGGGAGGCTGGGAGGAGGTGGAAACTTGTTTTTTGTTTATGTTTTTTTTTCTTCTTTTCTTAATAAAAAAAATTATTAAAAAAAAACATTCCTTTCTATTGATCACCTTAATCATTTAGTTTTCTAATGTGCATACACAGTAGAGTTATACATCAGAGTTTTCCTGATAGAATATCAATCAACGTTAACCCACTGTGGACCAAAAGCAAAAGGTTATACAATCTATAAAGTAAAATCCATATATTGTGATATATTTCTATACATAGGAAGCTCAATTCTTAGGTGTAAAGTTGAAAAATCAATAGTTAATGAATAAAGTTTATTCGAAAGCAAAATGAACTGTACCTTATTAAACAAAAATTATTTCAGACAACATATTCTTGATTAGGGAACTTCACAGAAGAGCCTGGCATGCGTGGGCGCTCTCTTTCTCTCTCTCTCTCTCTCTCTCTCTCTCTCTCTCTCTCTCTCACACACACACACAGTATAAATGGAAGAACAAAGGCCAGGAGTGGTGGATCACACCTTTAATCCCAGTATGTAGGAGACAGAGTGTCAGTCTCTGTGTATCTGAGGTCAGACTTAATCTACATAATGAGTTCCAGGTCAGCCAAAGCTAGACAGACTTGTATCCACAAAACCAAAACTTACTAACCAACCAACCAACCAACCAACCAACCAACCAACCAACCAAATGAATGAATGAGTAAATGAATGAATGATGAATCAATAAACGGTCGTGAGCAGTTATAAAACAGTACAAAATTCTGAGATATAAAACGAATGATAACAACAACCTATACATTTTCCTACCTGTGTCAATCCTGATGCTTTGAACAATTCTTGTGGTGATCTTGCTCCATAACTATTAGGAGAATGAAGTGACAACAGGCTGCTATATACTTTGTTTCTAACCTACAAAAAATACTACTGTTTAGTTTAAAAACTTGTCAAGACAAATATGGATTAAGGGTTTTGTAATAGTTTTAGCAAGACATAATCCTTTAAGAATAATAGTATTTTCTTCTTGCTTCACAGTGTGCCATTATTATTAATTTTTTTTTGACTTCAGAGAATCTTCACCACTCTACAACTTGTTGGCAGTTATCTCCAATTCTGCTTACTCCCTATTTTCTTGAAAATCCTAATCTACTACCTGTTTTATAACTTCAACTCTTCTGGACATTTCATATCAACAGTGGATTATGCTTTTAATTTCTTTACTATACTTGATGTTGTGGTTTAAATATGTTCTTTTAAAGTTTATGAAGTTTATGATTTAGAAAACTGATCCTCAAATAACAGGTTCATAATTGGAGATGGGGTATTTGGAAATTTCAATCTTTTTTTTTTTAAATATTTATTTATTATGTATACAACATTCTGTCTGTGTGTCTGCCTGCAGGCCAGAAGAGGGCGCCAGATCTCATCACAGATGATTGTAAGCCACCATGTGGTTGCTGGGAATTGAACTCAGGACCCTTGGAAGAGCAGGCAATGCTCTTAACCTCTGAGCCATCTCTCCAGCCCTGGAAATTTCAATCTTAAATGAGGTCATGGAGACAATAAAATGGCAGATAAGGTGCCTACCAGGAATTCTAATTGCTTGACTTTGATCCTTAGGAACCACATTGTGGAATGAAAGAACTGATTTATTACGTTACCCTGTGGTTTCTACAGGTACATTACAACTTCCACATATATAGTTTAAAAAAAATGGTGTCATGAGGCTGAAACATCATATTGACATAATGTCCTCTTGAGAAGAGAACAGGAAACCCAAGCATACTATGCACAGCTTGTCTAAGCTTATAACATAATCAGATGTCTGGCATCTTCTGGTTGATATTCAATGTTCTACTATACACCCCCCTCCCCAATACCAATAAAGGTTTATATACTGACTAGTCTCAGAATACATTTTCTCCTTTAATGTTTTCAATTGATAGGAATACAGTCCAAAACACAATTAGAGTTCAATAGCTGGAAGTTATTCCAAAATAATACTCTGTGATTATCAAAAAGGTACCATACCTCTTTTTTGAAATTGAGAAAGTAGTTAGATTGATCAATATGAAATATCTCAAGTGCTGATCTTCTTAAGTTGTAACGACGTAAGTGAATCTCTCGAATTTGAGAATGAGGCCACTTAAAATCAAAGCCTATTCCTGAAAACAGAAGAAATCTGTGACTGAGGTGCCCCATAAAGCTACTTATTGTATGCAAAACATCTCGTTTCCAAAAGTAGTACTTAGGGGAAAGAAACTGTAGGAAACATGTACACCCCAAAGCTATTCTACTACATTTCTTTCTTTTTTTTTTTTTTTTTTTTTTTTTGGTTTTTCGAAACAGGGTTTCTCTGTGGCTTTGGAGCCTGTCCTGGAACTAGCTCTGTAGACCAGGCTGGTCTCGAACTCACAGAGATCCGCCTGCCTCTGCCTCCCGAGTGCTTATTCTACTACATTTCTATAAGAATAGATGATACTTTTGAATATTCATAGTTTAGAAATCTTTCTCTTCCTAAGACGTTGGATCTTCATATTTAATCATAAAAAAGTAAGCACTTACAGGATGGTGCATAACACACAAAGGTAAGATAAAATTAAGACTGCATTTTGTAACCATAAGTTTATTGTGATACCCTCAAGCCAAAACTCTTAAAATACGCTAATAATGATGGCAATGACAAAAAGCAATTGGTTGTGGGTATGCATACCTATAATCCTAGCCACTCAGAAGGCTAAGGCAAGAAGATTTTAAGTGTAAGATCAGCCTGGGTAACATTTGTCTTGTGTAAGAATACAGCCCTGGTTTCCTAATCTCTTGAGTTCAAGGCGAGCCTGAACTACAGAGAGTTCCAGAATAGATAGGGCTATACAGAGAGACCCTGTCTCAAACAAGCAAGCAAACAAACAAAACCCAAAAATCAAAAAATGGCCTTGGCTTCAATCACTAATACTGTGTGTGTGTATGTGTCTACATATACAAATTATCATTCCCCTTCAATACATAATGGTGGGATGAACCTAATTCATTATTGGCTTTCCATTTTTAATTTTACAAGAAAAACCATAATTTTACAATAATTTTTGCTTCTTTCTCCCTCTAATTCATAACTGATGGAACTGAATACTGAAGGTATTTTCCCAAAACTACTCACCATCTTCTTTTTCAATACTGTTATCATGGAAGTAAATGTGTTGAGTAGTGATTTCTAATCTGCCAGGAATTATGTTGATTACTGTAATGAGTTCACAGTCTTCAGTCAACACCAATTTTTCCTTTTGATCCTGTTCTTCCTTCTCATCACTGTCCAACAAACAGTTTAAAAGAGGTAATCATTGCCAGGCAGTGGTGGTGCACGCCTTTAATCCCAGCACTCAGGAGGCGGAGGCAGGTGGACTGCTGTGAGTTTAAGGCCAGCCTGGTCTACAAGAGCTAGTTCCAGGACAGGCTCAAAAGCTACAGAGAAACCTTGTCTCAAAAAACAAAACCAAACCGAAAAACAAAACCAAAAAGAAGCAATCATCAATTTAGTTCACTTATGTAGAAAAGAATATCTTCTTTTACTACTGATAGTGAATGTTTACGCTGTATTTTTGAAATTCCTTTTCAATCCAGCTAGAAGCTTATGTTTTTGTAATATGTTTATTTTTTTACTAAGTTTTGTTTCAATAATTGTTTAGCTTTTTCATGTCGCTTGAATGAATTTCTTCTTATATCTTTATTTTTCTTTTGTTTTTATATTTTATGCAGATAATTTTCTTTCAAATCGTAGATCAAATCCTAGGCTTTGGGGTATGCATACTAGATGAGCCAGCTACTGCTGTGTTTTACCCCCAGATTCTGTTGCACATTTCCACATAAACACAGCTTAAGGCAGACATCATTCGATATAATGTTTTCATTCAAAAATACTTTATAATTTCAAGATACAGATCCCAACAAACTCAGGTAAAAAGCCTTCCTTAATAATTTCAGTAAATACAGGTTTTTAAAGACAGCTTGGTATTAATAATTGCACTTTGGAGAAACAAATTTAAGCAAATCCACAATTTTACAATCCCATTTCTAATACACAATTTAAATGCGTTCGAATACACATACATACATACATACATATTTACTCTGGCTACCATGTCCTCTTCCAGAAGTTCTAGTTTATCTTCCTCCATATCACTAAGTTTAATTTGTTTCACTACTTCCAAAAGCAAAGAGTCACTAGAAGGCTGCAAGTGTTGGACACCTGTTTAAGCAAAAAGATTCAGTTAAAAATAGCACAAAGTTTTTATAGCACTTCTATATTTTCTGACAGTTATGAGGCTTGATTATTAAAATATATGGTTTAAAATTATAGTTATTTTTAACAATAGCTAATTCTTGATTCAGAAATAGGCTAAGTACTGGATTAGCAGTCTGAGGTAGAAAACTGACTTTATGCAAATTATGAATCCATAAATAATAATTATACTCAATTAAAAAGCATGCTAATAGTAAAATAGTCTCAATGTGTTGATATATGATTGTGCACTTGTACTAAAAAGCAAGTGTGAGCTGGTCTACACATAGTGGCACATGCCCTTTAACCCTAGCACTTGGAGGCAGAGGCAGGTGGATCTCTGTTAGAGGCCAGCCTAGCCTACATAGCTAGTCCTAGGACAGCCAGGGCTACATCAAGACTCTTCCTCAAAACAAAACAAAACAAAACAAAACAAAAAAAACCCAAAAAAGTGTATGATCAGTTAGTTGTCTATAGCTGACAGGTAATCAATAGGTGAATCATTATTTTCTGGAGTACATGGAAAATAACACACATACAGTATTTTATACTGTATAAACTAAGACTTTGTAATAAAAGAGGGCTTTGTAATAGAAAAGAACATGGACTCTGAGTTGGTAAAATAGATTTAAATTCTGTCCTATCTCTGTTCTCTCTGAATATGTGATTTCTACTTTTTAAAACTGTTATGACGGTCCGGATGGCGGTGGCGCACGATTTTAATCCCAGCACTCAGGAGGCAGAGGCAGGCGGATCTCTGTGAGTTCAAGACCAGCCTGATCTACAAGAGCTCGTTCCAGGACAGGCTCCAAAGCTACAGAGAAACCTGTTTTGAAAAACAAAAAACAAAAACAAAAAAACAAAAACTTTTATGACTTACATGGGACTTTATAAAACTAAAAAGCCTTTGCACAGTTAAAAAACAAAACAACAACAAACCCCAACAGTGAAGAGGATCTTAACCAGTTACACCTCTAACATAAGGTTAATATCCAGAATATAAAAAGAATCTAGAAAGGAGCCTAAACAACACACACACACATACACACACACACACACACACACACACACACCCTATTAAAAAATGGGCCCAGGACTAGAATAGAGAGATTTTAAAAGAAGAAAAAAAATAGCTAACAGATATCTAAAAAAATGTTTACTGTCCCTAGCAACTACGGAAATATTATGAAAACAATTTCAAAATATCATTTCCCAGTCAGAATGGCAAAGATCAATCAATGGACAACAGACAATAGATGCTGGAGGGGGTTGTGGAGAAAAGAGAACCCTCATTCACTGCTGGTCAGGGAACATCTAAGAACTGTAAGAGCCATGGTTTGCCGTGGAATGTAGCTACTGAGAACATCCACATTAGGTCTAACCAACAGACTGCCCAAAGGTGACACAAGGACAACAATAGCCATGCCATATGGGTTTGGGGGGAAAGTGGGGAGACAAGATGTCAGGCCTCAACGGGTAAAACCGTGATGAAAAAAGTTGAAAGGACAGCGGTTTTCCTGAATTTAAGACAACTGAAATAAAGAGAAAAGGCTATAAACTTAGACCCATGATCACGTGCGGAGGTATGAGAAGGAAAAGGAGTGTGAATTTCCTAAAGAAGGATTTCTTGAAAAATAACAGAGAAATAGTGCAATTTACAACTACCAAATTGAAGTAATTCACTGAAAAAAAAAAAAAAGAAGTGTCCTAGGTGATGAGGATAGTTAAATTTCGACATATTCAAGTCCCAGAATACTGACGAAGCAGAGCAGTTTATACAACTGTGTGCTGCTATGTAAAATGCATCCAATTAATGTCTGTATCATGGACAAAAATATTATTTTGTATTAAGGGGAAAAATTCCAATATCTGATTTACTTTAGAATACAGAATCCTAAATGATAGGCATTATGGCTTTCTTCAGTTTTGTAGGATATCAATGTTAAATGTTAAATGAAAAAAAATCAAAAAGTTGACACTGATTTCATCTATAAACCTTTCATGAGACATAACTGGCACAGAAGCAGCTACACTGACAATAACTATTGCTTGGTAAACACGTAGGTGCCACAAACTCATCACAAGAAATACTTCATATTTCACAGACTTAGATTCAGGTAAAATTAACAACACTGAATTCATACACCCATTTATACACACAGTTTAAAGCACCATATCCCTCCCTTCTTAAGTCAACGTCTAAAATAACAAACAACAAGCATTCCATCAACATCTTCACTTTATTAAAATAGGTAAGTACCGTAACTCACCTAAATTATCTCTTAAGGCACTAGCATCCTCATGGTTATTGAAATTATAATTAGGTACCAGTTTGAGTCTCATGCGGGAATAATTTTCTACATTAGCCAGTTTCCAATGAATTCGATTCTGTTTCCTAGAAACATTCACAATGAAACAAGTAAAATTACTAGAAATTATAAAGATTAGTTGTTTGAAGGGAGTAAGAAATAATTCACCATTGTTTAATACTATTTTAGACTATGTTCAAGCACTACCAAGCATGCACAAGGCCCTGGTTTTGATTACCAGCACTATAAAACTAAAGGCTTGTAAATTTTAAGGAAAACAGTGGGGTAGGGGATAAATAGGAACAAAATATAATGACACAATGTATGCAAATACCATATATTAAACATAATACTCTTTATATGCTAGCTATTACTTTTGAACAAATTTAAATGTTAGTATTTATCATCTGGACACTTGTCAGGAAAAATAAATGAGTATGTTTAATTATGACATACACATGATGAACCTAAGAGAGCCGCAATTATTTACCCAAGATGCCATGAAGCTTAATGGTAGACAACTAAGATTTGAAAACTAACTTTCAGACTTCTAGCTTGATTACTTTATTTTTTCACTGTTAAATACAATTTCATGACCATAATCGAATTTTAAAATTTTATTATAAATAAAGATAACTGAAAATGAATGAAAGACCAAAATATCAAAGTTAAGATGTTAAACGTTTAGAAGAAAAAGGTAAATTTTTATGATCCTGGACACAGGTACACTTTTTTAAATACATTTTAAAAAAAGCTAGATTCATTAAAATTGATAGCATTGAACAACAACACTATCAATAAAGTGAACTACGTATCTGAAAATCACCTCTTGATGGTTATTGAGAATACTATACAACACACATACATGCACACAAACACACCAAAAAAAGTTCAACAACTCATTTGGATAGCTAGGCAAAGGAAACAAGACAACAACAAGCACATGGAACAGTGCTCAGCATCATTAATTATTAGGAAGATGGAAAGCAAAGTTACATGGTAATGATTTATACACAACACAAGGGAAATCTGAAATACTGGAAAGGGACAAGCATTGGTTAGAATGTGGCAAAATTGGAAAACATATACTCATACCTTAAACATAAAGTAATGTAGCAGATGTGAAAGTAAATTCTTTGATAAGTTAAATATGAAATATGACCCAGTAATTGAACTTGTACTATATATACCCAGAAGAATTAAAAGCATTCTCTCAAACCAACATTTTGACACAAGTGTCTACACAGCACTGGTAATAGTAGCTCAAGGGGGCAAAAAAGTAAATGTTTATCCTTTCACTAGCTGGTTGAAAAGATAAACAAAAGGTTTAGTTTACTATTTTTTAAAAACAAGGGTTATAAAATATATACACCAAAACAGAAGTAAAAATATTAAGTTGCAAAGTGTTGAAGTACAACTTTAGCTTAAGAAGGCAGAAATATTCTTATGAACTACTTGAGTCTAATATATGTAATATCAGAGTAGAAGAACTACCCACAAGGTACAAACCTCTAATCATTCCAAACCAATTCATAAAATGACAATAAAGTTTGAAATACTCGTTAAAAAACTGAAATAGAGATGGCTTAAAAGTTTAAAATGTGGAGGCAACAACCTTCACAGGAGCAGGAGCAGGTACAAGGAAACTACCTGACAGAGCAGGCCTGAACCAGAGATCTCTGAGGGACCTGTTGTGAATCAGTGACCTCTAACGTAGCAGCCCTGAGCCAGCCTTCACAGATAATAAATGAGCAGAGAAAGAAATCAGAGAAAATCACCCTTCACAATAGCCACAAATAGCTTAAAATATCTCAGAGTAACTCTAACCAAACAAGTGGAAGACTTGTATGACAAGAACTTTAAATCTTTGAAGAAAAAAACTGAAGAAGACACCAGACAGTGGAAAGATCTCCCATGCTCTTGGGTAGGTAGAATTAACATTGTAAAAATGGCAATCTTACCAAAAGCAATCTACAGATTCAATGCAATGTCCATCAAATTCCCAGCAAAACTCTTCACAGTCCTCGAAAGAATGGTACTCAACTTTATATGGAAAAGCAAAAAACCCAGGATAGCTTCCAACAGTCCTCCTGTACATTAAAGAAACTTCTAGAGACACCACAGTCCCTGACTTCAAACTATTACAGAGCTACAGTGCTGAAAGCAGCCTGGGATTGGCATAAGAACAGACAGGAGGACCAATGGAACCAAACAGAAGACCCGGATATTAATCCACATACCTTTGAACACCTGATTTTTGACAAAGAAGCAAAAAATATCAAATGGAAACAAGAAAGCATATTTAACAAATGGTGCTGGCATAACTGGATAGCAACATGTAGAAGAATGAAAACAGATCCATATCTATCACCATGCACAAAACTCAAGTCCAAATGAATCAAAGACTTCAACATAAAACCAACTTCATAGAAGATAAAGTAGGAAGTACACTGGAACGTATTGGCACAGGAAACCACTTCCTAAATCTAACCTCAGTAGCACAGACACTGAGAGAAACAATTAATAAATGGGACCCCCTGAAACTAAAAAGCTTCTGTAAAGCAAAGGACATGGTCAACAAGACAAAACGACAGCCTACAGAATGGGAAAAGATCTTCACTAACCCCACATCAGACAGAGGTCTGATGTCCAAAACATACAGAGAACTCAAGAAATTGGTCATCAAAAGAACACATAATCCAATAAAAAAGTGGAGTACAGACCTAAACAGAGAACTCTCAACAGAGGAATCTAAAAGGGCTGAATTACACTTAAGGAAATGTTCAACATTCTTAGTTATCAGAGAAATGCAAATCAAAACAATCATCTTATATCTGTAAGAAAGGCCAAGATCAAAAACACTGATTGACAACTTATGCTGGAGAGAATGTAGGGTAAAGGGAACACTTCTCAGTTGCTGGTGGGAGCGCAAAGCCACTTTGGGAATCAGTATGCTGATTTCTCAGAAAAATTAAAAAAAAAAACTTCCTTAAGACTGAGCAATACCACCTTTGGGTATCAAGTATGTTCATAGAAGCATTATTTGTCAAAGCCAGAACCTGGAAAGAACCTAAATGCCCCTTGACTGAAGAATGGATAAAGAAGATGTGGTACATTTACACAATGGAATACTAAACAGAATAAAAAAATGATATCTTGAAATTTGTGGGCAAATAAATGGATGGATTATCATATTGAGTGAGGTAACCCAGACCAAGAAAGAGAAATATCATATGTACTCACTCATAAGTGGTTTTTAGACATAAAGTAAAGAAATTCAGCCTACAAATCACAATCCCAAAGAACCTAGACACTAAGAGAGACATACATGGATCTAAACTACGGGACAGAGAAAAAGACAAAATCTTCTGTGTAAGTTGAGAGCATGGGGACCATGGGGAGAGGGTAGAATGGGAGGGGAGAGAAAGAGAGGGGGTAGAGAAAATATATAGCTCGATAAAACAGTAAAATAATAATAATAAAAAGTTTAAAATATATAGCCGCAGCTCAAAAAGAAAAAATATGCACCTACCTTTTAGCCCAAGGCCCCCTTTCACATGTAAGATAGAGTCTAATTGCCTTCCACCATCTAAAAGTGGCCAACTGTTGACTGCTAAGTTGTTTAATCATATTATTGTACCTCAAGTTCTCTTGACGTGCTTTTCTATTAAATGGCTCCACAAAATACTCCTAAAATAAACAGCGAAAGGAACATTTTATAATATATTTACAAATTTTAATTTGACCAATAAGAATGGTTTATGAGGAAAGAAATAATAACATCATCTTCTTGTTTTATTACAATATTTGTCTTTGATGAGGACGGTAGAATTTCAGTTATGTTCTTCTTATGTATTCTGACACATAAAAAGGGAGCACACATGCACTATGGTTGATAAAATAGATCAGTGGGGTAAAAGGCATCTACTGCAGAGCGTAACAGGCTGAATTTCCTCCCAAGCACCCCAAGTGTGGTGGTCTATGCCTGTAACCCCAACACTAAGGAGGTAGAGTCAGGAAGATCACAAGTTTAAGGTTATCCTTAGCTGTATATCAAGTTTGAAGCCACTCCGTGATACCTCAGACTGTTTAAAAAACAAAAAAGTTAAAACTTAAAAGAACTGATGTAAATCTAGAGGAACAAGCTGTGAATGAATTGTAGCTGTTACCAGACGTGTGAAGGAAATGGTACCTGGATTCGACTAAAACAGACCACTGTTGAGAAAACTGAGGAAGTCATAAAGTTCCATGAAAACCAAGTAAGAACTCATCACCACCCTTATTACATGTATACAACTTCTTCATTAAATGTTTGGTAGTGGGCTGGTGCAGGAAACCATGGAGTTGGCTTAAGAGGCATGTGTTATAGTTTCTCACGTTTGAGTCCATGGCTCTTGGGGTACAATGTGTTTTCCAGTTCCAGAGATACTGATGCAGTCCCTCAGGCAGTGAAGCATTCATGCTACCTCGTGTTTCTCTGTACATTCCCTTTGTAGCCATGGAATCAAGAAAACCTGACAGGACAACAGGTCTTAGATATTAATCTTGCGTACCCTGTATGACTTGCAAAGATCACTGTATCCTAGCACCTACAATTGTATTGATCCTGCCAATTGCCAGTCTATTCTGTTTCTGATAAAGGTCTAAAGAGTCTATTTGCTCTCAGTATACTGTCACAACCTCAGTTGTGCTGTGGACTCTCCAAGCTGGCCTGATTTCCTTGACCTTACTGGTAAAGTAAGCACAAGCGCTTACAGGCGGGAAATATGGCACAGCTGGCAGCATGTTTCTCTAGCAGTCCAATCAATAAAAAGGCACCAACAGTGGCAAACTCATCTGGAAAGTGAAAACAGGAGGGTCCTAAGTTCAAGGCCATCTTTGCAGATATAGAAAACTAGTTCAAGGTCAGTAGGGGCAACAGGAGATCCTGCTTCAAAAAATAAACATGCAATTAAGAAGTTAGGCAAATTTGCTAGTAAAACCACTCAGACCTTGCATTTTCTCTTTTTAAAGGTATATAAATTCAACTTTATTTATACATAAAAAACTATGCAGTTTATCTCTACATTTTAAAATAAATTTTAAATCCTCTACCTACCAAGAAATTGGTGGATCTGAGTAGTCATATTTCCACGTCCTAAGCAACTTACATCTGTGGGGCTGATGGCAACACTGCCTCTTTCATTTCTGTTGCAAGTAAGTTTTCATTTCTCTTTGTCAAACTGACTAATAGTTTATTGATTTTGCGAACATTTTCAAGAGTTTAATTTCAGATTCACTGATTTTTCTTTTTCTGCTTTTATTTACTTATTTTAATTGGTGTGCTGCAGAGATGGCTTGGGGTTAAGAGTGCTTCTTGCTCTTATGGAAGAACCAAGTTCAGGTCCAGCAGCAATACAGTGGTTCACAACCACTTGTAACTCTAGTTCCAGGGTTTAACATTCTCTTCTGACCTCTTAGGTCTCTTGCACATAACCAGGCACAAGCATGTATTCAAGTGCACACACACTAATAAAAATAAATATTGGCTGGGTGGTAGTGCCACACACCTCTAATCCCAGCACTCAGGAGGCAAAGGCAGGCAGATTTCTATGAGTTCTAAACCAGCCTGGTCTACAAAGCTAGTTCCAGGACAGCTAGGGCTACACAGAAGAAACCCTGTTTTAAAAATAAACCAAGTGTTTAATTGAAATTAATTTGTGTGAGTGGAGGGCACATCAAAACACCCTAGCAGTATCTACTAACAGATTTTCAACTTAATAAGATGTTTTACACACTCATAAAGTCAATTTTTACTATTGAAATGGTTAATGATTGACCTTCTTTCCAAATTTCTGGTAGAGTTACTTTCATGTAATAGTAAATATTGGTAGTTAACATGGAAACTTGATCCAGAAAACAGCTTTTACCTGAAATTTCAATTTACTTTCTCCTCCCTCTCGGTCTCTTTTATGCATATTCACCATTAAGGCTTCATAGCAATTCTTCCAGTAAAGTGCCATGTTCTCATGACCATCATAAAATGTATGTGTTTCATACTGCTTCATGTAAGGTATAATCTTAGATGAGAGAAAAAGAAAGAATACACAGAATTTACATACTCCTCTATAAAAATGATAAATCAACAGAAAAGTATTGCTCAGAAAAGATAAAACTGTGAGACTGGAGGGATGACTCAACAGTTAAAAGAATACTTGCTGAGAGCAACCACAGGTCCCAGCAATCATATGCATCTTGCAACCCTAGCTCCAAGGGATTTCACACCTTCTTCTTGTCTCTTTGTGTGCAGCACACACCTGCACACATACGCAAGCATACACTCATGCACACACATATAAAGAAAAATGATTTTAAAAACTTACGTATTTTTCAATGTAAACTTGCCATTCATCTGAATTGCAGTATTCTTGAAAATCTTCAAAAAATGAAGTACTTCCATCAGTAAAAGGCAAAGAAGGCAGGTGCAAGTTCATGAAAAGAAGCTCATAAATTTTAGAAACCAGAGTACGGAAAAGAGGAATCAGAAATGAATAGATTTCTGTCTGTTCCTTGATTGACCGACTTAGAATATGTTCTAGTTTCCCTAAAATGTAGCATGCTTCATTTTGATTTTCAATCACTTTAGTCTGAAGAAGGGCATTTAGTTTAGCTGATGCTATTGCACAAACCTGAAAGAAAAAAAGGTTAAAAGAGAAAAAAAAAATCATTAAAGCAAACATAGACTATTAGCAAAAGATCTGACTCACTCCAAAAATTTAGAAGTTTTATGTAGTAACTGTCAATGACTATGGATTTATTTTACTTCCAAGCAAAAAGTTAAGTGTGCAATGGTTTCATAGACATTGGCATGAAACTATTTGGAGAGAGACAAAAACCCACAAAAATTTTTAATAATCACACTATCACCATTCGGACTGATTCCCCAATTCCAATTCTAAGTGAAATAAAACCTGTAAGACATCTGCATACAGACTGGTTGCTCAGAGAGGAACACCCAGTGTAGGAGGGCTTAGCACTTTTTATATTCAGCTGATCTTTGCCTTCGACAAAGGGACTGGCTTTCTTACAGTGGGCAGCCAACAAGCTTGCCTTTTACTCTAGAAAGAATCATGGTTTCTATCTTTAACAGCTGTTCACAATACGAAACAACTCAAAAGAATGGATATCCAGGTGTGGTGGCATACACTTTTAAGCTTAGTACTTGAGAGGCACAGGTAGGCAGATCTCTATGATGGGCAGACTGGTCTAGTGAGTTCCAGGATAACCAGGGCTATACCTCAAAACAAAAACAAAAACACTCCAGAACAGCTTGAATAAATAGAACCTATCTCAAAACAATCAAACAAAAAACCCAGAATGATAAACAAATAACAACAAAAGAATAGATAACAAGAAAAATTAGTCACATGATTAAACAGAAATGCAATAGACTTATGGAGAACTATCTACCAACAATGACTATAGGAAGCAGCAGTATTTTTCTCTGGGGAAAATTGTAAGCTAAGACTGCTTTTCATTTTATGGCTGCCTCAGATCTGAATAATCACACAGAGACTACACTAATTATAACACTGTTTGGCCAATGCCTCAGGCATATTTCTAGCTATCTCTTACATCTTGAAATAACCCATTTCTATTAATCTATGTATCATCACAAGACTGTGGACTCACCAAGGTTCCAGCATTTCCAGCTTCTCCTTTGGCAGCTACACGTCTTCTCTTTGACTCTGCCTACTCTCTATCTCTGTTCAGATTTCTCACCTGGCTTTACTCTGCTAAGCCTTTGACCCAAACAGCTTTACTCATCAACCAATAAAAGCAACACAAATACATCCCACATCAGAAAATGAAGTTGAAAACAGGCCCAATTGTAATTTGCATCCTTAAGCAAAGAACAGTGTGGTGAGAATAGCAAATAAGCAGACCGACTGAATCCTGTCTTAAACTCATCTTAATAAAGCAATTCTCAATTATTTGTGGGAGAGAACAAATCTCAATGAAGTCTGTTTTGGAGTTTCATTACATGGAATCATAACTATTTGACTACATACAGATATATAAGGAGTCTGGGACCTTAACTAAAAATTTAATTAACCTTAAACTTCCTAGGACAAACACATATTAATAGTACAAGCCCAAGCAAAAGAGAACTCTCCATTACTATTCATTCAATCACTAGTACTGAAGAGGAAAAAGCTAATGAAAAAGGGTTTGAGGAGGAGAAGAAATGACAATACAGCCACTGGACTAGAGATTTTTTGTAACAGGCCAGCTTTATGTTAAAAAAAATTATCTCTCCATACTCTTAACAACATCACATCTAGTTTAGGAACAGCACTAGAATTCTGTCTCATCCTAATCCTCTTTATCCAATAATAAAGCTGAATATTTAAAAGAATTCAGGGTAAGAGCTGGTTCAGTAAATGAAATGTTTGCTATACAAGTATAATGATCTGAGTTTGAATCTGCAGGGTCCACATAAAAGCTAACATGTTAGTGCTAGACTGTAATTCTGCCACTACTATACAAAGATGAGAAACCAAGACAGGAGAATTCCTGGAAACTCAGGGGTCAGCTAGCCTGGTGTACAAAGCATGAAACAACAAAACAGGTCCTGCTCTAAATAAAGGTACATGTTGAGAACCAACACCCAAGGTTGTCCTCTGACCTCCATAGGATGCTGGGCCACAAATGTTCATTCTCTCAATGACATACACACACAAACACACACACTCAAATACAAACAAAAGTAAATAGATATCAAATATTTATCAAGACTAAATGTACCCAACGAGAACAGAAAAACAACAGAGCAAATGTCAGAGGAATTTTCTAACTTTTTACAATTTAATTTACAATAGGAATAATATTCTTTGTGAATACATTTTATCTTTAGTTCTTAAATCTAGCAAAAATCATTAGCATGTACATAATTGGTATTTCATAAGTGAACAAATATATAACAGAGTGTAAAACTTTGGATTAGTAAAACAGGAAAAGAATTCAAAAGAAAAGTTATTATAAATCATTTTCCCTAAAAATATAATTCCTAAAATTCACATATACAAATATCCCTGCAAAGCTATTTAGCAGCTCGCAAGCCACAGTGAATACAGATGACCTGTGAGTAACCCTAAAAGGAAGCATTAAAATAAGAGTCCTAAGTCCGAGAATAACAAAAAGCTGCTTCTTAAGCTCCTTTCTGATCTTACCAAATTGAAATTTCAAGTGATCTCATATTGTCTGAAACTCAATAGATACTGAAAAGAGAGTATGAGAGATAGTTCAACAGGTAAAGGTGTGTGCCACAAAGACTTATGACCTGAGTTTGATTCCAAAAACCATGTAGTCTCTGCCCTCCACATAAGTGCACAATGCAGGCACATAAAATAAATAAATACAATAAAATTTTAAGAAAGTACTGAAAAGGCATTATTATCTTGTTATACATCAGTAACTATGGTATATGATAAGACAGAAAATAGCATAAAAAGAAACGACAAACCTGCAAACTGCCTCTTCCAATGAACTCCAGAAGCAACTGGATCTGTATCTGAGAGAGTTTTACCCATCCTGGATTCTCAGAATACCACGCTGACAGATAGTCCAGGAGCTGTGTGGTACCTTCTAAAAGCTATCACACACACACATATGGAATTGAGAAATAAAAACATCCATTTTTTAAATGTACTGATTTTTCTTCAACACTAATACCAATCATAAACACTGCAGAAGTAGTTTAATGTGTAATTCCAAAAACCAAAGAACCATCGTAACAACTAATAAAATCTGTGTTTACTACATTTGATTAAACATTAATGCTCCAAAAGGAAGAGAAGCAAAATTTCTTTCTTTAAATAATTCTGAAATATCCAAAATATTTATCTATATATTATAATTTGTTTTGTTTGCAATAACATATCACACTATAGCTCAGGCTAACCTGGAACTGTCTATGTAGCTCCTACTGAACTCAAATTGTGACAATCCTTCTGCCTCACCCTCTTAAAAGTTAAATGCAATTTCAAAGGGTCATTACTAACCTTCTCAGTCCACATGTTTGAATTAACCAGTCCTTCTGACTGCAGGAAGTCCTGTATGATCAGCATGAGTCGGAAGGCATTTTCAGCAGTTACAGGACTACTTTTTGCATCTCTGTGTTCTGTGACTGTCCATTCTAACATCTTCTGTAGCAAACTAAGCATAAAATAAAGTTCTCTTAAAACCATTATAAGCTTGGAAAGAAAAACCAAAAAACCAGTTACTTATTAGTAGCACTGTAACTCCAAAGATATACTCTCACCAACAGGCTGTCACTAAGATCGTAGATTGAGGACTTCTGGGAAAAATGGCAGGCTCTTTCTGTGTGGTGTAGTATGAAAGAAGTTAGAATAAAATAAGAAACAGACTATCCCAAAGAAAGAAACAGATGAAAAAAATTATACATCAAAAGAGATAGTAAAAGAATACTTGAGAAATGTGAAGGAAAAGACAGGAAGCAAAATTCCAGCCTCTGAGACCTCTATAAGGAGAGGGGAAGAAGAAGCCTTCAAAAGTTAAGGGAGCAAGGGATGGACAGTCCTATCCTGAAGACAAGTCCACAGCCTCTACAATCCTCAGAGTTGCAAACTCTAGTGAGATAGTGATCTCTAGTGGATGAAGAGAAAAGCCTCCCTGCTGCTCTGTATGACTAAAGAGGGCAGCGAGCAGACATCATCTTGAGAATTTACCCTTAAGAACTAAGTTACCACTGGGAATGGTGGCATACACCTTTAATCCTGGCATTGGAGAGGCAGAGGCAATAGGATTTCTCTGAGCTCCCAGCCAGCCAGCACTACACAGTAAGGTCCTTTTGAGGTGGGGGTGAGAGGATGGAAACAAAAATTAAAAAATTACAATAAAATTCTGAGCTAGCATGAGGGCCTGACAGCAAAGAACAAATACAGGTTACAAAGCTTCAATACAGCCTGCAGGGTAAGACTCAATCAGGAACCTGAAACAGCAACCATGGAGGTACTCTGCTTACTGGCTTGCTCTTCATGGTTTACTCAGGCTGCCTTCTTAAACTACCAAACACTGTTTACCCAGGGTGGTACTGCCTACAGTGAATTAAGCCTTCCCACATCAGTTATTAATCAAGAAAATGCCACAAAAGCTTTAATACAGGTAACTCTTACAGAGATATATTCTCAATTGAGGTTTCTCATTCCAAATGACTGTAGCTAGTATTGACAAAAACTAACCAACATATTCCTTAAACTGTTCCATGAAATAGCAAGGTAAGGAACATTATCAGATTTGTTCTGTGAAGTCCCAAATTACCCTGATACCAAACTAGATACAGACACAATGTGGAGGTTTGAATGAAAATGTTCCCTCCAGGTTCATATGTTTGAATGCTTGGTTTCAGTTAATTAAACTGTTTAGACAGGACTGGGAGGTGTGGCCTTGTTGAAAACCGTGTTACCAGATGCAAGCTCCCAGCTAGCTCTATCTCCTACTTGGAGATAAAGAAGTAACCTCTCAGCAACATGCTCCATTGCCATGCTCCCCACCATGGTTAGAGACTAACCCTCTGGAACCATGAGCCACAAACTAAATACTTTCTTTTATAAGTTACTTTGGTCATGGTGTTTTACATGGCAATAGGAAAGTAACTAAAACACATAATAATAAGAAAAGATTACTTTAATGAATATAACACAAAGATAATAAAAATTTTGCAAACCAACGTCAAGAACACACTGACAGGATCATACACCATGACCAAGTTGGTTTCATCCTAGGATGCAAAGATGGTGCAACAAACACAAATCAGTAAGTATAATAAAGTTTGGAGACACTAAGAATAGAAGTCACACTATCATCTCATTAGATGTAGAAAAAGCCCTCAACAAAGTTCACCGCTCCTTCATGGTAAAAGACCTAGAAACTATGAATAGATAGAACATCCTTAATGTAGAAGACTACAAGAAAGACCAAATACTAACATTAAACTGAATGATGGGGACAGAGAGAAATGAAAGGTCTAGCAGTAGACCCCGAAAACTACTAAATACTTTTAACAAAGTAATAATGTACAAAAATCACCATTACAAGTAACTAACTTACAAGGAAAGAAATCAGGGCTTGGTAGGATGGGGGAGAACCTCATCTCATTCAGAAGAGCTTAAAACAACAAATCTATGTAACAAAGAAGTGAATGACTTCCACAACAGGAACCTTAAGACACTAATAAAATAAAGCAACAGAAAAATGGAAAACCTCCTGTAATGATATGTTCTGTCTCTTTAAGAGACAATCCAATGCCCACTCCCTCTCCAGGCACCTCCCCCCCCCCCCCAGAACCTAGACAACAATGAGAATCCTAAGACAGGTATACTTGGATCTAATCTACATGGGAAGTAGAAAAAGACAAGATCTCCTGAGTGAATTGGGAGCATGGGGACCATGGGAGAGGGTTGGAGGGGAGGGGGGATGAAGTGAAGGGAGCCAAGAAAAATATAAACCTCAATAAAATCAATAAAAAATAAAAAATTCAGGAAAACACAAAGTAAAACTTCTTTCAAATTCCTTCTCACCCGAGACTCAGAATGAATAGCAAGAGAACAAATGAAGAAATGTTGGTGAGGATGTAGGGAAAGAGAATTTGTATTTTTTTCTACATTCTACTAGAATAGTAAAACCAAGGAAGAAAAATATTAAATAGCTTCTTCTTCTCTCTGCCTCTATTATATACTGAATTAAGGAATCAGTATTTAATTTTAGACTCCCACTCCGTTCTACAGAGGGGTTCACAAAAATTACTAAATAAATACTTACATTAGTTTTACTTCATCTGACGATCGAAGTAGTTCACTTGATATTCCTGGTTTAGTTAATGCTGAAAACACTTGTCCTCTTTCAACCCAAGTGTCTTCATCTGACTTTTCTAGTCCTTTACACATGATATAATTCAAAATATTTGTAACCAACTGAAGAAGCTCCTCTTCACATTCCTATAAAACATTAAGTAATACTAAATTATTAGAGTTAGGAAATATTAAAAAGCATAACACAGAGCCATCTACATATACTTGTTACTTATGTAAGTTATTTTTAGCATTTAATTTTTATTATTTTTAATTATGTGTAGGTATGTTTCTGAATGTGCGTATGGGCACATAAGTGAAGGTGCCTAAGGAAGCCAAAGCTGTCAGATCCCTGGAGCTAGAGTTACATGAGCTTTCTGATGAGAGTTCTGGGAATGGATCTCAGGTCTTCTGGAAGCACATCAAGGGTTCTTAACTGCTGAGGTCCCTTTCCTGTCCCCTTTTAAGATGCTTTTATTGCCTGAAGACACAAAATGTTTCAGATGCAGGCTCTGTTCTAAAGAGAGGGATGGGGAGCTAGAAAGATGGCTAAGTGGTTACTGGTCAAAGTGGTTCAATTCAGGCACCCAAATGGTGGCTTACAACCATTCATAACTTGAACTCCAGGACACTCAATCCCTTTCTGTGTATGTGGGGGTTCAGGACAGGGGTTCTCTGTGTAACAATCCTGGCTGTCCTAGAAATAGCTCATGTGGGAGTCCCCTCTGTGTTGCTGTGATTACCATTAATGAACAAAGAAACTGCCTTGGCCTGTAGATAGGGCAGAATTTAGGTAGGCGGGGAGGACTGGACTGAATGCTGGAAGAAAAAAGGGCAGAGTCAGAGAAATGCCATGGAGCCGCCAGAATCAGACAGGCTAAAACTTTGCGGGTAAGCCACTGTTACATGACAATACACAGATTAATAGAGATGGGTTAAATTAAAATATAAGAGTTAGCCAATAAGAAGCTAGAGCTAATGGGCCAAGCAGTAATTTAAATAATACAGTTTCTGTTTGATTATATCGGGCCTAAGCTAGCCGGTGGCTGAGACGAACAAGTGGTTCCTCCTCCAACAGACTGGCGCCCATGTGGCCAGCTAAATCCATTTAAAACCTAAGAGAGTTTGAAAAGGAATTCTAGACACAAAAATACAGGGTTTAACACAGTTTCTTGCTGTTTGCTGGCGGCATGGAACAGCTCCATTAAGAGAGGTTTTCCTCACTCTGCAATAGCAGTAGAGAAAAAAAAGCCACACCGTTTTGAAATGCAGGCATTCTGGGACGAGCTGCGAGCACGACTTCTGGCTCTTTCAGGAGACCAAGTATTTGGATGGGGTTTGTGAGCAGACTGACACAGCTTGCTTAATGGCGACATGGACTGGCTGTGTGCCTAAGAATGGGGCTGTTGGCATGGCTCTCAGAGCCAGAAAACAGCACTGCCATGCTGGACTGTGCAGAGCAAGCAGGCGTATCATATATATCATAGTAATGGCACAGCTTAAGTTTTAGACTGGGTGGGCAAGCAGTTAGTACTGTATCAACCCTAGTACTGGGGCACCTTAAGTTTTTTTTTTTTTGTTTTTTGTTTTTTTTTTTTTTTGGTTTTTCGAGACAGGGTTTCTCTGTGGTTTTGGAGCCTGTCCTGGAACTAGCTCTTGTAGACCAGGCTGGTCTGGAACTCACAGAGATCCGCCTGCCTCTGCCTCCTGAGTGCTGGCACCTTAAGTTTTAAGAAGCACTTGGCATTTTAAAAAGTGCTCCAGGATAGTAAAGAATTACAGATATGCAATAAACACAAATCCAGATGAGTCACAGTGCTGGATAAATGTACGTAGGCTTGAGAGAAGAAAAAAAGTACAGAGAGTTGGAAAAGAAGTAAATTGTTTTAAAAAAGGCTTTAAAGAGACAGAGTACAGATAGTCATAGATTAAAAAGGAGTAAAGAAAAATAAGCCATGTAAAAATGGAAAATTCACAGAGAGTCTGGAACATGTATGTATATTATTGTGTTATCTTTGAGTTTTTTTGACTGTGAATGAGCTAGGTATAGATATTTCACTGTATAGGCTGCTAAGCTAAATCAGCATGTATATTATAAAGGTATCATGACCCAATTTGGGTCTAAGAATATGCTGCTTTGAAAAAGAGGTTCTTCTCGTTTCCACAGAGGATGAGAACCTGTGCATTGCTTCCAGACTGGTGTGGTTTGATAGAGCATGACCCACTGAAAGGCTGCCGTGAACACTCTCAAAAAATTACTTCACCCAACTGCTGACTGAGATAAACCTAGCATATAGGATACACCATGAAAGACCTGATTAACAGTACCCCCAACATGCAGGAAGCAGTATGGATAGATCTACACTCATATTCCTAAATATTGTTTATAATTGTTTCTTTGCATTTAAAGGGGGATATGCTATAGATATGAATAATTTGCATTGGTATGTATCTTGGTTTATTGTTACAAATTTAAGGTCAATTTTGTTATGTATATTTATGCTCTTTATTAAGGTATTGTGATTGTGTATTTCCTGTAAAAATGTAACAATTAAGAAATATAGGTAGAGTCATCTATAACAGTCAAGCTTGTAGTCACGTTAGATTTTCTAGATGTACAGAGATATATTCAATTAGATAAGTATTCTTCAGATCTTTCAGAGACTTTCAGAATATGGCATTTAAAATATTTTAAAACTTAAGACTTTTCATGACAATGAGACACATCTGCTCCTGGCAGCACAAGCTACTTCAAGAGGAAGGTGGGCACTGAAGAGGCTCCTTATAGAGTTGGTTAGCTATTTGGGCAAGAAACTACTCTTTCCTGGACTGTTTAACTGGACATGAAGGACCCACAGAGAAATGACTGCTGAACTTGCCTAAAGGTGAGATGATCCTTCATTCTACAGGATATAGAAGTGACTGAACTGTCTTTGAAATTTCCTGCTTCATGGAAAAGTCTGCTGGAGTTGAAGAATTTATACTTATAGTTTTCCTTAGTTATGATAAAAGATAAAATAGATATAAATATTGTAACTGTAATTCTTGCTTGATAACTGTTTTGTTATATGTATTTTTACTATGTTAAAGTCAAAACCTCCCTTTTCATTCAAACAGAAAAGGTAGGTGATGAGGGAATCCCCTCTGTGTGCTGTGATTACCATTAATGAATAAAGAAAATGCCTTGGCCCGTTGATAGGGCAGAACTTAGGTAGGCAGGGGGGACTGGACTGAATGCTGGGGGAAAGAAGGATGGAGTCAGAGAGCCGCCATGGAGCCAACAGAGTCAGACATGCTGAAATTTGCCGGTAAGTCACTGCAATGTAGCGATACAGAGATTAATGAAGATGTGTTAAAATACAAGAGTTAGGAAATAACAAGTGAGAGCTAATGGTTCAAGCAGTGATTTAAATAATATAGTCTCTATGTGATTATTTTCAGATCTAAGCTAGCCGGGCGGCTGAGATGAACAAACAGCCCCTCCTCCAACAAACAGCTCTTATACAACAGGCTGGTCTCAAACTTACAGAGATTCACCTGCCTCAGTCTCCCGAGTGCTGGGATTAAAGGCGTGTGCCAACACCACCAGACTAAATGTCCTTTTTCACCTCTACAGGCATCAGGCACAAACATGGTACATGTACATACACACAAACACAGAATAAGATAACCTAACATGTGTGAGTCTGTATGCTCAAATCCTATTACCATACATATACATACAAATGCAGGCACACCAAAACAAAACAAAAAAGGAAGATATTTACAAGTGACTTGTGACAATGACTGTTCTAAATTTTAGATGAAACTTAGACTATGAGTGGAAATATTAGTAACAGCTCACATACTGCAAAGGACCAGGTCTAATGAGAATTAAAACTGATTTTGGAAGGATAAGCAAATTTACCTCTTTGCTTTCAAGGAAGGCGAAGTCATCACTAAAGTCCATTTCATTTGTGATACTCCTTTCTCTGTCAGATGGCACAGAAAACGACTTAGTAGACTCCACTGGGGATGGTGTGCTAGGTGAACTGTCTGGCATTTGACTTCCACACTCACTCAGTTCACATGAGTCAGTTCCACTGAGATCTAAACTCAGATGGGAAGTGTTACTATGCCAGAATTCTTCATTTTCTGACTTGAAAGATAATTCTACTTCAGAGTTTACTTCTTGAAATAATGGTGTGTTTGAGTTCAGGGACTGACTATCTTCCAAACTCCAATGATCTGAAGATACATCAGGTAATGTCATTTTTTCATCATCTAGCTTTTCAGTGGACATATTTTTATTTTCTTTCACTGAAACAGCCTTTCCATGTTTATGAAGAGAATTTACATTTTCAAAGTTTGCTTTTAAGAGAAGTCTTACAAAGGTATCTTGCCAACCCACTTGTTGTGCTATCTGGTATGCTGCTTCTGGCTGGGACTGCAAAATCTGTAATATCTGCAAAGAGAACAAAAATTACAAAAAATAATACAAAATTCTTCAAAAGCTATACAATATTTTTTGAAAAGATCTCTTTTCAATTATTTTAATAACAGAGTAATTTACTGAGAAACAATAAAATAAACTTTCAAATTATGTTCTATGTGTGGTATATGTGACTATGTGCATGTGCAGATACATACGCTTACACGTGGAGTACAAAGAAGGGGACTGAATGCTTTATTCTATCACTACCCACTTCATTCCCTTGTAGGAGGGTCTCTTACTGAACCTGGGCTAGGGCAGTGGCCAGCAAGACTCAGCTACCTTAGGACTCTAGCTTCTAAAATGCTGGTTGCAGACAACACACAAGAACACACACAGCTTTTACATGGATGCCGAGGATTCATTTCTTTATGCTTGTGAAATTACTGTTATTGACTAATTTATCTTGTCAGCTCGGGATTATGTTCTTACTAGATTATAAAATATCTGAAGCTCTTTGATATTGTAGTATTAATAAATCTAATATTACTTCTGTACAGAGTAAAGATGTGCTAGAGAACACAAAAACCATGTGATTAATTTGTTGAAATAAAGTATTAATAAGCTGAAAGTATATATAAAATTTAATAAAGTGATCAATATCTCAATCAAGTCAGTTTTCATGGGCTTATTATATTTTTGAAGCAAGGATTACTGAGTAACAGACATGTATCAGCAACGAGCTTAGATAGCAGAGCTAGGGGAACACAAGAAAATATTTTTTTTTTTTAGTGATTTTATTGAGCTTTACATTTTTCTCTGCTCCCTTCATTTCCTCTCCCCTCCCCTTCTACTCTGTCCCATGGTCCCCATGCTCCCGATTCACTCAGGAGATCTTGTCTTTTTCTACTTCCCATGTAGATTAGATTTTGTAGGTCTCCCTTAGTGTCCTCCTTGTTGTCTCAACTCTATGGGACTGTGGTTTCTAGGCTGGTTTTCTTTGCTTTATGTTTAAAAACCACCTTTGAGTGAGTTGATGTGATATTTATGTCTTTCTGGGTCTGGGTTACCTCACTCAATGTGATGTTTTCTAGACCCATCCATTTGCCTGCAAATTTCAAGATGTGATTTTTTTTCTGTGCTGTGTAGTACTCCATTGTGTAAATGTACCAAATTTTCCTTATCCATTCTTCAGTCGAGAGGCATTTAGGTTGTTTCCATGTTCTGCCTATGACAAACAATGCTGCTATAAACATAGTTGAGCCCATGTCCTTGTGGTTCAATTGGGCATCCTTTGGGTATATACCCTACCTAAAGTGGTATTGCTGGGTCTTGAAGAAGGTTGTTTCCTAATTTTTAGAGAAATCACAACACTGATATCCAAAGGGGCTGTACTAATTTGCACTCCCACCAGCAATGGGGGAGTGTTCCCTTTACTCAATATTCTCTGCAACAAACGTTGTTGTCAGAGTTTTTTATCTTGGCCATTCTTACAGGTGTAAGATGTAAACTCAGGGTTGTTTTGATTTGCATTTCTTTGATGGTTAAGGATATTGAGCACTTCCTTAAGTGTCTTTCAGCCATATTAGATTCCTCTGTTGAGAGTTCTCTGTTTAGGTCTGTACTCCAATTTTTTTATTGGATTATTTGTTCTTTTGATGACAAATCTTTTGTGTTCTCTGTATATTTTGGAAATCAGACCTCTGTCTGATTTGGGGTTGGGGAAGATCTTTTCCCATTCTGTAGGCTGCTGTTTTGTCTTGGTCACTGTGTTTTTTGCCTTACAGAAGCTTTTCAGTTTCAGGAGGTCCCATTTATTAATTGTTTCTCTCAGTGTCTGTTCTACTTGGGTTATATTTAGGAAATGGTCTCCTGTGCCAATATGTTCAAGTGTACTCCCACCTTTTCTTCTTAGAAGTTCAGTGTGGCTGGCTTTATCTTGAGGTCTTTGATCCATTTGAAATTGAGTTTTGTGCATGGTGATTGATATGAATCTATTTTCATTCTTCTGTATGTTGCTATCCAGTTATGCCAGCACCATTTGTTAAATATGCTTTCTTGTTTCCATTTGATATTTTTTGCTTCTTTGTCAAAAATCAGGTTTTCATAGATGTGTGTATATCTGGGTTATCGATTCAGTTCCATTGGTCCTCTTGTCTAATTTTATGACAATACCTGGCTGTTTTCAGTACTGTAGCTCTGTATTTTCTTTATTGTACAGGACTGTTTTGGCTATCCTGAGGATTTTTTTTTCTTTTCTATATGAAATTGAGTACCATTCTTTTGAGGTCTGTGAAGAATTTTCCTGGGATTTTGATGGGCATTGCATTGAATTTGTAGATTGCTTATGGTAAGATTGTCATTTTTACTATGTTAATTCTACCTACCCAAGAGCATGGGAGATCTTTCCACTATCTGGTGTCTTCTTCTATTTCTTTCTTCAAAGATTTAAAGTTTATCATACACTTGTTTGGTAAGAGTTACTCTGAGATATTTTAAGCTATTGTGGCTATTGTGAAGGGTGATTCTCTGATTTCTTTCCCAGCCCTTTTATCATCTGTATACAGGAGGGCTACTAATATTTTTTAGTTAACCTTGTATCCTGCTACATTACTGAAAGTGGTTTATGAGTTGTAGAGGTTGTGATGACAACTTATGCTGTAGATGTTGCGGGGCAAAAGGAACAGTTCTGCATTGCTGGTGGTAATGCATGCTGGTACAACCCCTTTGGATGTCAGTATGGCGGTTTCTCAGGAAATTAGGAAACCACCTTTCTCAAGACCCAGTAATACCACTTTTGGGTATATATCCAAAGGATGCTCAATTGTGCCACAAGGACATGTGCTCAACTATGTTCATAGCAGCATTGTTTGTCATAGCCAGAACCTGGAAACAACCAAACTGCCCCTTGACAGAAGAATGGATAAGGAAAATGCGGTACAGTTACACAATGGAGTATTACACAGTAGAAAAAAAAATGACATCTTGAATTTTGCAGGAAAATGGATCGAGCTAGAAAACATTATTTTGCGTGAGATAACCCAGACACAGACAGACAATTATCACATGTACTCACTCATAAGTGGTTTTTAAAGATAAAGCAAAGAAAACCAGCCCACAAATCACAATCCCAGAGATCTTAGACAACTATGAGGACCCTAAAAGAGACATACATGGTTCTAATCTACATGGGAAGTAGAAAAAGACAAGATCTCCTGAATAAACTGGGAGCATGTGGACTTTGCGGGTGGATTCAAGGGGAGGGAAGTGGCAGGAAAGGGAGCAGAGAAAAATATAGAGCTCAATAAAAATCAATAAAAAAATAATACGGATGAAAACTTTAATTTTAGCATTTAACTTTTAATTAGTTGACAGAGATGCCTCTGATACCTTTTAAAATCATTAACTGCACTCATAACAGTTGGGTTACATTCGACCATATTAGGTATTTGGAAATATTTGTATATTTGCATTCTCTTGCATCGTTTTTATTCACACTAATAGTAATAGATACTAATAACAAAAAAAGATGTTAATAAAACATGGAAAGAGAAGAAATTTAATTGTCTATCAATATGAAACCACATAATATTCTAAAGAATAAATACAGAATGAAAGCTATGCAACCAGATATGTTGAGATGTCTTAGTGGGTCATGTGGTAAGGGTTACCCGAACAGGAGAGAAAATGTCATAATCAAAATGAAGCAAAAAGCCAAAGCAAGTCTCCCAAAGGTTAAATGTAAATTGAAGATAAATTATATGAACTTTTATAAACAAATATTAGGAAATTATTTCCATAAAGTTGAAAAGACACAGAAATTTTTACAGGTATATCTAGCATGAGATCATGAGCTCATGCATATGAGGATAGCTATGAATTAATCTCTACACATCTTTAGATAACAATATCATGTCATAATGTCAAAAATTTAGACATACGGGTTCCAGAAAAATGGCTTGGTTGAAAAAAGACACTTGATGTCCAGCCTGAAGACTTGGGTTGGATCCCTGGTATCCACAAAGCAGGAGAAGAACCAACTCCCCAAGTGGTTTTCTAAGCTCTACTTTCTCACTGAAGCATGGACATACTCACACTTGAATGTATACACACACACACACACACACACACACACACACACACCAAATAAATAAAATGTAATATTTAAAATACATTTAGATAGTTAGACCCTTTGAAATATGGTGAAACCATTAGAAATGACCAGGACCAGACACAGACGTAGTGGTGCAATACCAGCGACTTGGGAAACTGAAGCAGAAGATCATAACTTTAAGGTGAGTTTGAGAAACTTAGATTGCTTCTTCAAAGTAAAAAAAATTTAAAAGGAACATGGAGTGTAGTGTTTACCACAAAGAAAGGGAAGAGGATGGGGGAAGATCAGGGGAGGAAAAAGGGAAAATGGGAAGGGAGGAGGAAAAAAAGAGTACAAGCACTGAGGGTTCTGGGAAAGGATGGTATTTTCTGGCAATAAATAATGAAAAGGAATTATTTACAGAAGAGGAAGTAAAGCTAACTCTTGACATACTGGAACCGGGTGGTGGTGGTGCATGCCTTTAATCCCAGCACTCCAGGAGATAGAGACAGGAGGATCTCTGTGAGTAGAGGCCAACCTGGTCTACAGAGTGAGTTTCAGAATAGCCAGGACTACACAGAGAAACCCTGTCTCATAAAACTAAACAAAAATGACACACTGATTTCTTATAATTACATGAAGTTGACTCTTTTCTAAAAGGAACAACTTATTATTTATTTATGTGAGTGTGTATTCATTCAATTTAAGACAGTCTTGGATTACATAGGCTGGCTTGTAGCATATGATTCTTTTGCCTGTTCCTCCCATGTGGTGTGATTAAAGTTATACATCACCATGTCTAATTTAAACTGCTTATAAAATAATTTCTATTATGAAATAAGCAAACATAGAACTTGTATCTGCTATAAACTACTCAAAGAAAAACAGTCATAGTAAGATGATCTTATTGTAAAAATACTTCTTGAAAATGTACTAACCTTTCTACAGAGGACCATTCTGACATTTACGTGTGTTCTGTGAGAGATATATACTACAGATAACAGATCTTTGAAATTGATAACAGGATCTATGATTAAAGAAAAGTTAAAATTAAATTTCATGGATATCCAAAGAAAGAAAAGTGTTACTTGTATGAATGCTGAAGTAATTATTCACTTTCCAAGGAGAACTATAGCTATGTTCCAATATCCCCCCAATCTTCAGGTTGATAATGTTCAAATCAAGCTTAAATAACTTCTCTTTCTTTGTCTGAGTATATGGTCTATACCTCAGGGATACAGTACTATTATCTTTTATATAAATATTTTGGGTTACCAATGAGACTTGATAAACTACTTAGCAAACCACTGAAGATAAAGAGCCTCATTTCCAGACCCAAGTCGAACATCTGCCATAAATTCTACTTTATGGCTAAGTACAGAAAAAAATATCACAAAACATTAGAAAGAAAATATGTATCAAATTTGTTTTCATTTTACCTTTCAGAACATAAATACCTTTAAACTTTTAAGCTCCTTTTATACATATTTTCTTTAATGCTCTCTTTTTTTTTTTAATTTAGGAAACCAATCATTAACTTGGCTACTCAGTTAGTAAACATTTACTTTAAAGCTATGTCCTGGAAGTCAAAAGCAAGTACAGGTATATATTTTCTAAGAAACACTCTGTAAAATCAAATAACAAGTAATTTAAAAACAAACCTGAAAGAGGAGATTTTTAAGAAAACTTTCACAGAGAAAAAACAATTTCTTAAACACATCACTGTTACCAATCTTAGTCATACCTGCATTAATGATTTGATTGACAAGGTTTTTAATGAGAGACATATTAACTGGAACTTCATTAAGGAGGAGTCCAATTCCTGAATAGCCAACTTCTCTGAGACGGATGCGTTGTTTACTACGTTCATAAACACTGGTGCATTTTAACATCTGCTCTATAACCTGGTCACAAAAAGTAACACAGTCTTTTCAATACAGAGAAACATTGGATTCTGGATCGTTAATAAATTTTACTGAAACTGTATCTATATTTGTGTAAATAATGTTTAAAATTCTAGTTTAAATACGGCCGATGAAAGAGTAGTATATATAGTTAGCAGACACGAAGAACACATCTATGTGTCAAGATATTACTATTATGATTATCATTCATTTTTTGTTTTGTATTTTAGATAAGGTCTCTCAAAATAGCACCAGCTGACCTGGAACTCACTACGTAGAGACTAGGGTGTCCTGTCTTCCACTGCTGGGACTGAAGATACGTGCCATCACACCCAGCCTAAAACGGTCTTAAAACTCATTTACATAACAGACCCATTTTCAAGAACAGAAAACCTTAGAGAAGCAACCCAAATAATCTATATCTAAAAATGGGAATAGAAGCTGAACTTTCCAGGGGTAAAAGTAATGTTATTTAAGAGGTTATTTTCTTATAAACTACAAAAGGATAATTGTGTCAGAATATCATATATAATCACTAAGAAATATTTTTAGAAGAAATAGTATTTCCTCTCTATGAATAAACCCTAGTGAGAGCAGATGCTTCCAAGAGCAGCCTCACTGGTAACCAACCATAAGCAACCCTAACAAACTACTTTAGACCTTTTCTTCATCATTGTATTCTAAAGCTTAGTGATTTGAAACACAAGCAATCAAAACATAAACCCTTAAAAGTATATTTAATTAACATAACTCTAATAACAATGTAAAAACAAAAATCATCAGACAATTAAGGACAAGGAGAATTTAACTAAGAAAAAAAGCTGGTAGATATATGCCTGGATTTTATATTTTTAGTTAACAAAAAGTTAAAAATGGTGGCTTCAGACAAGGGTTCAAGAGTCTTTACAGTTTGGATAGCAAATAAAATATACTCCATGTGTTTTAACAAAGCCATTAGTCCATCAGCTTCAATTTATCACCTGTAATACAGGAGTAAGAAATGTATCCATCTTCTAAAACAGTGGTAGGGACTAAGAAAACTACTCCCTGAAGAGTACAAACTGTCTGATATAAAGTGAGCGTCACAGAAGTGCTGCTATTATTAACTGCTAAATGACCTAATGTACTACACCCATGTACTTTATTTCAAGGAAGAACTCAGAGGTTTTATATTAAGAAAAATATGACGAAGTGGATATTCCACTGAGATGATTTGCCTGGTTATATTAATTTTTTGCTTGCTATTTTGATGTTTTTGTTTGTTTAGGTCCCCCGCCCCCCCCTTTTTTAGATGTACTAGTAAGATTTGGGGGAGGGACATAAACTCAGCACATACTAAGCCAGTACTCTACTACTTAAGTTAGAGTTAAGTTTTTAAAATATAGTATAGTTTAGTATATAGTATAGTATAGTACAGTATAGTTTTTAAAATACACAAACAACATGAAAAATATGTAACAAACTGAACTTAAGAAGTATGCAAAAGTAATTTAGTTATAAACTCATATAATCTCAAGTGTATCCAAGATATAATGCTTACAAAATTTGTGTACCTTAAAAATGATTTCTCTTAGTTTGTCAGAGTATTTCTGATTTAGCAGCAAAGCATACAGTATATCAGCATTTCCTGGTTCAAACATCAGTGAGAAAAGCTGACCTCTAGTTGGGCTGGTTCGTAGAAGACTGAAGAGTATATCCAAAATTCCAACAAGCTTTTCAAGTTAAACAACACAAAACAAACAAACAAACAAAATTCACTAATGTATACAGGCAGCAAAATAGGTATATAACTAAATTGGCTATACTCTGCTTTTTCTCTCTGATCTCTTTTGCTTCTTCCATTCCCTTTTGCATAGTTTTTCATTATACATATTCAATATCTCTGGCACCATTCCCAGCCTGTTTGCCGATAAGAAAAGAAATTTCTTCCATAGAAGAATCAAACCTGGTCTCTTCAACATTTAAAATCCTCTGATAAAACCTCATATGTCTTATCTCTCTCTTACAATCATATTCTTGTTTCATAGTTATCTATTAACTTCTCTTAATTATGTGGATTCTATTATGTTAAATGAATAATTTCACAACTGTATCATCTGCACTGCTTAATACTATTTTATAGGTATAGTTAAGTTCTAAAATTTATGGCAGAAAATATAATATAGACCAAGAAAATTTTGAAAACAAAACTGGAGAATGACCAGATACAACAACTGTGTAATGATTTGATATGAAGTGTAGCTGGAGGCACCACTGAGGTGATCATATTGTAAGGACACGAATAGGTGATTATAACAGGTTATAGAAAGAGTATATCAATGGATGAAATAATAAAAGAAACTGTACTTTTGAAAACTATCTCTTATCCCTGGCCCTTCCCATCCAGCTCCCTTCTGCGTCTTGACTGCCAAAAAAGAGATCTGTTCTACTATGCTCTCCTAGCAAATGTTGTCTCATCATGGCTCAGAAGCAAGAAGGGGAAATAAAATACAATGGAAAATTCTTAAATCTTAAGTTCAATGAAACGTTAACTCTTTACAATAGCTCTTCTCCGGTATTTTGTCACAGCAACTATTTTCCAATCTGGCAGTATTGAACACCAACAGGATTTTATTCATTAGACAATTATTTCAGTCAAAACTAAATTCATCTCAAGCATGATACCTGTTCTTCCTCATTAGTAGCAGCTATGTAACCTATGATACTTTGTATTTCTTCATGAGTTCCACCTTTACAAAGAAAATATTTAATTAGCCCATACAAAGAAGTCCTAATTGTTCGAATATCTTCTGGAGAAAGCTCATTACATGTACAACCATGCCTGAAAGAGAAAACAAAAGTGTGAAAGTTGAAATATTAAATACTTTGATGACGTTATATAAAGGAATTCATAATGTTAAAAATTAAGGCTTATAAGGAATGGATAAAGGCATCAGTTACCAAGTCTGACCACCTACTCTGATCCTGGGACCCATATGATGGAAGGCGATATCTAAGTCTCATAGCTGTCCTAACTTGACACATGAGCTGTGGCATATGCTCCTCCAACCCCTCACATACACACGAACACTGAAATAGATATAATCTAAATCTTAAAAACAAAAATCTTTCTAAGTACTTGCCATAAAGTCTACAAAGTGCTTGCTGCAAAAGCATGAGGCCCTGAGTACATTCTCCAAAATTCATGTGAAAAAGCTGGACATAGTAGCACACACTTGCAAACTTAGAACTAGAAAGATAGAAGAAACAGGTGGTCTGGAGCTTGGTGCCAGGCAGTGTAGCCAAATAGAGAACCACAGGCTACGAGTAGTCCATATCTCAAAAAACCAAGGTGAACGGCATCTGAGGAGAAATGACACCTAAGGTTCTGGCTTCTACACACACACACACACACACACACACACACACACACACACACACGTGCACAAGCACCCATATGAGAAGAATATACCCAAAAGTGGCCTGAAAAATTGACTCACCCAATTAAAAAAGCATTGATTGGACCTATGAAAGTCTAAAATCCTGAGTTTAGATTTTCAGAACCCGTGTAAACAGCTGTATATGGCATCCAGTGTTGGGGAGAGGTAGATAGGATTCTTAGGGTTTGTTGGATATTCACTCTAGCCAAATAGATGAGCTCCAGGTTTAAATAAGAGACTGTCTCAAAAACCAAGGACAGCAATTAAGGGAGATACCAGAGGGCTTAAGGATTTAGCTCAGTAGTAGAGAATTTGCCTAGCAAGTTCAAGGCCCTGGGTTTGGTTCTCAACTCCAAGTAAAAGGACACCAGAAGTTGGGTGTCCACACCTTTAACCCCAGCACTCATCAGAGTCAGGAGGTTCTCTGTGAGTTCAAAGACAGCCTGGTCTACATATTGAGTTGTAGAATAGACAGGGCTACACAAAGAAAACCAGTCTCAAAAAAAAAAAAAAAAGAAAAAGAAAAGAAAAAAGAAAGAAAAAGAAAAAGAAAGAAATCAAAAAAGGGGTGTGAACAATATCAGAATTTGACTTCTAGCATCCACAGCATTTACACATATACTCCTTTTACCCCATGACCAAATACAACACACACACACACACACACACACACACACACACACACTTTTAATATATTAGAATTCATAGTACCCTTTCTTTCGTTCTATCTTTTTCCTCTCTTTCTTTCTTTCTTTCTTTCTTTTTCTTTGAAAGAGTCTAGCCTTGCCTAGGCATGCCTACAACTTGCTGTGGAGCTGAGAACAACCCTGCACTTCTGACCCTATTGCTTCTAACACCCAAATGCTGGAGTTACAGGCCTGCAGTGCCACACTGTTTATGAATCACGTTTATTAGGAAAGAACAATACCAAACAAGAAGCCAAATTGGCTTCTTTTACATTAAGGGACACTTCGGTGACAAAAATAAAACTATTACAATATTTGCCATATAACTATAAAATTTTAATACTAAGAATCAGACACAGTTGTAAGTGCTTTAAATATTAACTGATTTAATTCTCAAAACTATCACAGATTATAGTCACAGTTTTAATCTGCTTTTTATAGATGAAAAAGCTTAAATACAGAGAATCTTAATGATTTAAATAGCATTACACAATAAACAAAGCAAACAAACAAATCTAATAAATGGTAATCTATTGCTTATCATTTTAACCTTACACTACCCTTTTTCTCTAAAGTTTTAGAATAACAGAATTGCTGGTCAAGGGAATAAGCTACACACTCCAGTCAAGTGTCAAACAGAAAGGAACAAATTAAACTGAAAAGAAACAAAGATGTCATACCCATAATAAATCCTAAGTGTATCTAGGAGAAACTGCACACCGTACTTCTTCCGGAAAACTCTCCTGCTGTCTTTAATGATAGTTGAAATATACTGTATATGGCCTAAAAGAAAATGTTCACTTATAAATAACATAACTGGAATAAAGTCACACAGGAGGTCATATATTCTGAAAACAACTACATAATATTTTATCTGACAGTTTGGTCTTACCAATCCGAAAAGGGAAATCTCCACGGTTCCAAATGCAGAAGTCAAAGAGTAAATACTGATACATTTGTTGAAGTAATAATGTGTTTTTTTCTAATGATACCTGTTCAATTAGTAATTGAATTGCCACCAATACATTAACATCCATTAGGGTACCTGGCACCTATAATTTAGCAGAAAAGGGTTTAATAAAGGTCAGTTTAAATAACAGTATAAAACTATTACTTCAAATAATTCAGAATGTCCCTAAAATATAGAATAAAAATGGTACAAAATATAAGTAACTTAACTCATTAAACTTTATAATTGAACATTGGATCATATTTTCTGATGCCATGTTTCTAAAGTCTTTCTTCTTAATTCTCAAAGCACCTTATGACAGCATGAATTCAAATTGGTATTAATAATTAAAAAGCTGAGTCAGATATAGGGGTTAATGCTGAAGATCTGAAATGCAAAGAGCCAGCCACTAGAGATCTTTTACCTCTGCCAGTGCTCAGACCGAAGAGTGCACTGTTCCACAGACTTCATCCTCAGACTACAACTGTCTCCATCAAACCTAGGACTGCACTGCTTCTGCTTCTCTTTTAGGCAGATTCAATCTTGTGTAGCCCAGGGGGGCCTTGAACTAAAAGAGATCCCTCTGCCTCTGTGTCCCGAGTCCTGGGGTTAAAGGTGTGTGGCACCATTCTATGGTCTCTAGTGACTTAGATCTGAACTCGGATCTTCATGGAAACTTAAACTACAAACAAAATATCACTACACCTTATCACTATAAATTTTTACAGACACTCTAAGAAATTATCTTCATTCCCATTCTACAGACAAGGAATAGACAGATTGTTTAATGTCTTATTTAATTTGAATTTCCTTAATGCTACTGAGAAAGGAACAACAGATATGGAAATCATTCAACAATAGAAAAAAAAACTATGCACTTTAAAGATGTGTTGACCTCAGGATGGAAACCAGGACATGTGTTAACATTGGGGAAGAGGTTTCACTTTTGTTTCCACAGGAAAAACTTATTAATAAGGAGAAGTGATATTTCATCAAGAGATGTGACATGTCAAAAGGAAAACCCAACAAATAAGGGTTCGGGTAGGGTTCTTTTTCTTTTTTTTTTTTTTTTTGGTAGTTAAAATCTGTTTTATTAAATTGCATCATGAAATTTTTATTCCAAGTTCAGTCAATGCTTGTATTTCTTTTTTTTTATTGTTTTATTTTATTTTATTTTTTTGGAGACACGATTTCTCTGTGTAGTTCTGGTTGCCCTGGAACTTTCTCTGTAGAGAGGGTTCTTTTTCTTTCTGTCTTTACAGGAAAACAGAGATTTTAGATTTTCCTGTAAAATTGAAGAAAGCAAAAAACCCACATTCAAGAAATCAAAAGATTTTGGACATCTAGATGTCTACAGAAGAAGAGAAAATTATCTAGAAAAAAAATACTAAGCAAAGAAAAATCTGACCTATGGTACCAAAATTCTCTGCAAACAAAAATCTCACTACCTAAACATCTATATTTCTTTACTTCTCAGAAAAGTTGTAGTACCGACTCAAGTGAAAAATCAAAGCTGGGTCCCCAGTTAGTTCCTTGGGCAGTTGAAAATAGGGAACCTGAAATGACCCTATCCTTGAGCAATACTGACGAATATCTTGCATATCTTCATAGAACCTTCATCTGGTGATGGATGGAGATAGAGACAGAGACCCACACTGGAGCACTGGACTGAGCTCCCAAAGTCCCAATGAGGAGCAGAAGGAGGGAGAACATGAGCAATGAAGTCGGGACCACGAGGGATGCACCCACCCACTGAGACAGTGGAGCTGATCTATTGAGAGCTCACCAAGACCAGCTGGACTGTGACTGAAAAAGCATGGGATAAAACTGGACTCTCTGAACATGGCGAACAATGAGGGCTGATGAGACGCAAAGGACAATGGCACGGGGGTTTGATCCTACGTAATGTGATGGCTTTGTGGGAGCCCAGCCAGTATGGATGTTCACCTTCCTAGATATGGACGGAAGTGGGAGGTCCTAGGTCTTACCACAGGGCAGAAAACCCTGACTGCTCTTTGGACTGGAGAGGGAGGGGGAAAGGAGTGGGGGGAGGGGGAGAAGGGTGGGAGGAGGGGGTGTAGGGTGGGAGGAGGGGGAGGGAAATGGGAGGCTGGGAGGAGGTGGAAACTTGTTTTTTTTATTTTCTCCTTTTCTCAATAAAAAAAAATATTTAATAAAAAAAATATGAAAAAAAATCAAAGCTGGTTTTGGAGCTGGAGTGTGATTCTCTCCTCTAAATCCAAGTATGTTGTTAGAAGAAAAATTCAAAGTTTATTGTCTCATATCAGAAGAGCCACCTGATGTGAGACAGAAGAAAGCCAAAAATCTAGAAACTATTGTTGTCAAAACTCTGTTATCTCCCCAAAATTCAATTTCTCCCCTTACTTATTTTTGACTCTTTAGTACCTTTCTTTGGATAAATATCGATCTTAAAATTTAGACCTTCTGTTTTGATATTAATAATGTTTAAGTTTTTCACAGTGAACAATAGATTTTCCTAACAGCAATCTCTGAAGTCTCTAGAAAGAAGATGGGATCCCACAACAATGATACTACCTGGTTCATGATGATGCCATAGAGCTAATAAACACTACTCAAAGATCGGTTTTGAACTACAAACTGTTTAAGACGATTCTAATTTGTCTAGCTGAGATGCTCCACCTTCTTACAACACTCTAGCCATAATTTTAGAAAAGAACTTCAGATAAGCCTTACCTACTACTCAGAGACTGGCTATAAATGTTACAGCTAGCCCTCTTGAGACTTATCCACTGTTTTAAAATTTTATATGATCCTATAGAGATATTGCCACCTGCAGTAATTTTGGAAGTAATTCCGAAAAAAATGAACCCCCTCTCCCAACAGATAGGATAAATGGCATTTTGTTTTCCTCAGGGTTGGTTATAAGTTATTATAGAATTGGGGACAGAATAATAATAATTAGAATCAGGAATCTTGTTTGGTATAGAAAAAAGGGAAAAAGATAAGCTAAAATAACAAGGTAGACTAGTATATTTACTTGTAAACTATTTTAGCAACTATTATTTTTAGACAATTTACATTGGTATAGATTCTTGTATATTGATACATGTGTAAAATTATTTTTGCATTTCTAAGGTAATTTATATATTGATACAAATTCAAAATTTTATTTTTCCTATTGTGTATGTTCCTACTTGTTTACAATATCCTTGTACAGAAATTTAAAATTATTTTTGCCATACTGTACTTAGGTTTTTACTTCTGCTTAAGATATTTTGTATATTGATACAAATTAAGAACATTTTGTCATACTACACTATACATTTCTACCTCTGATTAGGATATTTTTATATATTGTTAAAATTTGAGATTATCCTTATGCTATACACGTTTGAAGATTGTTTATTTCTATAATGTTAAGCTTTAGTCTTTAAGCTATATAAGTTATTAAGAATTTCAGAATAACCCATATTTGTCATACTTATAGTTATTTTAGGTTCTTTAGATGCACAGAGATGTACTTTACATAGACAGGTAATCTTCAAACACTTCAAAGATCTACAGAACATGACATTTAAATGTTTTAATAATTTAAAATCCTGTTGACATGAGACATGACTGCTCCTGGCATCATTGACCAACTTCTGAGAGAAAGATGGGCACCAAAGACACTCCATATGGAGCTTGTTTTCTTCTTGGCAAAACTGGACTATTGTGCAATGAATTGCCCTTGCCTCAACTGCTAATAGTAAGCAAGTTGTCTAATCTGGACAAGCAGGATACAAGGGTAAGCAACTGCTGAACTTTGTTATGACAGAGTAGGACAGTCTTTCAAATATTCCTGCTTCTGAAAATGATCTGTCAGATATTCTAGGCCTATAGCCAAAATTGGATACCCCAATATTACAGAGAGACTTCGGATGACTGTCCAGCTGTACAGCCAGCTATTTCTATCATTTCTTGTAACTTTTAGAAGTCATTTGCTTGTACTTCATGATTACTCAAAGTAAAAATATTTTCCTTCTAAGGGCTTTTATGGTGGTAAAGACTAGATAGTCACAGTTACTAACCTCTCATACCTTAGCTAAGGCATATTAGTTATAAAACTTAGACTCTTCAGGATAGGACAAGTATTGGAATTGCCTCTGTTATTTGACAATTACCTATAGCCTGGACATCTAAGTATGTGTTCCTTTCTTGATGTACTTGTTGGCTGTAGTTCCATTTTTGTGTATGTTACTACCCTTTCGTGCTCCTAGACAACACTTGATATTTGTTCTTATTGTAAATGCTTTTATGGTAGGATTAGAATCTTATTATTTAGACAAAACGGGGAACTGTTGTAGGAATTCATTCTACCAACAGCTTTAAAGTGTGGCTTCCTGTCTGTGAACATGACCTCTTAAAAGGAGAAAGAGAGTAGTGTGTGCTTTCTTGGGTTATGAAGACCAGAGTTAGGTGGCATGAAGCAGCCTGTGTTCCCAGCTCCCTTGATCCCCAATTCTGAGAGTCTGTTGTTCCCAGCACCCCTTCAATATGTGTGTGTTTGTCTGTGTGTATCTATATCTTTGTGGTTCACACTACAAAAATCAAAACCCAGCCGGGCGGTGGTGGCGCACGCCTTTAATCCCAGCACTCGGGAGGCAGAGGCTGGCGGATCTCTGTGAGTTCGAGGCCAGCCTGGTCTACAAGACCTAGTTCCAGGACAGGAACCAAAAGCTACGGAGAAACCCTGTCTCGAAAAATCAAAAAAAAAAAAAAATCAAAACCCAAAAATTCCAGGAAGAACTGTATAGTAGTAACTCCAGTTCCAAGGGATCTGACACTCTCACACAGACATACATGCAAGCAAAACACCAATACACACAAAAATAAAATGAATAAAAAAGAAAATTCTCTCCAGAAAACTTTAAAGAAGAATTATTCCTCCCATAGACAGACCAATAAAATCCAATCACTGCACATGGAGTGAGAACATTATCTTTTCTCACACTCGCAGTGCCTCTCTCCAGGGCCCACTGAAAAGTATAGCGGTAACTTTAATGGTTCTCAACCTTAACCAGTATCATCGTTTTTCCACCATGCCTTTCCCTTTACAACACTGTGAGGTGGACATGATTGTGTTCATTTCTCCCAATGCCTTTGTTCTGATGAATAAATTGCTGAGTAAATTAAACCCAAGAAAATGACTTTTACTGGGGCCTTATAACCCAACTTTGTAAACAAATATCTCAATGATATTATAAAATGATCTCGTAGAGGGTTTCAATAAAACTATAAACTAGTAGTTCCCCAGAAAGCAGGCTACAAACTTTGCATACTGGCACCCTAGGTTGACCATAACAAAAATGGTATGAAATAGGCATCCTTTCAATATCAGTGTTTCCATGTGACTCTGTTTGCTCATCTGGCCAGTAGTCTTGTCTGATCTTTATAAACAGGCCTCCTAAGTCAGACTATACACCATGTGAAAGGTGATCTTAAGTTGACTGAGCAAAAGACTTTCTTCTTGGCCACATGAAATAACCTCAATAATTTCTTAATACCTCTGACAAAAAATGGCAGTCTTTCAGTGGTAGGAGCGTCAGACCGGATATATAAGATTCATCATTCATATATAAGAACCTTCCTTCTTTTCTCTTTCTTAAATTTTTGAGAAATGGTTTTACTATATAGCCCGGGATGTCCTGGAACTCACTTTGTAGACCAGGCTGGCCTCTGTCCTGCCAAGTGCTGGTATTAAAGTTGTGCACCACCATATACTGCCTAGAGGTTATCTGAAACAGCCACATAAAGCTTAACTGATTTTTCATGTTCTTTTTTGAATAGCAGGATCTTACTATGGAGTTCTGGCTGTCCTAGTACCCTCTATCTACATAGACTAGGATGGCCTCAATCTTACAGAAACCAGTCTGCCTATACCTTCCAAATGTCAGGATTAACCATTGTCACCAGCTTTCTCTACAGGAGTCTTCTCTCCAGCACTGTCACTATGAGAAAACCTATCATGGTAAAATAATGGCATGCTGATTCCATGTGTCTCTTGGAATGCTTCCCCTGCCTTCACACAACTTCTTATGATGGGGCCATTTTAGCACCTACTAAAGTTTAAAAAAACGCAGGAGAGAAGCTAAATTGTGGTATATGCAATGAGCTTCCAATTAAAGTGGCCTTGTAATTTGCTTTAATTATTCCTTATAAATTAAGACTTATCTGAAAACCATGTTAAACTAGAAATTTGTCTTTATATATCAGGTCAGGCATGACCGCACATATATAATCTTAGCACTCAGAAGGACAAATGGCAACAGCTACTCTTGGAACTTAACAATCCCTAGCTGTTGTAGACAGACTTTCACTTCTTTTATGGCAAACATGCCAGCTCTCTTCTCCCTCACAACAGTCAGAGGATTTCCTGATGAATATATGCATACAGTCAATGTCAGTTTATCAGCTGTGTGAAACAGAGTCTTCTTGTTCTCACCTTTCACTTGAATTTGTACTTAGCAACTAAGGAAATATACATCCACAACCAAGCACTAGGCTGAGCTCTGGGAATCCAACTAAAGAGAGGGAGGACGAAATTTATGACAAGGGAGGTCAGGATGAAAACACATGAACTCCAGACCGACAGCTGTGGAGCCTCCACATGTGGGAGGCAGTGGTGAAGCCTGGACTATCCTGGCAGTAGAGCCAGGATGTATCCCTAGTCCACGACTTGACTTGTTGGAGCCCATTAACTATGGTGGGATGCCATGCTCAGTCTTAATGTAGTGGGGAGGGGCTTGGTCCTGCCCCAACTTAATGTATCAGACTTTGTTGACTCCCATGGGAATCCTTACCCATTGGGAAGACTGGATGGGGGAGTTACTTAGGGGGAGGCGAGGAGGGGTGGGAGGGAGAACTGTAGTTGGAACGTAAAATGAAATTAAAAAAAGAACATATATTCTTATATAAGCAATTTATATTATTCTATTAAAATTTATAAAAGCTGCCTGTGAAACAAGCCACATGCATTAATACAACTTGAGTTGTAATACAGTAATCATTAGTAACATTTATTAATAGGAATAAAATCACAACAGCCATTTATGATCACTATTAAATAAATCAACGTCATGTTAAATTTGATTACCTTTTGAAGTAAGGCACCAAGAGTTGCAACCCCATGGGACTGAATAAGATTATCCTGGTTGATAGGATGCCTCTGAATAAAGTGCTTCACAATCAAGATAAATGTTGCAACTAGATTTCTCTCTAGTCTTGACTCTGTAAAAACAGGAAAACATCAATATCACAATCATTCTCATCAATTTGAAATCACATATTTTATGTCATAATACACATTGCAACAAAGAAGCAATCCAATTCAGAAGCTTGCTTCTAAGACTCATTTATACAATAAAATCAGAAAAAGCAGCAACTACTTACAATATAATTGTATCCATATGTAAATACTTTCTTTACCATGATTTAACAATATAGTAGGGTTTTTTTTTTCACTAAGAGCATAAACTAAAGAAAGTCAAAAGTAAAATTATTATCTTTGATGTTTTAATGAAAATATTATAAATTTACTGAACGATGGCAGTTCAGGAGGGAAGCTACAACAGCTATAAATAATTAAGTGGTATGGCATTTTATTTTCCAACTAATTCTCAACTTTCTAAATGACTAATTTAGGCTAATATAATTTAATTACCTGATGCCTTTGTGGAGGACAATGCCATACATTCCTGTTCAATCGGTGTTATTAATTCAGGAACTGTGTTTTCATTCATTCCTTCAGAAGTCTGTCCTTCAATAAAGTGGCTTATTTGTTCCAGGATAGGAAAAAGTACATTTAACCCACCTATACAATTGATGATGTCCTGAAAACAAAATTAAAATTTTTTAATACTACAATAAAAACAATGGTTTGATTTAGTATCTACAGGATATATGAAGATATAGTTTGTTAATAAACTTTAAGTAATATATGGAATAGACTAAGTTGAAAGAATATTTAAGCAGACAGTCTCAAAGATAACAAAAATGTACATTCAAAAGAGACCATTTTAGGCCATTTTTCTGTGCTTGTTTTATAGATTTTAGGAAGTTCAAACACAGCAACATATAATGCAACTCCAACAATGCTAAGAACAAGCAATTGTCACCACATGGTTATGCATCAAAAATATAAGGGAGAGACTAGAAGTATGACTGATTCTTCAAATTTTAATTAACAAAAGACAGAAGAGGTAAAGTATGAAAAGTGCTATATGCCTGACAGAGGATGTTATATGAAGTTACTATTATTAATCATTAAAACATTCAAACCTACACTGATGTGTTACTGTAAGGCTAGGGCAGGAACATTCCATGTTCAAGGACATCCTGGAAGGGAATAAGAGAGAAAGAGAGAAGAGAAGGAGAGAAGGGGAGGGAAAAGAAGCAGAAAGAGAAGGGAGGAGAGGAGATTAACAAATCTCCCATTTCATACGGTTATTTGTTACAACAGCAGCTAAAAACACTTATTCAGCAAAACCTCCCAATACCTAATTCATTATGTTATACCTGAGTTATCAAGAGCTATTCATAAACTACATCCCTGCCACCTTATTTTACATATTTTAAATTATCTAAAATTTATTTTACCCATTAAATAAAAAGATAAAAATTATGTGTTGAGGGAAAAACATACTGATTTTAAAGAACTCTTAGTGTAGTAGTAACTGAACTTTTTGGATGGCAAATATTTTCCTTCTTGGTTATTATTTTTTGTAATTGCTGTGTTTTACATTTTAAATTTTTTTTATTTTTTATTTTTTTTCCATTCAAAAATTTACACTTCCCCCCCTCCTCCCATTCCCTTCCCGCTCCTCCACTCCCCCTAAAAAAAAAAAAAAAAAAAAAAAAAAAAAAAAAAGAAATATCACCAGAAACTGCAAAGCAGAAAATATGAGAGGGAAACTCAGAGAAAGAACTCTGCCATGGCACATAAAGCCTGCTGTGGCGCAAAGTCATCCCCAAGCTGGTTTGACTTCTGGCAAAATACTACCCTCATCTTCAGTGAAGCCACATCAAGGGCTGATTCTGAGATTTGCTGCCAGGCATTTGGGAGAATTTTGATAGTCTTGTCATCTCAGATCCAAAGGAAGTACAAGCAGAAATATAATGAATTGTTTCTACAAAAAGACAATTTTAGATTTTATGTGATATACTTGGTTGAATAAAAATATATTTAAGAAAAAAAAAAAAGAGAGGGCAGGGAATCCTGCCCTGTGGGAAGTCCAAGACCCTCCCCCTACATCCATGCCTAGGAAGCTTTGCATCCAAATAGATTAGGGTCCCAAAAAGCCAGTACCTGCAGTAGAAACAAGTCCTAGTGCCTTTATCAATGTCTTCTCAGTCAGCCCCCATTGTCAGTCACATTCAGAGAGTCTGGTTTGATCACATGCTCCTTCAGTCCTGTTTCTTCTTGGTTTTGTGTGTGTGTGTGTGTGTGTGTGTGTGTGTGTGTATGTGTATGTGTGAGAGAGGGGGGGGGAGGCAGGGGAAGATTAGATTTTACTTAAGCACAAACATTATAACTGGTTTTCTCTTAATAATTCTGTTTCTGCTGGAGAGATGGCTCAGGTTAAGAGCACTGGCTGTTCTTCCAAAGGTCCTGAGTTCAGTTCCCAGCAACCACATGGTAGCTCACAACCACCTGTAATAAGATCTGGTGCCCTCTTCTTGCCTGCAGGCATACATGCAGGAAGAACACTGTATAGATAATAAATAAATAAACCTTAAAAAAAAATACAGTAGTAACTATGGGACTCCAGAACAACCTGCAATAATTCTGTTCCTGTTTTGCTTCTACATTAGACAAAATGTTTGATTAGTTGATTTGTATAGCTACAATACAAAGTATTAAAGAAAGACTGATTTTCAGATGAGCACAGCATACCTGAGAAAATTAAGTTTCTACACATAGCACACAAAACTAGTCTTTTAAAGCCAATATTACACGGATAGTAAAAGTTAAACTATGCATTTTTAAGCTGGCTAAGTTGATGGCATAGTTTACAAATGTAAGTAAGTTTCAATAATCATTCAACTACTGTAACTATTCATCCTTCAGAATATAAATCTGAATAACATTTAATTAATTAATAAGTTACAATTTTTGTTTTATTTTGGAGACAGAGTCTCAATAAATAGCCTTGGTCACTCTAAAATGCCCATATAGAGCAGGCTGAGAACAAACTCACAGAGATCCGTCTCGCTCTGCCTCCTGAGTGCTGGGATTAAAGGCATGCACCACCATGTCCATTGTTACATAAAAATTTAAAAGATAAAACCTGGGACATCTCACTGAGCAGGTTGGATGGCTCAGTGGATAAGAGTTCTTGTTCTACAAGCATGAGAACCTAAGGTCTGAATTCAAATCCTGAACACCCATGTAAAACTCAGAACATGACTGCCTGTAAACTGTAGCACCAGCAGAACAGAGACATGGTGATCCTGAGTGCTCATTGACTAAGGCCAGTCTAAAAGGCAAGATTTCAGTACAATCCATGCAACTAGTGAAGAATAGATTTCTAACAGCATATACATACATGCATGCACCTTCCCTGGCCCCTCCTTCATCACTCAGGGCCTAGGAAGGTGGTTCAGTAGTGAAGCAAATGCTCAAAATACAAAATGGCCTAGATTCAGTTTGTAATATTGAAAAAAAAAAGGTTCAAGTTATGTGCTATGCTTAAGTAAAATTAAAATTAAATTAAATTAAATTGGTGTAGGAAGTTCTTCTGTCTATGTGTTGCTTTCATTGGTTGAATAAAGAAACTGCCTTGGCCTTTTGATAGGGCATAACTTAGATAGGCGGTGTAGACAGAAGAGAATGCTGGGAAGTGGGGCATAGTGGCAGAAGCCATGAAGCTCCTGCCTGAGACTGACATTGGTTAGAACCCTTCCTGGTAAGCCACGACCTCATGGTGCTACACAGATTATTAAAAATGGGTTGAATCAAGGTCTGAAAGTTAGCCAATAAGATGCTAGAGCTAATGGGCCAGGCAATGTTGAAATGAATACAGTTTCTATGTGATTATTTTGGGTGTGTGTTTGTGTGTGGCCAGGACAAACAAGGCGCCCCACTCCCTACTATATTAAATTATATTAGGTTACCTATTATATATTAGTATTAACTTACTTTAATGTCCCAATTCACTACTTTGTTTCCTGTTAATCTTCCATGCAAATAATTAGTAGACAAGTCAAGGCAAATTGAATTTTCGCAAGCCTAAGAACAAAGGAAAAAAACAGCATTTTAGTGCAATTAGAACAAAACGTAACTTTAATTACATAAAGAATGTTTCATCATAATTTTAAAAGTACACAATAAAATCAATAACTTGCCTAGCATTTGCCTTTTACTGTCCCCCCACCCTCCCTGTGTGTGTGTGCTCGCGCATCTTTGTGGGGCATGCAATCGGGTCTGTGTCTGTGGAGGTCAGATGTACTCATCAGATCTTGGATGTCTTTAATCACTCTCTACCTTCTTCTTTGAGACAGTCTCTCTCACTGGATCTAGAGATCACCAATTAGCTACACTACTGGCAAGCAATCTCTTTACTTGTCAAGGACCCTCCACCACCTGGGTTAGAAGCACACATCATAAGGTCCATATGGGTGTTTGGGGGTCCAAACTTGGTCCTTATGTTTAGACGTCAAGTACTTTACCTACTGAGACATCTCAAGTCATTAAAGTCTCAAAAAAAAAAAAAGTCAGAGACTAAATCTAAGTTCTAAAGCACTTATTTATCAAAAGTATGCCACTGCCTTCAGTTCCTGGCACAAAGACAAGACTGAATTTTAAAAAAAGAGATGACTAAACACCTGCTACAAATAAGGACAAGAAGGAGAAACAGTTGACTAGTGAAGAATTTTCAAAGTACCATTTAACAAATTAGCATTTATTAATACTTGAGTTATTTTTTAAAAGTGTTCAAAAAGCTGGTGAAAGAGTAAACCAACTAGAATCTACTCTTCAGTATATTTTTTAAAGCCTGTCATCAGTCTCCACAAAGGTTATAAAGAATACAAGAGCTCCATGAACTCACTACACCATTTTAGAAAAACACAACTTCAATAAACTGATTTGTCTACATATTAATTACATTTCTTGGGGAAAATATGATAATAACTAATTTTTAATAGTATAGATTTTTAAAAAATTTTCTGTCACAAGTTAGACACTGGTGGTGCACACCTTTAGTCCCCGAACTCAGGAGGCAGAAGCAGGCAGATCTCTGAGTTTGAGGTTAGTCTGTTCTACAGAGTGAGTTGCAGGACAGTCAGAACTGCAAAGAGAAATCCTGTCTCAAAAAACAAAAACAAAGCAAACAAACAAAAAAGCAGTCACAAAAAAAATATAATCTTAGTAACACTAAATTAAAAATTATTTTGTAAAAAGATTACAACTATAATAATAAAAACCAGATGCCTGGCCGGACCGTGGTGGCGCACACCTTTAATCCCAGCACAAAGGAGGCAGAGGAAGGTGAATCCCTGTGAGTATGAGGCCAGTCTGGTCTACAAGAGCTAGTTCCAGGACAGCTAGGACTATTACACAGGGAAACCCTGTCTTGAAAAACCAAAAAACAAAACAAAACAAAAAAGACAGATGCCCATTACATGTCAATAATATGTCACTCTAACAAAAAAAACAAAACAAAACAAAAGAATATATTAATCAGTATACTATTTAGATTAGATCCAATGATTTCCTAGTCATCTGTGCTACATACTAGAGACTAAATAGGAGAGTAAAGACTAGAAGTTGTCAGTTAAGAAGGTTATTATGGTTTGGTAAACAAACATACTGTTGGAGTAAGTACATGGATCCTGACTGAACCAAAACTAATTTTTGGTAATAAGTATTTTAGGGAAAATTGAAAACCAATTATATACTCAATAATGTAAGTAACTGTAAAACAATTCAGGGATAAAGTTTTATAGCTATAGCAAGATGCTCTTACAAATGACCTGAGAAAGGTCATCAAATACAACAAAATGTTAACAATTGGCTAATTTAGGATTATTATACTATTATCTTTTTAATAACTTCTAAGGTTTGAAATTTATTAAAATACAAAGTTGACAGAACATAGAATCTTATTTTATTAGGACAGATGTAACAAATAAATAGTATGATCACGTACCAGGTTGCTAAAGTAGAAAAGGATGTTCTATATTATCTCACAATAAAAGTATTTTCTGTGTCAATGTAACACCAAATATGATGGAGGCAAATAATGCTGTTTGTGACACATCTCTGCTTTCTTCCTCCCAATTCTGTCTAATGTCTTTTTTCCTTCAGTCTTAGTTCCAATTACTTTTGGTAACCAGGTCTTTGAAGCAAAATAACTAGACATGGCAGGCATACCAACAGGGTTTTCTATCCTTTAGAAAACATCTCTCCTTCCCTCAACATCACATCTTAAAAACTGAACCAAGGTTTGAGTATGACTGTTTCACCTCTTTCTTCATATAACTAGAGAAATACAAGTTTAAAATGTCTTTTTCACTAAAACCAACTCAGACAAACTCCTGAAACTAGTTTAATTCACACTAGTAGAATGACATAGCACCTGAACTCTAGTTGAGTTTTGCCTCAACTTTTGTTGCTTACCAACTTCCTTTAAAAAAAAAAAATTTTTTTTTTAAACATCATGATGGAAGCCCCTCCTCAATTGCCAACTGAAATGACAAAAGGAATAAAATGATGAATTCAAGTTCACAGCAGTTACAAATATGGACAATCTATGCATTTACTCTGACCTTTGCTGTGTACTGAAGGAGGATGTTACTTGGTAGGCCGGTCATATCATAGTCCTGACACTTCCAAGGGCTTAAGCAATTTGGACCTGAAAATGAGTTACATACACACACACATACATCACTGAATATACGTGGTATCCTTAGTTCTATGTTACCAGAATAAAATTTAAAATCAAGATGTTTCTAACAACTCAAATAACATAGATCTTAGGATGCATTCTGACAAAAGGGGGCTGGGGGAGAGACAATGCTAAGTACTGTGGCTGTATATGCTTACCTGCTAAATATAAGGCCTTAACCTGTGAAGGCTGGAGTGCTTCATGGAATACAATAACAGAACCTAGCTGCCCTTCCAAGGATGTGGGGCAACCCCATTCACTATCTTGAGTTCCAGCTGAAATTAATTTCGTAATTAATTTTGATTTTTCAATTGTTCCACCCCAGGAGGCTGATGACAATATTCCACCAAATGATGTCCGGTGAGGGGTTATGGGAGTAGAATATGGTGGATCTGGGATTTGAGATGGTGGAGGAGTAGTGGTTCTTTGCCCAGCTGAACCAATACAACAGGAAGTAAATGGCTAAAAATTAAACAAAAAATGACAAAAATTATTTAAAATCATACAACTTGAAATAAATCTCTCTCTTCACATTTAAACAGTGTAAAGCTGGTGACACATACTTAAGTCCTGGCACTGGTGAAGGCCAAGGCAAAGGGATCATGAGCTGATAATAAGACCCTATCTCAAAAACCACAAAACTAAACAATGAACTGAAATACCATGGAGCTGAACATATAGCTCCATGGTAAAATACTTGTCTAGCATGTATGAAGCTTGGGTTTGATACCACCAATGGAAAGATAAATAACTAAATTTAAAAATTAATTAAAAATAAGAGAAAATCATTTATATAAAAGTAAGCAAATAAGCACTTTGAAAATAGAAATAAAAGTCAATTTTTCAACTGAAACACAACATAAATAGGGAAGTATATACCTAAGATATCAACATGAAATTTATTTTTAACTGAGACAAAGTTGAGTAAAACAGACATTACTTTTATGAATCAATAAACTTTCTGATGAGTATTATTATTATTTTTTTGTTTTTATTTTTTCGAGACAGGTTTTCTTTTTTGGTAGCTTTGGAGCATGTCCTGGAACTAGCTCTTGTAGACCAGGCTGGCATTGAACTCACAAAGATCCACCTGCTTCTGCCTCCTGAGTGTTGGGATTCACTACTGTCTGGCAATGGGTATTATTTTTAAAAGTTAAAAGAGCTTTACTATTATCTAAAATAGAGATAATTACTTTTCCCCTACAAAATTTATTGGGTATTATTTAACAGTATAATGTTAATTAAAAGCTACCTTCAATAGTCATGATGAGAAATAAGAAACTTACTAGGAAAATCATACTGACAAATAGTCTACTTTATCCAAAGACTTTCTTAAATTAGCCAATCTCAAAAAGCTTTCCTAACCTGGGTGGAGAATAAAGCTTGAAGCTACTTTATCACTAGTTCAAATTTAACAAAGATATTTAACGGAGATAGAAAGGTATATCATAGCATTTTAGGAAAATATTTAGAATATTCTCAGGATTTTGCAATCAATTAGGGCCATAAAAAAAAAACAGAGAAGCTACATATACTGACCTCATTCATGGCAGGAAATCTGAGAGGAGCAGAAACCTTTTGTTGTCCATTGTCATAGATATAGACGATGCTCTGACCAAAGGGCCTTTTCCCAGGCATGTGAACAATGGTTATGTTGTGCTAATGAAGTAAAGGACACATTAAAATGACGAAAATTATATCATGTCTTTGCAATGACATATGCTTACAGATTATTACTTTATAATTTGTGTGAACAAAATATTAAGGAAAGCTAAAATGCTTACTCAATGATGTTCTCTAAACAAGTAACAATTTTTTATGTACTATAAAACAATTAAGCCTTTATCATTAGACTCACAAAAATTTTCTAAGGTTCTAAATATTCTTAAAATTATTTTCTTCAAAGAGAACCATTTTATATTTTTGAGGCAAGCAACAAAAATACATTGATTTAACATTAATTCATTAGAAATGAATATTGTCAGAAAAAAACCTCCTCCTATAAATGCATCAAACTGTTATATTTTTTCTTTTTTGAGACAGGGTTTCTTTGTAGCTTCGGAGCCTGTCCTGGAACTAGGTCTTGTAGACCAGGCTGGCCTTGGAACTCACAGAGTGTCGCGTGCCTCTGCCTCCTGAGTGCTGGGATTAAAGGCGGGCACTGTTATACATCTTAAAGGAAAGATAGAATGAGAGTTTGATGTGGCGTCCTGAAGTCTTACCCAGAGAGAGTCACAGAAACTGTGGTCAGGAAGCATCACTGTTGCATATTCTCTTTTTGTGCACACTGCCACAACCAACATACCTGAGTGAGTAATAAAAGCTTCAAAACCCATTCCACTTCCTGTAAAAAAACTAACAAAAATATATGTTATCAGAACCTCTGAAATAAAGTAGACAAGTCTCTTCATCATTGAAGTTCACCATTGTGAACATATAATGTGATTACAAATATCTTTATCAACAATGCTGCAATCTTAATTCTATTGCTATACAATAGACTTGATTTCAGTCATTTTTAAATCCATTTTTGGCATAAAAGCTAAAAAATTATAAAAGGTAACACTGAAAGTGGGATTTTATTATCAAGCTAGAGCAGTGGTTTTCAACCTTCCTGATGCCGTGATCCTTTGATATACAGTTCATGTTGTAGTGACCCCAGCTATAAAATTATTTCAATGCTACTTCGTAACTGTAATTTTGCTACTGTTACAAAGCAAATATAATTATCTGTGTTTTCTAATGGTTTTAGGTGACCCTTGTGAAAGGGTCCTTTGACGCCCCCCAAAGGACTCACAACCCACAGGTTGAGAACCTCTGACCTAGAACAAAACCACAAATTTCAAATCTTTTAAAGTATTCCAAATATCCAGAAAGCACACACAAAAGTTTTAATAATCATAAGGCATATTAAAAATTATTAGCTACCTGAGGCCTGAATGTTTTACATGAGAACACAACTCCTTCAGTGGAACAGTTTACTATTTCTTCTCCACTTTTATACTACTTTCATTTTTGTTTCCTAAAGCTACTCAGCATTTAGCCAGGAAAATATACAAAACACAGAATTATTTTGAAAGCAATAAAGCACTTCTAAACTATATACAGGCAGAAGATAAAAAATTTCATATAAACTGTTATAGATTCTTTATCCTAATTAAGAATGTGACAATCTTCATTTATATTCCACAATTTGTACCATTACCTATATAATTGTTTTCTTTTTCCTCCTTTGTTAGCAGTGTCAAGGGGTAATTGATCCTGATCTAAGCAAAACCAAGCAGAGAAGGAAAATGCAGACCCAGGCCATTTCTGAATGGCAGGCACAGAAATTCCTGCCATGCTATGTGACAAATTAAAATACTGCAGTGCACTCTCAAGATTGAGTTTCCGTGCCATTGTCAGAATTGCACGAGTCACAGGAATGGTATACGGGTGAATAAACTCAGATTCATCTACTCTCAGCAATCGTAGTAGTCGACGGATTTCTTCTGAGCTTACAGACAGACTCCCCAATGAACCATGAATTGTTATCAAGTTCTCAGCACAAGTTCGATGTAGGGAAGAATGGGATTCAAGGGTTTCAATGATTCTTATTCCCATGTTTGCATTCACACACATAGTTCGGCTCTGCTTATTAATACAACAAATTTTTTTCAGCCAGTCAGAGATGAATATTTGTAGGTCATGTGATTCTAGCTCCGGAAGCCATTGGATAAGAACCAAGAGAGGATGGACATTACTAATGCCCAAAATACCAACTGAAGTATGATCACCTTCTACAGCCTGAAAAGTGACACAGAAGTAAAAGGTTAGTTACTATTCTTAAAGTTGAAACAAAGGAACTTCACATCATAGTGGTTAAAAACTTACCATATTCATAAGTTCTTTAAGCAGTTCTAGTGATGGCTGACCCAAAGATTTCAATACCTCAAACATGTGCATATAGCCAATTCTTTCTTTAAATACTTCCTAAAGGGGAAGACAACATATCAAAGCACATTTTCAATGATTAAATTTGTTGGAATATTAAATATTAAAAACTATTTGGTTAATAAAATCCAAGAAAAGACTATGAGATCAGGTTTTTTAATTATTATTTTCATTGAGTTCTACATTTTTCCCTGCTCCCCTTCATATCTCTCCACTCCCCTTCAACCCTCTCCCAAGGTCCCCATGCTCCCAATTTACTCAGGAGATCCTGTCTTTTTCTACTTCCCATGTAGATTAGTTCTATATATGTCTCTCTTAGTGTCCTCATTGTTGTCTAGGATCTCTGGGATTGATTTGTGAGCTGGTTTTCTTTACTTTATGTTTAAAAACCACCTCTGAGTGAGTACATGTGATAATTGTCTTTCTGTGTCTGGGTTACCTCACTCAAAATGATGTTTTCTATCTCCATCCATTTTCCTGCAAAATTCAAGATGTTGTTATTTTTTTCTGTAGTACTCCATTGTGTAAGTGTACCACATTTTCCTTATTCATTCTTCAGTTAAGGGGCATTTAGGTTGTTTCCAGGTTCTGGTTATGACAAACACTGCTGCTATGAACATAGTTGAGCACATGTCCTTGTGGCAGATTGAGCATCCTTTGGATAGATACCCCAAAGTGGCATTACTGGGTCTTGAGAAAGGTTGTTTCCTAATTTTCTGAGAAATCGCCACATTGACAATGAGGGCAGTTTTGTTCTCTGATTACTATCTATGTGCATCTATATCCATCCCCTCCCACAACCCTAGGGTCTTTTCTATGTTGCCTAAGCTGCACTTAAAATTGCAATCCTTCTATCTCAGAAACTGGGATAACAGGTATATGCCCTTGAACCTGACTGTATCAATCTTAGAATAGATGCCATATTATTTCTGTAATAATAATAAAGGCAGAAAAGTCCAGCAAAATGAAAAATAGACTAAATTAGAAACAACTGTGTTACAGAACTCTTTTCTGTATATTAACTTACATGACACTTCCTTTAGCTTCATCTTCCTCCCTCTCCCTCTTTCTCCCCCACCCCAAAACAGGGTTTAACTATATATAGCTTTGGCTGGCCTGGAGCTCTATCTTAAGAGAGAGAGAGAGAGAGAGAGAGAGAGAGAGAGAGAGAGAGAGAGAGAGAAAGAGAGAAGAAGGAGGAGGAGGAGGAAGAGGAGGAGGAAGAGGAGGAGGAGGAGGAGGAGGAGGAGGAGGAGGAGGAGGAGGAAGGGAAAAACATCAAGACAGGGCTAGATTAAACAGATTCCTGATTAGTGTGGTGTCCCAGAACTAGGAAGGTACAGACAGAAGGAATGAGTGTTTAAGGCCATCCCAGGCTATAGACTAAGGCCCAATTTAAATAACAAGGACTAGAGATGTAGCTCAGTAGCAGACTGGAGGCTCTGAGATAGATCTATAACAATGCTCAAATTTTAGTGGCCAAAATAAGAGTACAAAGTATTTTCTCTCTGCTCTCTGTGTCTAAATGATCTGGAGCATCAATTTCACATTAGCGTTCCTAAAATCATGAACATTTTTTTAACTCAAAGATTAAAAATAAAATATAAGACTACCAAAAACCTAGAAAATACAAAATCAGTCCATTAAATTAGGCAAAAATAGATACACCAATCATAAAAAGGTTTAAACAAAAACCCAGTTATCTCTATAAGGAATAGATTGCATGCCAAGGGTAAGAATAACGTTGTTTTGATGGGGAATCTCTGTTAGCCAATGATCTTTAAGAGGTTGGAGCAGGTTAGGGTCTGACCTTTTGGGTACCTGGAGAAAACCACTGGCCTGCCCAGGGTTCTTTCTGTGGTTCCCATGCTACACAGCTGAGGCTAGACTTCTTGTTCCTGTTTTGTGAGTTTGCCCCTTATAATAAAGAAGAATATAATTGGTATATCTTGGAGTTAGCCTGGAATTCTTTGACCCGTGTCCCTCAACAACTGGCTTGGGGGCCATTACATCCACTTTTTGGGACCCCGGCAGCTCCAGACAGCCACCATTGTGCGTGGCTCTACAGCAAGCTCTGGCCTCAGTGGCATCCCAGAGCTGCTCTGGGTCTGGCTTCTCGGGCACGTTGCAAAGGCACAGGTGGGGTGTGGGGTTCCCTGGATGGCCTTCCTGTCCTTCCAGTACCCATGCTGCTGCTGCAGCGGGATCTCTGCAGAGTGCAGGGTCTGTGATTTGTACTGATGGAAGGCTCTGGATTTTCTCTTTATCCTGGTCACCAACTCTCAAAATCACTTTGATCACTTTAATAACTGATCCTAATTTAAGCATATCTTTCAGGATCTAATGGGTTAAAACCAATGTGAAAAGTCCTAGGCTAGGATTTTCCGGCCACACAGATACAACTGCGACACCTGCTGGCAGGTAACAGTTATTGCACATACTTCAATTCAATATACCTTATGACAAGTGAGATTTATTTATTTTTTTTTATTTTTTTGACAAGTGAGATTTATAATGTCAACATAACAAATAAATTATCAATGCAACACAACAGCTTTTTAACTTATACCATGTACGGAATTGTACAAGGCTTATGTAATTTCCATCCTACATCCCTATATTTCATACCAGGGATTAGCTGTGTATTTCATATTTTCTCCTTTAAAAATGGTTTGATAACAGAGCCATGAATGAGGCACTGTAAGACTGATAATGACTAGCTAAAAGGAAAAATCGGCACTCTGGAGAAGGATACGACCAATTTCATGGACCAAAGCCAGTCAGTGATGGAGGGTGAAGAGACACTGTCTGAGAGAATTCATACTGTTGAATGTATTAAGCAAAATTTGTTAAACAGTTATGACAGATTGATAGATAGGGTGCCTGTCCAGGAAGGTAATACGTATGCCATAAAAATTATGTCCAAGATCCAGAATAAGCAGGTGTAACCGCTGAGCAAGTGAGCCAGAGCCAGAGACTGCTGGAGTCTCAACGTGAATCTGGGACCTTCAAGGGAGTAGACGTAAGCCAGGACCACTATGGGTCTGAGTGTGAGTCTAGGACCTCCCAGGAACTAGGCCTGAGCCAGGACATCTGCCAGTCTAGGCGTGCATCTGGGACCTCCAAGGGAGTAGGAAGGAACCAGAGAGATCTCTGTAGGGCCAGGCGTGAGTCTGGGACCTCATAGGGAATAGGCCTTATCCAGGACCTCTGTAGGCCTGGGCATTGGTCTGGGACTTCAAAGGCAATAGGCAGGAACCTGGAACCTCTGCAGGTTTAAGTGTGAATCTGTGATCTCTGAGGGAGTAAGCCAGAGCCAGGTCCTCTGCAGTTCCAGGCGCACCCGAGCCTGGGAACTCCGAGGCAGTAGATTGGAGCCAGAAACCTTTGCAGGACCAACTCCAGGCAAGGGACATCCACAGGAGGGGATCCAGACCAAGATTTACAGAAACCGGTAAAAGCCAGTAACCTAGTAGGCCTGAGACAACAAACTCCAAGGGAGCAGAGAAAAATACAGGAGCACTGAGCTATCTCCAGGAACACAAAGTAACCAATGGGTAAACTAGAACTGTGGCACTGACTGTACCATGAGGAACAACCATCTGAGCTTTGGATTCTTTGGCACCTAGAAGATTAATCAACAGAATCTCAGACACCCCAACCACACCTATTAGAGAAAAAGATGAGTACGAAAGGTAAGAACACATTCAACATCACAAAGAGCAACACAATACCAGTAAAACCTAAAGACCCTACAACAGCAAGACTTGAACAACCAAATACAGATGAAGCAGAAGAAAATGACCTAAAAAATAACTTCAAGAGAATGTTTAAAACTCTTAAAGAGGAAATGAGAAATTCCCTCAAAGAAATGGAGGAAAAGACAAACAAAATTTGGAAGACACCAGCAAATCCCTCAGGGAAAATCAAGAAAAAGAAATCAAAAATATCAAAGAAACTATTCAAGACTTGAAAACTGAAATAGAGACAATAAAGAAAACACAAGCCGTGGGAATTATAGAAACAGAAATCATGAGAAATGATCAGGAACCACAAAAGCAAGCATGAACAGCGGAATACAAGAGATGGAAAGGAGAAAGAATCTCAAGTACTGAAGATACAATAGAGGAAATAGAATCATCAGTTAAAGAAAACATTAAATTTAACAAAAGCTTAACCCAAAATATCCAGGAAATGTGGGACATTATGAAAAGAAAATTTAAGAATAGGTATAGAAGAAAGAGAAGAAGTTCAACTCAAAAGCACATAAAATATATTTAACAAAATCATAGAAGATAACGTTCCCAACCTAAAGAAAGATATGCCTATGAAGATACAAGAAGCTTACAGAACACAAAATAAATTGGATAAAAAAAAGTCCTCTCGCCAAATAATCAAAACACTAAACATACAAAGTAAAGAAAGAATATTAAGAGCTGCAAGTAACATATAAAGGAAGACCTATCAGAATTACACCTGACTTCTCACTGGAGACAATGAAAGCCATAAGGTTATGGTCAAGTGTTATGTGGACATTAAGAGACCACGGATGCCAGCCCAGACTACTATACCCAGCAAAACTTAAATCACCATAGAAAGGCAAAACAAGATATTTCATGACAAAACTAGATTTCACCAATACCTAGCTACAAACCCAGCCTACACAAAATACTAGAAAAAAAAACTCCCACCCAAGGAAGTTGGCTACACCAACAAAAACACAGACAATTGATGGTCTCATAGCAGCAAATCCCAAAGAGAAAAACATACAAATTAACATTACTAACAATGAAAAGCAAATTAACAGGAGATAGCAATCACTGGTCATTAATATCTAACAAAATAGACTTCAAGCAAAAATCAGTCAAAAGAGACAAAGAGGTAATTTCATATTAGTCAGAGGAAAAATCAATCAAGAAGAAATCTCAATACTGAACATCTATGCCCCAAATACAAGGGGACCTTCATATGTAAAAGCAACACTTCTAAAGCTTAAATAACATATTAAATCCCACACACTTATAGTGGAAGACTTTAAC